CTATAAAAATGAAAAGTTAAGATATTCATTCAAGATTTGCCTTCAGCGTCATAAAAACTCAGCTTCTAAATAAATAGGATCTAACTTCACAGAATTTCATGTTGCAAAATAAAGACAAATTTGTCTATTTACTCAGTCTGTAAGAATATTTTCAAACCGTCAGTTGCACTTATGCATTTTGTTGCTTGAGAACTCTTTCAAAAGTCTCACTGTTCTATAAATTTTATTTATCCTTACAGCCAGCGTATGACTATTTATGAAGCTTTAAGACATCCTTGGCTTAACGAAGCAATTACAGATGAACAGCGTCGACGTATTCCACCTTCACGTTATAAAGAATGCCAAAGACAAATGCATGAACGAATGGTAAGCAAGTAATCAAAGCTAAACTTTACAATGTTGAATTTAACTACAACCAAATATAGAAATAGTATCATTTGACATTTTCTATTCATTATGACAAATAATCTGGTATATTGAACAATGAAACATATTCAATATTATGTTTATGGTGACGATGAATGAAGTTGAACATTTCTGTTGTAACCAGATCATCAGTCTCTTGTTATCTACATATAGTTTATTTAATGACCGACGAAATCCCACTTCTAACACCTGTTCAGATAAATTTTTTGACGTTTATTTACTATCTGTTGCTTCTTTCCTAAAATACAGTTATGGTATTCGCATAGAGTTTGCATAATTTTGACTACTGATAACTTTCTACACAATTTATCATCTTCATTAATCTAATAAAAACTCCTAGACAAATGTACACATGTAATGCGAACTTCTTTTAGTAATATTTAAAACAATCACCACTTTTTTAAGTATTTATGAATATTTAAGCACAATTGATCGAACTTCAACTTGTATTTTCACTTTAATTTGATCATCTAAATTCTTTTGTTCAGACTGTTTTCAAACATTCAAAGAAATTCCTACACATTGAAAAACAATTTTGTGGAACCTAGTGTGGTTATTGTGTACCTTAGTATTTTCTTAATAATACAAGATATACTTTTGATGAAACAAATCAGAATGTGAAACAAAATATATCTTGGTACATTTTTTTGAATGTCGCGATAACTCTGGGTGAAATTAATTTTGAACATTGTTTCCTTCGGATTCACAGCTAGAATTCACTGAGTTATATTAACGGAAACGGACTATAAGTAAAAGGTTTTCAAACAATCGACCGCAAACAGTTATGATCATGTTAGTAAAACTGTTCACTTCATATTGTATGAACTAATTATGGAAGGCAAACACACTGAAACACTAATGCTGTAACTTTATGAACAAAAAATTATTTATGAATCAAGCTGCAATTATTTTTCTGGGGGTGTATTTTCTGAACCAGATGGTTTAATTATGGAGCGCTGATTGTCACTCAACAGCAACTACTACTTCCTATAGAAGTGAGCTCTTCACGTATTCCCACAAGTTTTATATCATTCCTGAAATTCGTTTTCAGACTGATGGTTTACAGCAACTTAAGAAAGTTTCCAATCGTGAAGAAGGAAGTTAAAATAAACTATTATGATGCTTGTGGAGTAGCTGAAAAGTTCACTTTTACGTGAAGTAAGATTCGTTAGCGTTACCTAGACCAACAATGAACGCTCTGTTATCAAGCCATCCAGGTCAGAGAAAGTCACAATCAAAAACATCTACCTGAGCTACACATCCACATCATTTCATGGTCATAGCAACTTCTAAATGTCATTATTTAATAACTTATACACATTGTGAAATATTTTTTGATCTAGGGAGATATATGGGAAAGAAGCCCTGCTATTGGCCATTTAGCGAATTATTCATCAATACGTCAGAATAGACGAGACAAATATCAAATACAAGAAACAAACTTTGGTAAGTGACCTAAAACTCATACATAAAAATAATTTTCATTCTAATATCTGTTTATAAATGTGCATGTTTATTATTACTAAATAGAACCATGTTACGATTAATTAATTTGAACATGCTTCATAATTATTGCAGCCTGTCATTATTTTCAACAGTTGTGACATCTATATTTAGTGGCACAGTAGGCATTTAATCTAGTATTCAGTTTTCTGAATGTTTGGAAATATTTAAAACCAATGATTCTAACCCATTCTGATTTTATTGATTTCAGCTGTAGACATTGTCTTTCAAATCAGTTATTTCAGACGTTATCAAATTACAATGCATTTTTAATCATGTTGTCAATACTAAGTGTAATTAAGGTAGTAACTCATCTCTTTAAAGAATATAGTGCAGTACTAAATACTGAATATTTAGTTCTAGTGTGAAGTTTTTCTATGGAAATAAATATACACTCAGCTTTTAATTTATGTGGTTGGTTGGGGGATGCAGAGTAATTTAAATAAGTTGACTTTTCCGAGTCATTTAACCCAATCGTGGAGGGAAAATGTTACAAAAACTGATCTTGGACAGAATACTTGAATTACTGTTAGGGATTTCTTGAGTGATTATAATGTTAAAACCTCATCACTAAACAAGGTATAAATTTAAGATATTTTAAGGTTGACCAACCAATCCCAGTTAAACAAACAAACTAAACGAGTAATTTATATTTTACTTGAAAACCATTCGTAAAAGGATAATCTTTTTTCTCGATTTTTAACAGAAGCGGGATGTCTACCGTTTTCAATCATTTTTCCGTTCATTTAGTGTGTTAATGCTGCATGTAAACGCGTAAATTTCAGTTTTCACTGGAGAATCCATCTTAACCATCTGAAGCTAACTTTGTGTCTTCCATGAACGCGCTACCGTAGCGTATCCAAATTTGGCGAATCAAAGAAATTGTAAACCAATTTGAGTCAGTAATCACAATGAAATGAAATAGATCACGTCACTACACATAATAGGCAAAAGTACAAGTTGATAGTAGGGCGACAGGTGTACTGATAGTATTAAGAAATATAAAATACGATAACTAAAGTTGTATCAATAGTAGGTCAACCGTGGATAAATAGATTTAGAATAATCATTACAAAACATTAAAACGATTATGTAATAAGAAGTGTGTACATAATTAGATAGTGAAGAATATAAACGGAAAGAGACAGAAAATTACTTACAGATACAGGATGTGAAAATAATGCCAATAATAACAAAATAAAATGTAAACCAAAAAAATAAAATACAAAAATCGTTAGTTACGTCATATCGGGCCACGGAAAAGATAGGGGTGTTACGAATTTCTTCTGAACACATAATTCGGGGTTGAATATACGAATTCCTATGGCTTCTGCTATGTGTAGGAGACGGTATCGAAATCCGTTGGAAAATGATTAAGTTATACGATAATCACCCGAAAAGATCTAAAATTATCTAAAATATGATCACTATCAACCAGGTGTGCTAAGATAGAACTGAGTATTGTTTTTGACTGACCCTTCTTAAACCATGCTGGGAGATGTTCATTCATTCGTTGGTTAAGCTGCCTGGTAGTACGCCCGATATAGCTATCTCCACAGGAGCAGCTGAATTTGTAAATGCACATAGAGGAGGCCAACTCAGGTAACTTATCCTTCGTTTGGGTAGACATCGCTGGTCGACTTGAGAAGGTCAACGTGAGTTTGGCAGCGTTGAATGTTCTACTAATTACTCTTGTTATTCTGTCCTGCAGAGTATCGCAGGCCACATCCCCGTTGAATTGTAACTTTATAAATAAAGGTTTCTTTTGGACGGTCGAAGTCTCCGGCAAAAGAAGTAAAAGTTAGCGTTTTGAATGAAATTTCCAGTGATAATTATACAACACCCATTTACCAGATATATAACTGGCATATTTTAAGTGCATTAACATTTAATAAACTTTTTGTGTTTCAGATCGTAGGGAGGCTGGTCCACGTTTTGTAAAATGGCCATAGTAATCATTAGTAATGGAAGGTGAAAATGCTCAATTTAACTGTCGTGTCATGGGCACTTTCCGAGCCAATTGTCACATGGTAATTCATTCAGTGACACTCTTTTGATTGGTTCAGATTGTTTAGCAATGTTGCTTACTTTAAAATCAACTAATTAGCTTCGAATAAATTATACGATTCACTACGACACATACATCTGTATCTAATTATCTATTTGGTTACATTGCAGTAATAATCGATATTTCAAAACTGTCAAATCTCTATCAACAATATAACCTATCAGTAGAGTAGGTTCAATCTCATATTCACTTTTCTAAATCCATTGACCACTGAATATCGACCTGTGTCATGTTTATCCAGTTCTTAGTGTTGATAAAAAGACACTGGTTATTACTCAATGAGAAATCTAATTTATTATATATATATATATATGTATATATATATCTAGTCCTACTGGATGTTTATTCGTGCCCGAAAAATGTCAGTGGTAATGTTTTTAGAAGGAATTCTATTAAATTTCCATAGTACTCCTTGATGATGAATTCTAACTGGCACAAAAATCAGCGGTTTATTTCCAATTATGAACTAATAACCTAATATGAATTTTTTTGATGCTAAAGTTCCAATATAACAATATTTGATGCTATAGTGTTTAGGAATAAAAGTCTCTTCTACTTACAATTTATAACAGTACGCCAGAAAGTGTTTGTATGTACATGTAGTGTTTTTTAGTATGTGGTAACAAGGGATCATAGGCACCTCAATATTACTTTAGGCTTCTTTTTTATTCGAGTTAGATGTTTGAAGTTTGAATAGTTCCATCAGGGATATTTACATCATCTGTTACCTGACTATTAATTTTTTTTATCAGATGAGTGGAATATATAATTTTTCGGTATATTAGTATCGCTAACCGACATTGTCGCAAGGGTTTTCTTACACGCCGCTTAGACTGGTGATTAAGAACAAATACAAAATAAATATAAAATGCTTAATAAAATACAGTCTTTAAGGTTAACAAAATAGCTATCCTAACAATTGTTTCTTTGTGTATGATAACACTTTCATTGTGCTTATTCATGACGTTCAGGCATTTCGGGGACGTCCAACTGTCTCAAAGTGTAAAACATATGCAACGCTATGCTGGACACGATTATTCCCTAAAAATAAATCGAGTACGTGCAGAGGATGCAGGACATTATACTGTTCGTGCTGAAAATAGTTTTGGAAGACGTGAATTCCCCGTTTTATTGACAGTGCAACCAATTCAGGAAATCAAAATTGGTAAGATACTATTGTTAATTAACTCTTATGTTTTTGTTAATTTTATTTCGAACATTCAATTTACTCAATTATATAATTCACTTCTTTATATTAATTATAGAGCCATTGCCACCAGCATCACGGAAGAAAATTGAACTAGAACCCGTCGAAATGTTCCACGAAGAAGAGACAGCACCACGTTTTGCTTTCCATCTACGAAATCGTTATATCCAAGAAGGTGGGAGTGTGAAACTAACATGCTCTGTAGACGGTTGTCCTACTCCAGTAATCACATGGTACAAAGTAAGATAACAGTATTAAAAAGTAGAATTAGGTGTGAAACTCAGATTTCACACATTTTTGACAGTAATTAACTAACTGTTCAGCGTGCTAAATGTGAAACTAGTTTCTGTGATTCGGTTTTAATTTACTGACTGGAACTATTTAGCTGTCTAATAGATAAATTTTTACGTAGCATATAAAATTACGAGCTAACTGTAGAACAACCCAGCACTTCTCTTTACAGTAGCACTTAGAAGCAATCATACAAAGAATCGAAACTTTCTACATATGTATAAATGGTCTGTCCTTTCATTAGACTGATCTTATTATCACTAATCATGTTCACTTCACGTTTGTATTGTGATGAACATGTTCATGTCATAGTGGAACGTTAAATGAAAAATCTTTCTAAAACCAAAGAGGGACAGTGTAAATCAAGGCACGGTATTGATGTACTCTGCCGGAATATTGACTTAATTATATCACTCACGTATCCAATTGAGCTCAAGTATACGAATCTTCTATATCTGCATTTGAATGAACGACAGCGGAACGTAATATTTATTGTGCTAATGCATCATATATGACCAAAACTAAACTCGTCTTCTCATTATGCTGTTTAACTCTGATGAGACAAAAGAATCCTTTTTTTGCTCTTAATGAAGTAAGAAGGAAAACTATGGTGATTGTGACACTAATTCATACCATTTCGGTATTAAACAGACGTAGTGTTGCGAATGCGTTATAAATCCATACAGTGAATTGAATTTTAGGTTGAAATAGGGTCTTTAATTGGTGGTAAACAATATACTACTGAATAGAGTACATGGTTGTTCTATCACAAGTTAATATCTTCAATCTGACAAAAGTACCCTCTCACTATCATTGATTATTTTTTATCAAACTTATGTTGTGGTTCACTAGATCATACTTCCACGGCTGTGGGCAGCCGGGCAATGTGATAATTCCACCTCATACCTGCTACACAACACACTATATCATAAGTTTTACAAATAGTCAATAAATTACGTTTCATCGTGACCGACGATTTAATACGATTGCCTGATACATACTATGGATGCTTTATAAAACTATCGTCAACTTGAAGATAGAATTGAATATTAATCTATAACATGATTTTGGTGTTTATACAAAAGATAATGATCTTTTCAAAGACTTCACAAATATTTATGCAAGTTATGAAACGACAAACTACGTAATTCAAATCAACGATTGATTAAGAGAAAATCTAACCATTATTAGTTTTCTAAGCTCATAATTGAAATTTACTATGTGCGGTAGGTAGTAGATTTTTTACCTGTCCTTTGCCTAACTTGATTACGAGTTCAATTTACATAGCACACTAATTTGTTAAGCATATGATGCTCTAGGATTTGGATAATTCAATTTGACAGTATAAACTTAATGAATACCTGGGCAACAGCGTTTCACCCACAATGTAATCTTATCAATAGATTGCTACTAGAACCTTTATTACCTCTAAGTGGCCATCCACTGCATACAGGGTAGAAATATATATATATTTATATTTCATATTATACTACTATATTTCTAATTGGCGTCGGTTACTAAAGATATTTGTTCATATTTATTATATGTGACTACTTTTCTGTGTTTAATTGTATTCGTAATAAGTATTATTCCCTTTTCCTACGATTACAGATTTAATTCTCTATACATTTAATCCGTTAATCCCCCATTTCAAAGGAGTACTCTCCTAGTGTATTATGTTCACCAATTAACAGCACAAGAACTAAATGCAGCTTTACTGATGCTGCCAGTTTTATGCATTAAATGTAGTGTACGGTTTAAAAGTATCAATATGTGAATGATTTCATCAATCAATTTCAGTGGTCTGTTATTCATGAAAAGCAATTACTATTGTTATAACAAGGATATTAATGATTTTCAGTTTCATAATCCCATAGTTACACTTTAAGTGTACTGCGAAGATAATCCATTTAAAACAATTTTCAATTGAAATTATTAAAAACAAAAAGAAAGGATCTTCTGTGTAACTTTATAGTTCAAAACTAACTAACTCCATAAAATACTTCAAAAAAAGTTGTTATTTCATTTCAGCGTCTATATAAAATGATGTGGTGATATTCATCTACTATTATTAAATTTGAATAAAACGAGAACAATATTTGCAGAATAAAATGAATTCAATATATTTTTATGGCTTCTGATCAATTACAAACCTAAATTTACACTAGTAATATAGTTATAAAAATATTCTATTACATATCAACATCAATGAAGTTTAGTTTTAACCAATATAAGAAACAAGAGATATTTAACGTAATAATTACGATAGATTGGTATTTATATGTTAAAGATAAAGTCATAGAAAAAAGTAGAGCGTGAAGTTGCAAACGATACTGGGGAAGACAATGAATAAAATCGAAGCTGTTACCAATTCATTAATAATCAAGGTGAAAAATCGACTTCCTCTTAGACACAACTTACAGGAAATATATTCCAAAACACTTGTAGATCCTATTCTTTCAATCCTTAATATCTGCTTGCTGCTATAAGTACATGCGAATTCGAAAGCAAATTTGGTGGTGACCTCGAAGGGAGCATAGATCAACTTCTGACTGATTAAAGATAAATCTGGTGTTATGCACCGAGAATAGTTGGGTTCCTTTGAATGCGACGGGGATGAAAACAGGTTTTCTGTTAACACTCGCATGTATGGTGTGAACGCTTTCTATATTTCGATTAAAAAATTTCTTTGAGCAATCCATTTTTTATAAAACAATTTTCGATGAATGCTGTGTTTTCCTTTATTTTATCAGTTGAACCTAACTGTACTCCTTGTTATTGAAGATCTCGTTTAAGATAAATCATATATATGCATATGTTTTCTTTAGGAATAAAAGTTAGTGTTCATACAAATTCACCCCTATGATTAGGGATATATTTTCAAAAATTTTGATGACTCGTTTACGAAACTGAGTTTCTATTTTGATGAGTTATCGTCTCATACTACTTATTAGTAGCTGAAAATTAAAATATTAATTTGAATATAAGACAGTAACGCATGGAAGGTGTTCTTTCTTTCTAAGTATCGATTCAAGTCTTTAATTACATTTAACTTTTTCCCAAAGATTATTCTCTTCAAGAAAGTAAAACGATATCTTTTAGCTGACACTTGTGTGATAGTAGGGACTAGTCTAATTATTAAACCGATTTACTATCTACTTACTTATCTAACATACACAAGCTGGTAAGCCACAAAATCACGAAGATATACTGTTAACATGTCCAGAGTTTTAATATTATAAGCGTCCTTCATTTTCTTAAATTTCAAAAATATTAATTTCTTAAGACGAAAAATAAAAGTGCCATTTAAAAGCCTGTTCATTTTTCATTTGCATGGTTAGTGCTTTAGTAAATGGTACCGGCTTCTTGAAAATTACTGAAAACGTGAAAAGCGTGAATATTCTCTTATAACGATTATGGCTAGTTTTGGTATAAGTGTTAAAGTGCTGGCAGCTTATCTTGGCAGAATCATCGACAACCAAGGTGAATCCGATGCAGATGTGAAGGCGCGGATCGGCAATGCAAGGGCTGCGTTTCTACAATTGAAAAATATCTGAAACTCCAAACAAATGTCAACCAGCAACCAAAATCAGGATTTTCAATAAAAATTTCAAGACGGTTGTACTGTATGGAGCGGAAACACGGAGAACTACCAAAGCCATCATCCAGAAGATACAAGTATTTGTGAACAGTTGTCTACGCAAAATACTTCGTATTCGTTGGCCAGACACGATCAGCAACAACGTACTGTGGGAGAGAACAAACCAGATTCCAGTGGAGGAGGAAATCAGGAAGAAGCGGTGGAAGTGGATAGGACACGCTACGAAAAGCACCTAACTGTGTCACAAGACAAGCCCTCACATGGAACCCTCAAGGCAAAAGGAAAAGATGAAGGCCAAGGAACACATTACGCCGAGAAATAAAGAAAGACATGAGAAGAATGAACAAAAACTGTAAAGAAGTGGAAAGGGAAACCCAGAACAGAGTTATTTGGAGAAAACTGGTGGGCGGCCTATGCTCGATTGGGGGTAACAGGCGAAAGTAAGTAAGTAAGTAAGCTTATGTGAATGAAGTCAGATGTGTTACACTGTAGATTCTTCAACTCATTGCAACTAATTAGGATGTGAATATTCTTATACAATGTAGAGATTTTGTATGCCAAAAAAGCAATTTGTCTTATACACTTACGCATTAAAGTAAAAATATATTTTATTTTGGTGAAATTATTTCAACAGAATGGTAAAGAATTAAGGAAAGGTGAAGGAAATTACGAAATTCAACAAATGCTTGGCATCACTTCACTTGAAATATATTCCTGTTCAGAAAGCGATTCTGGACGATATTCCTGTCGTGCGACGAATAGTCGTGGTGAAGATGAAACCGAGTGTAAAGTTATTGTTGAAGGTGAGTGCAACTAGAAAAAGTATTGAATTATTTTTATTTTTGGTAGTTACTTTCTAGATTTATGGTTACTAGAATCAATCTTAAATAAATGCTTATTTTTTCCAAAAAGCTTTTTATACTCCACTAGTCTCATTAAACTGTATTAATAATACAGTTTAATGAGAATAGTGAGTATAAAAGCTTTTTGAAAAAATAAGCATTTATTTAAGATTGATTCTAGTAACCATAAATCTAGAAAGTAACTACCAAAAAATAAAAATAATTCAATACTTTTTCTAGTTGCACTCACCTTCAACAATAACTTTACACTCGGTTTCATCTTCACCACGACTATTCGTCGCACGACAGGAATATCGTCCAGAATCGCTTTCTGAACAGGAATATATTTCAAGTGAAGTGATGCCAAGCATTTGTTGAATTTCGTAATTTCCTTCACCTTTCCTTAATTCTTTACCATTCTGTTGAAATAATTTCACCAAAATAAAATATATTTTTACTTTAATGCGTAAGTGTATAAGACAAATTGCTTTTTTGGCATACAAAATCTCTACATTGTATAAGAATATTCACATCCTAATTAGTTGCAATGAGTTGAAGAATCTACAGTGTAACACATCTGACTTCATTCACATAAGCTTACTTACTTACTTACTTACGTCTGATAACCCCAATGGAGCATAGGCCGCCAACCAGTGTTCCCCAGACAACTCTGTCCTGGGTTTCCCTTTCCAGTTCTTTCCAGTTTTTGTTCATTCTTCTCATGTCTTTCTCTATTTCTCGGCGTAATGTGTTCCTTGGCCTTCCTCTTTTCCTTTTGCCTTGAGGGTTCCATGTGAGGGCTTGTCTTGTGACGCAGTTAGGTGCTTTTCGCAGTGTGTCCTATCCACTTCCACCGCTTCTTCCTGATTTCCTCCTCCACTGGAATCTGGTTTGTTCTCTCCCACAGTACGTTGTTGCTGATCGTGTCTGGCCAACGAATACGAAGTATTTTGCGTAGACAACTGTTCACAAAGACTTGTATCTTCTGGATGATGGCTTTGGTAGTTCTCCCATGTTTCCGCGCCATACAGTAGACCTGTCTTGAAATTTGTATTGAAAACTCTGCTTTTGTTGCTGGGTTGACATTTGTTGGAGTGTTCAGATATTTTTCAATGTAGAAACGCAGCCCTGTGCATTGCCGGATACGCCGCCTTTCAAATCTGCATCGGATGTTCTCCCTTGGTTGTCGATGATTCTGCAAGATAAGCTGTCCAGTCACTTTAACACTTATTAACAAAAACTAGCCATAAATCGTTATACAGAGAATATCACGCTTTTCACGTTTTTCAGTTAATTTTTTCAGCAGCCACGGTATCCACATCTTACTAAAGCCACGTAACCATTGCAAATGAAAAATGAACAGGCTTTTAAATGGCACTTTTATTTTTCGTCTTAAGAAATTAATATTTTTGAAATTTAAGAAAATGAAGGACGCTTATAATATTAAAACTCTGGACATGTTAACAGTATATCTTCGTGATTTTGTGGCTTACCAGCTTGTGTATGTTAGATAAGTAAGTAGATAAGTAAATCGGTTTAATAATTAGACTAGTCCTACTATCACACAAGTGTCAGCTAAAAGATATCGTTTTACTTTCTTAAGAGAATAATCTTTGGGAAAAAGTTAAATGTAATTAAAGACTTGAATCGATACTTAGAAAGAAAGAACACCTTCCTGCGTTACTGTCTTATATTCAAATTAATATTTTAATTTTCAGCTACTAATAAGTAGTGTGAGACGATAACTCATCAAAATAGAAACTCAGTTTCGTAAACGAGTCATCAAAATTTTTGAAAATATATCCCTAATCATAGGGGTGAATTTGTATGAACATAACTTTATTCCTAAAGAAAACATATGCATATATATGATTTATCTTAAACGAGATCTTCAATAACAAGGAGTACAGTTAGGTTCAACTGATAAAATAAAGGAAAACACAGCATTCATCGAAAATTGTTTTATAAAAAATGGATTGCTAAAGAAATTTTTTAATGAAATATAGAAAGCGTTCACAGAAAGCCCCATACATGCGAGTGTTAACAGAAAACCTGTTTTCATCCCCGTCGCATTCAAAGGAACCCAACTATTCTCGGTGCATAACACCAGATTTATCTTTAATCAGTCAGAAGTTGATCTATGCTCCCTTCGAGGTCACCACCAAATTTGCTTTCGAATTCGCATGTACTTATAGCAGCAAGCAGATATTAAGGATTGAAAGAATAGGATCTACAAGTGTTTTGGAATATATTTCCTGTAAGTTGTGTCTAAGAGGAAGTCGATTTTTCACCTTGATTATTAATGAATTGGTAACAGTTCGATTTTATTCATTGTCTTCCCAGTATCGTTTGCAACTTCACGCTCTACTTTTTCTATGACTTTATCTTTAACATATAAATACCAATCTATCGTAATTATTACGTTAAATATCTCTTGTTTCTTATATTGGTTAAAACTAAACTTCATTGATGTTGATATGTAATAGAATATTTTTATAACTATATTACTAGTGTAAATTTAGGCCGTTTGTAATTGATCAGAAGCCATAAAATATATTGAATTCATTTTATTCTACAAATATTGTTCTCGTTTTATTCAAATTTAATAATAGTAGAATGAATATCACCACATCATTTTATATAGACGCTGAAATGAAATAACAACTTTTTTTGAAGTATTTTATGGAGTTAGTTAGTTTGAACTATAAAGTTACACAGAAGATCCTTTTTTTTGTTTTTAATAATTTCAATTGAAAATTGTTTTAAATGGATTTCTTCGCAGTACACTTAAAGTGTAACTGTGGGATTATGAAACTGAAAATCATTAATATCCTTGTTATAACAATAGTAATTGCTTTTCATGAATAACAGACCACTGAAATTGATTGATGAAATCATTCACATATTGATACTTTTAACCGTACACTACATTTAATGCATAAAACTGGCAGCATCAGTAAAGCTGCATTTAGTTCTTGTGCTGTTAATTGGTGAACATAATACACTAGGAGAGTACTCCTTTTTATGAAATGGGGATTAACGGATTAAATTATAAAGAATAAATCTTGTATCGTAGGAAATATATACTTTACGAATACAATTAAACCAGAAAAGTAGTACATATAATAAATGACAAATATTTATAACCGACCCAATAGAAATATATATATATATATATATATATATATATATATATATATATATATATATATATATATATATATATATATGTATATATATATATATATATATATATTTCTCCCTGTATCATGATCCACTTAGGGTAATAAAGGTTTCTGTACATCTATTGATAAGATTCATGTGGGTGTAACGCTGTTCCCGTATTCATTAGTTATACTTTAAATGAATTATCCAAATCTAACATCATATCTTAACAATAGTGTCTATGAAAATGAACTGTAATCAAGTTAGCAAAGACAGAAAAATCTACTACCTACCCACTAGTAATTTCATTATGAGCTTAGAAACAATAATGTTTAATTTCTCTTAACAATCGTGATTTGAATTACGTAGCATGCTCTTTGTCGTTTCATAACTTGCATAAAATATTTGTGAAAGTCTTTGAAAAGATCATTATCTTTTGTATAAACACCAAAATCATGGTTATAGATTAATATTCAATTCTATCTTCAAGTTGACGATAGTTTTATAAAGCATCCATAGTATGTATCACAATCGTAATTAAATCGTCGGTCCGATGAAACGTAATTTATTGACTATTTGTAAACTTATGATATAGTGTGTTGTGTACAGGTATGAGGGTGGATATCACTTCCCGGCTGCCCACAGCGTGGAAGTATGATCTAGTGACCACAACATAAGTTTGATAAAAAATATCAATGATAGTGAGAGGTACTTTTTGTCAGATTGAAGATATTAACTTGTGATAAACAACCATGTACTCTATTCAGTATATATTGTTTACCACAATTAAAGACCCTATTTCAACCTAAAACTCAATTCACTGTATGGATTTATAACGCATTCCAACACACGTCTGTTTAATACATTTGAATAAGCCGAAATGGTATGAATTAGTGTCACAATCACCATAGTTTTCCTTCTTACTTCATTAAGAGCAAAAAAAGGATTCTTTTGTCTCATCAGAGTTAAACAGCATAATGAGAAGACGAGTTTAGTTTTGGTCATATATGATGCATTAGCACAATAAATATTACGTTCCGCTGTCGTTCATTCAAATGCAGATATAGAAGATTCGTATACTTGAGCTCAATTGGATACGTGAGTGATATAATTAAGTCAATATTCCGGCAGAGTACATCAATACCGTGCCTTGATTTACACTGTCCCTCTTTGGTTTTAGAAAGATTTTTCATTTAACGTTCCACTATGACATGAACATGTTCATCACAATACAAACGTGAAGTGAACATGATTAGTGATAATAAGATCAGTCTAATGAAAGGACAGACCATTTATACATATGTAGAAAGTTTCGATTCTTTGTATGATTGCTTCTAAGTGCTACTGTAAAGAGAAGTGCTGGGTTGTTCTACAGTTAGCTCGTAATTTTATATGCTACGTAAAAATTTATCTATTAGACAGCTAAATAGTTCCAGTCAGTAAATTAAAACCGAATCACAGAAACTAGTTTCACATTTAGCACGCTGAACAGTTAGTTAATTACTGTCAAAAATGTGTGAAATCTGAGTTTCACACCTAATTCTACTTTTTAATACTGTTATCTTACTTTGTACCATGTGATTACTGGAGTAGGACAACCGTCTACAGAGCATGTTAGTTTCACACTCCCACCTTCTTGGATATAACGATTTCGTAGATGGAAAGCAAAACGTGGTGCTGTCTCTTCTTCGTGGAACATTTCGACGGGTTCTAGTTCAATTTTCTTCCGTGATGCTGGTGGCAATGGCTCTATAATTAATATAAAGAAGTGAATTATATAATTGAGTAAATTGAATGTTCGAAATAAAATTAACAAAAACATAAGAGTTAATTAACAATAGTATCTTACCAATTTTGATTTCCTGAATTGGTTGCACTGTCAATAAAACGGGGAATTCACGTCTTCCAAAACTATTTTCAGCACGAACAGTATAATGTCCTGCATCCTCTGCACGTACTCGATTTATTTTTAGGGAATAATCGTGTCCAGCATAGCGTTGCATATGTTTTACACTTTGAGACAGTTGGACGTCCCCGAAATGCCTGAACGTCATGAATAAGCACAATGAAAGTGTTATCATACACAAAGAAACAATTGTTAGGATAGTATTTTGTTAACCTAAATACTGTATTTTATTAGCTTTTATATTTATTTTGTTTGTTCTTAATCACCAGTCTAAGCGGCGTGAAGAAAACCTTGGACAATGTCGGTTAGCGATACTAATATACCGAAAAATATATATTCCACTCATCTGATACAAAAAATTAATAGTCAGCTATCAGATGATGAAAATATCACTGATGAAACTATTCAAACTTCAAACATCTAACTCGAATAAAAAAGAAGCCTAAAGTAATATTGAAGTGCCTATGATCCCTTGTTACCACTACTAAAAAACACTATATGTACATACAAACACTTTCTGACGTACTGTTATAAATTTGTAAGTAGAAAGACTTTTATTCCTAAACACTATAGCATCAAATATTGTTATATTGGAATTTAGCATCAAAAAAATTCATATTAGGTTATTGTTCATAATTGGAAATAAACCGCTGATTTTGTGCCAGTTAGAATTCATCATCAAGGAGTACTTGGAAATTTAATAGAATTCCTTCTAAAACATTACCACTGACATTTTTCGGGCACCGAATAACATCCAGTAGGACTGATATATATATATACATATATATACATATATATATACATATATATATATATATATATATATATATATATATATATAAATTGATTTCTCATTGAGTAATAACCAGTGTCTTTTTATCAACACTAAGAACTGGATAAACATGACACAGGTCGATATTCAGTGGTCAATGGATTTAGAAAAGTGAATATGAGACTGAACTACTGAAGGTTATATTGTTGATAGAGATTTGCAGTTTTGAAATATCGATTATTACTGCAATGTAACCAAATAGATAATTAGATACAGATGTATGTGTCGTGTGAATCGTATAATTTATTCGAAGCTAATTAGTTGATTTTAAAGTAAGCAACATTGCTAAACAATCTGAACCAATCAAAAGAGTGTCACTGAATGAATTACCATGTGACAATTGGCTCGGAAAGTGCCATGACACGACAGTTAAACTGAGCATTTTCACCTTCCATTACTAATTGATTACTTGGCCATTTTACAAAACGTGGACCAGCCTCCCTACGATCTGAAACACAAAAAGTTTATTAAATGTTAATGCACTTAAAATATGCCAGTTATATATCTGGTAAATGGGTGTTGTATAATTATCACTGGAAATTTCATTCAAAACGCTAACTTTTACTTCTTTTGCCGGAGACTTCGACCGTCCAGAAGAAGCCATTATTTATTAAATTACAATGCAACGGAGATGTGGCCTGCGATACTCTGCAGGACAGAATAACAAGAGTACTTAGTAGAACATTCAACGCTGCCAAACTCACGTTGACCTTCTCAAGTCGACCAGCGATGTCTACCCGAACGAAGGATAAGTTACCTGAGTTGGCCTCCTCTATGTGCATTTACAAATTCAGCTGCTCCTGTGGAGATAGCTATATCGGGCGTACTACCAGGCAGCTTAACCAACGAATGAATGAACATCTCCCAGCATGGTTTAAGAAGGGTCAGTCAAAAACAATACTCAGTTCTATCTTAGCACACCTGGTTGATAGTGATCATATTTTAGATAATTTTAGATCTTTTCGGGTGATTATCGTATAACTTAATCATTTTCCAACGGATTTCGATACCGTCTCCTACACATAGCAGAAGCCATAGGAATTCGTATATTCAACCCCGAATTATGTGTTCAGAAGAAATTCGTAACACCCCTATCTTTTCCGTGGCCCGATATGACGTAACTAACGATTTTTGTATTTTATTTTTTTGGTTTACATTTTATTTTGTTATTATTGGCATTATTTTCACATCCTGTATCTGTAAGTAATTTTCTGTCTCTTTCCGTTTATATTCTTCACTATCTAATTATGTACACACTTCTTATTACATAATCGTTTTAATGTTTTGTAATGATTATTCTAAATCTATTTATCCACGGTTGACCTACTATTGATACAACTTTAGTTATCGTATTTTATATTTCTTAATACTATCAGTACACCTGTCGCCCTACTATCAACTTGTACTTTTGCCTATTATGTGTAGTGACGTGATCTATTTCATTTCATTGTGATTACTGACTCAAATTGGTTTACAATTTCTTTGATTCGCCAAATTTGGATACGCTACGGTAGCGCGTTCATGGAAGACACAAAGTTAGCTTCAGATGGTTAAGATGGATTCTCCAGTGAAAACTGAAATTTACGCGTTTACATGCAGCATTAACACACTAAATGAACGGAAAAATGATTGAAAACGGTAGACATCCCGCTTCTGTTAAAAATCGAGAAAAAAGATTATCCTTTTACGAATGGTTTTCAAGTAAAATATAAATTACTCGTTTAGTTTGTTTGTTTAACTGGGATTGGTTGGTCAACCTTAAAATATCTTAAATTTATACCTTGTTTAGTGATGAGGTTTTAACATTATAATCACTCAAGAAATCCCTAACAGTAATTCAAGTATTCTGTCCAAGATCAGTTTTTGTAACATTTTCCCTCCACGATTGGGTTAAATGACTCGGAAAAGTCAACTTATTTAAATTACTCTGCATCCCCCAACCAACCACATAAATTAAAAGCTGAGTGTATATTTATTTCCATAGAAAAACTTCACACTAGAACTAAATATTCAGTATTTAGTACTGCACTATATTCTTTAAAGAGATGAGTTACTACCTTAATTACACTTAGTATTGACAACATGATTAAAAATGCATTGTAATTTGATAACGTCTGAAATAACTGATTTGAAAGACAATGTCTACAGCTGAAATCAATAAAATCAGAATGGGTTAGAATCATTGGTTTTAAATATTTCCAAACATTCAGAAAACTGAATACTAGATTAAATGCCTACTGTGCCACTAAATATAGATGTCACAACTGTTGAAAATAATGACAGGCTGCAATAATTATGAAGCATGTTCAAATTAATTAATCGTAACATGGTTCTATTTAGTAATAATAAACATGCACATTTATAAACAGATATTAGAATGAAAATTATTTTTATGTATGAGTTTTAGGTCACTTACCAAAGTTTGTTTCTTGTATTTGATATTTGTCTCGTCTATTCTGACGTATTGATGAATAATTCGCTAAATGGCCAATAGCAGGGCTTCTTTCCCATATATCTCCCTAGATCAAAAAATATTTCACAATGTGTATAAGTTATTAAATAATGACATTTAGAAGTTGCTATGACCATGAAATGATGTGGATGTGTAGCTCAGGTAGATGTTTTTGATTGTGACTTTCTCTGACCTGGATGGCTTGATAACAGAGCGTTCATTGTTGGTCTAGGTAACGCTAACGAATCTTACTTCACGTAAAAGTGAACTTTTCAGCTACTCCACAAGCATCATAATAGTTTATTTTAACTTCCTTCTTCACGATTGGAAACTTTCTTAAGTTGCTGTAAACCATCAGTCTGAAAACGAATTTCAGGAATGATATAAAACTTGTGGGAATACGTGAAGAGCTCACTTCTATAGGAAGTAGTAGTTGCTGTTGAGTGACAATCAGCGCTCCATAATTAAACCATCTGGTTCAGAAAATACACCCCCAGAAAAATAATTGCAGCTTGATTCATAAATAATTTTTTGTTCATAAAGTTACAGCATTAGTGTTTCAGTGTGTTTGCCTTCCATAATTAGTTCATACAATATGAAGTGAACAGTTTTACTAACATGATCATAACTGTTTGCGGTCGATTGTTTGAAAACCTTTTACTTATAGTCCGTTTCCGTTAATATAACTCAGTGAATTCTAGCTGTGAATCCGAAGGAAACAATGTTCAAAATTAATTTCACCCAGAGTTATCGCGACATTCAAAAAAATGTACCAAGATATATTTTGTTTCACATTCTGATTTGTTTCATCAAAAGTATATCTTGTATTATTAAGAAAATACTAAGGTACACAATAACCACACTAGGTTCCACAAAATTGTTTTTCAATGTGTAGGAATTTCTTTGAATGTTTGAAAACAGTCTGAACAAAAGAATTTAGATGATCAAATTAAAGTGAAAATACAAGTTGAAGTTCGATCAATTGTGCTTAAATATTCATAAATACTTAAAAAAGTGGTGATTGTTTTAAATATTACTAAAAGAAGTTCGCATTACATGTGTACATTTGTCTAGGAGTTTTTATTAGATTAATGAAGATGATAAATTGTGTAGAAAGTTATCAGTAGTCAAAATTATGCAAACTCTATGCGAATACCATAACTGTATTTTAGGAAAGAAGCAACAGATAGTAAATAAACGTCAAAAAATTTATCTGAACAGGTGTTAGAAGTGGGATTTCGTCGGTCATTAAATAAACTATATGTAGATAACAAGAGACTGATGATCTGGTTACAACAGAAATGTTCAACTTCATTCATCGTCACCATAAACATAATATTGAATATGTTTCATTGTTCAATATACCAGATTATTTGTCATAATGAATAGAAAATGTCAAATGATACTATTTCTATATTTGGTTGTAGTTAAATTCAACATTGTAAAGTTTAGCTTTGATTACTTGCTTACCATTCGTTCATGCATTTGTCTTTGGCATTCTTTATAACGTGAAGGTGGAATACGTCGACGCTGTTCATCTGTAATTGCTTCGTTAAGCCAAGGATGTCTTAAAGCTTCATAAATAGTCATACGCTGGCTGTAAGGATAAATAAAATTTATAGAACAGTGAGACTTTTGAAAGAGTTCTCAAGCAACAAAATGCATAAGTGCAACTGACGGTTTGAAAATATTCTTACAGACTGAGTAAATAGACAAATTTGTCTTTATTTTGCAACATGAAATTCTGTGAAGTTAGATCCTATTTATTTAGAAGCTGAGTTTTTATGACGCTGAAGGCAAATCTTGAATGAATATCTTAACTTTTCATTTTACAAATATTGATTTTATTTAGAAAATCGGCACTTAACTTACATTAAAAAGCATCTAAGGGTTCATTCTACCGTCCTACAGATGAGATATAAGAATATTTAACTTTCTTATCGTTTGATAAAAAAATACTTCATGAATGATAAACACTAATATAACTTCATTTGTCTATCAAACTCTAAATAATTATTCCTCACTGATTAATTTTATAAGTTAATTATGAAAAGTACCATTTTATGAGTTATCAGTATAACTGTGGTGTTATTATATGCATCGCAAACCTTAACATACATATTTGTATACTGATTTTACGTGCTGAACTTCAAATTGCAAAATAATTCATTAGAAATGTAATTAAACTATATTCCCTTTTATTCTTAAGACTTTAAGTTCGAATCTTAAGGGGTTTACAGTGTATACTGCTGACGCATGAAAAAAATGTCTATCTAACATAGCCTCATTTTAAATAAGCATAAATTGAGACTCGAACTGAGACATGAACTGTATGAAAATAAGCTTTGTAGAGAAAATACTTTTACAATCAAAAAGTTGGGGTAACGTTTTTTTCAACAGAAACATTAACTGACTTTGGTTGTTTTTGTAACAGCTTGCTGATGAAATCTTTACCATTAGCTGAAATTCCATTGAATGCATCATGATCGAATGTGAATTGTCCTCTTCCAATTTTGTCGATTGTTTCAGCTGGAGTACTTCCTTTAAAGGGTGATAAACCGCTTAAACTAAAAAGAAAATAATCATGAAAGATGAAACTTTCTATTGGTAGTAAAATCAGTCAGGAAAAAAATTTTAAAAGTCGCAAATTGTATGCACAGAATAGAAAATCGAGACAATTCTTTATAGCAGTGACGAAACTAATAACAACAAATACGTAAGACGTTTTTGAGGTTATACATCTAATCTTATTCCTGTTACATCCTACACATATTTTATCTGGTTAGAAAAATATCTGTCGCTTGGCCTATAAATAGTTTATTCATACTGATTTATAGGAGGGAGAGGTTTAGCTTTTAAGTTAGATGTTAATACTGATAGTAAGACAAAAAGTCTTTTTGCATGTACATGCTTGTCGAGGTTATTTTTTGCTTAGCTCACTTTGATTAAAAAAAATTGAGTGGTACAGGTTTGCATTCTAAGAATAGAAGTAGATCCCTGAAGTTTGCCATCAACCACCTCCAACCTCTAAATAACAAAATTAAATTTCATGTACAGCTTAACAATGAAGTCAATCACTCACATCATATAAGTCAAAATTCCGATCGCCCACATATCTGTATAAAAGCCAACTGGTTCAGAACGTGTAATTTCTGGTGCAGCAAATTCTGGTTGTGATAGACTAACTTTAACTGGTGTTTTCGGATCTAATTTCTTTGATAAACTGAAGTCTATGATTTTTAGATTTTTTGATTTCGATGTTTCAAACATTAAATCTTCCGGCTAAAATAAATAAATAAAAGTCATTTTAGAAACGAAACAACTTATCTTATAATACAGAAATAAAATTAATTCTGTACTTAAAAAATAGCAAAGTTACCATTTTCCCAGTATTTTTCACCAGTGGATAACGTATACAAACCCATAAAAATGATAATTAAAAAAATGGTTGTTGATTGGCTCTTCTAATTTTCACGTTCAATGAATCGTATCACTACTTGTGGCTTCAGAATTTCGATCGCATTCTTAATCAAATTTAATCACATTGTGAAATCAAGTAAAATTCATCAGTTTTATGATTATTTTTTTAAAAATAAAATCATTTCGTTGTTATGTTGAAAATGAACAGTCTGATTTCTCCTTAAATAATAATTCAGTTAGTTGAGTTGTTTATTAAATCAATATTAGCATTTTGAAGGAAATAGTCTCTAACTCCAGCTCAACACCATTCAACTTTAAAATTAATTTTTTGGGAAAATTGTAAACGCTTGATTATTGTCCATTAATCTATGAATTCGAACCAATTACTTTAGATAAAACACTAGCTGGGACAAATTGCAAAGTCCCAGAAACATTTTGCAACCAGTATTGATGATAGTAAATGTAAGTTAGTCATTTTCCAGTGTCATATGAACACTGATAAAAATAGTTCACTTTTAATTTTCGATAGATTGCTTACTTTTAAGTCCAGATGAATAATATTCATATCATGCATATGTTGTATACCTTCGCATACTTGTCGAATATAATTAATAGCATCAGCTTCGGACATTGTGAAACTTTCATCGGCTAATCGGTCAAACAGTTCACCACCGGTAAGTCTAAATTATTAATAGATAAGCAATGATTGTAAATTGATCGATTCTTACTATTTAAAGTACCATAAACAAATTATAAGATGTTAGAGAATACAAAATACAGAATTCCAGCTTCCTAAGTTGTGTTATTATCTTATTAGAGAGAATATCTTCCAGAATTCACAACAACACATTAGCCCTGAAAGAACTGTCATTGTACGCAACTAAAGAATTTCAGACTTCTGTAATTTAAAAAGATTAAGTTATCTAACTTGGACAGATTGATGTTGATAAGATTTTTAATTTGAGATAAATACCTTATTGAAGCCTCAATAACCAAACGAAGGTAAGAAATATGAATAGTTCATCAGTATTTCTAATGCCTCTCTTCATGAGTATCCCAACAGATTGCTGAGTAAGTGAAGTGCAGAAAAATCCTACCCAACTAAGAATCAAATTCTAGTATTTTAAAGCGATTGAATACTTTTTTTTAAAACTATAGATTTGATGAAAAGTTTTTGCGAATCCGGACATTATTTTTATGGAAAACACATCAATTGGAAATATATTGAGAATCAAAGAGTTATCTCATCATAGGTTTGAATTACTCATTAATATGTCCCAACGACCCTGCACAAAAAACTTACAGATCAATGAAATTAAATTTATTGGCTTAAATTTACAGTTGACTGGAACTGATGCTAAACTTCCATGCAGTATCACTGATGATACATGTCATACTCAAAATGTTGTTGAATTACATAAACTACGGTTTCTTATCAAAAGGTTAGAAAATCCGTCTCAATCTGTCTTTTTATTAGAAAATTATTTATCAATAAAATTCCATCAGTGATTTTGATGTCTATCAAAATAATTAGTTTAAATATTGCGGATTGAAAATGAGGAAGTTGACAGTGACTAAATAGACTTAATTATTTTCCTCACAAAAAGTTAAAAATGCCGAAAAAAATACTATCCAAAGTTATATCGCCATAAAAATTTACATGATTCAACTTTCAAGCAATTATTACAAATTGTGCTACCAGATTATATGAATTCATCTGTGCTAGTTGTATTATACTGTTAGAAAATTATTTGGTGAAGTTAAGTAAGTTATAATTTATAAACCAGCAATATAAATCCAATGATTCAACATGTAACAGGTGTTATAGCTGAACTAAGCAATATTCATACTTTCATATTTATTTAAAGAAAAAGACTTACAATTCCATAACCATCGCTACGTCATTCTTATCATCGAATGCTTCATGTAAATTAAGCAATTTTGGATGATGTAGCTCTTTCATAACTTCAATTTCATTTAGAACGACATGTTTATCCTGTGGTGAATCAGTGTTGACAAATTTACACGCATACGAATTACCGGTTGTCTTTTCTTGACATCGATGAACAGCACCAAATGTACCACTGGATTATTACGAACAAAGGAAAGAAGTATAAAAATTTAAAATTTAAATAGCCTCTCTGTAGTTAACTAGTTAATACATTTCTAGGGAGCTTTGACCAGTTAGTTATTGATAGCAATTTTCTCTAGTATAATTTATGAGGTTTCTTTAGAAACTTCATCAAAAGAACTCAATCAGCACTGAAGGAATAGGCAAACATTATATTGTTCACTAATGAGTGGATCAATCATTTATAGATATCTTAATTCTACAAGAAGTTGTTGAGGGTCTGAAAAGTTCAGTGATAACGTCTTGGACTGTGAAGCTCAGTACTATGGTTCCGAATGTGCCAGGGTGAATAAATTCTCTCAGACTTCTAGATACACCTTGCTGACAAGTGTTAAGTAACAAAAAGCCCTTGGTTTAAGGCTCCCTATTAACTTCCTTTAACTATCTTACACATTTTATGAAGTGATTCATACATAATTTAGTTCGTAAACCGTTATATAGCTGTTGGTGTGTGAGCATTATATATATATATCACTTAACAAAGTAGAAAACAAAGGCAGGTATTATGATAATTAAAATGGTAATGTGACTTAACAATCTATCGAAAACAATGACTCAGCCGATTTTAACATACTGAAGCTATAAGGTAGAGAAAAGTAGGTTTTTGAATATTTACCCAAAAGGAAGTATTACGGTACAACAAATCTACATAACTAGTTTAAAAATGATCTCGGCGAACAAGAAAAAATAAAAGTTTAGATGATTAGGCCAGCGAGGCAACACCAAAGATGGCTATGCAAAATAAGTATCCTACGCTCAAGGTGAAATTTCGGAGCTATTTCAAATCATGTTTTCGAAAACTTGAAGTAACTGATTCACTCTATAAATTATAATAAGACAATAATATCCACTTAAAAAAATCCATTATCATATATGGTGGTGATATGAATCTTAAATGTTGTCTTATTTGTTCCTGCTATAACCATAACTAATTATTACTAAATATCTAACCCTATATTCGATTATTTTTCTGAAACTTAGAAATAAATTATACTGTTTTTAAAATACTTCACCTAATTGAAAGGTTTATTTGGATTAATAATGAGAAATTTCTTAAATAAACCATTTGTCTGATGTTAGATAACTTACATCCCAAGTTCTTCCATGATGTCATAATAGTCATATACACTTTCACCTTTATGAACTTGAGTTGGAAATGGTGTTTGTTTGTCCCAAATGTTTCGATCTAAAATGATTCAAGTTAATAGTTTGAAGAATAGAGTTTATTAGATTTCCTGTTAAAATTTCAAAAATAAAAAACTTATTCATTCAAATTAAGGCACCATCTGTCATATTGCTGGGTTCAATTTATTGATTCAGAATAACTCTCTGTGGTACAGTGATTTAATGTAACTATTTGACTGAATGCCAAACAGGGAAATATTTGAATGTACGGAAGAACTAAATAATATTAATTTTCATATGGGGTTTAATCGAATATGAAGGACAATAACGAGAAGAAATGGATGAGTTTTGAATGTACTCATTTCTATTTCTTTCCTCAGTACACGTGAAAAAGATGACATTTCATCATAATTTTTTAACCTGCAACTCATAAGGTTTTAAAAACAGCCGACCAATTTGTTCAAATCCTCAAATTTATTTCAATCTATCATGTAAAGTGTTTAGATGAACTGGTACTTCTAGAAAATCACCCAAAATTATAATCAACTTTATCGAATACATGATAAAAATGCATCATGATATTAAGAATCGTGTTGTCAGGTTAATTGTTCTCTATAGTCACCTAAAAGATGGCTTTCTGAAGTATAATATACTTAAGAAACCAGTTATTAAGCGTGATCATATTGGCAACATAAAATTATTGAATTTTTCTTCGTGAAAATGATCCTTACAACACTACAAAAATATTTTAAGATTGTTAAATATTTAATTGTTGAAACTAAAGAAAATAAATTTCGGGAAACAAATTCACAATTATTATCTCATTCTCACTATTGATAGCCAGTTCTCATGACTCACATTGTTCATTTAAAGTAAACCGTATTTTGATATTACCGGGATTATGACTTACAAAATCTATCATAATTTTCAATTGGAGGTCCAGTATAATCACTACGACCGTCTTCGCGTTCACGACGAGCACCACGCTGACGAGTATCTGCAGCAATCAAGTGACTTTCAGTCGGTTGACATGGATCACTACGACCATGCAAATTTTCTGCCATTACACGGAATCGATATTCTTTACCATTGACAAGTCCTTCACAATTATATGTTGAGAAACTATTACGAGTAAATAATAAGAGCAAAGTGAAGAGATTATATTTTGATTTGTTTTTAGAAACATTATAGATTAGATTAATTATCGGGTCTGTAAATTTTTTAGTGACTATGAGTATAAGTCACAACATAATAAAATTATGTTTACTTAGCTCAGCAACGTTCAATTACCACCTCAAACTGATTGAATCGAACAAACAAAGTTTAGGTTTTTCAGAGAATAAAAATCCTCCTAATTCTCAATACGTAATTCAACAAATTTGACCACATAAATAAAACATTTCAATTGTTGATTGATGGTCAAGTGATCTAGGAAAAACAAGATCTACATTAAATCTAATGATCTTTGGCATTCATTATATAGTGTGAGATCGTGAGTGCGGTCTTCTGAGGAGATGAAAACTAGTATGAATTATCAACTTTCTCTAGCTCTGAAGTGGACAACAATCTGTGATGAAAATCAAGTCTCAAGGGTAAGTTATAAATGTATCAATGTGGCATGGTAAATAATATTGCAAGAATATACTCCACAGTTTACTTACCGATTTGTACCTGCTCTAATCCAAGTATCGCCAGGCATTTCACATCGTTCAATGATATACTGAGAAATATATCCAGTTTCTGCAGGCATACTCCAAGATAAAAGTGCTGATCCATCAGCTACGCCTTCTACTTTCAAATTCACTGGTGGTGGCGGTCTGTCGTTTATTCTTAATTCGATATCTGCCGAATCTGATCCCATTTCGTTTTCCAATGTTATATTTAATTTTCCAGAAAATTCTTCGCCTACATTCTCCAAGGTAATTATAGCATGACGATCTTTTAGCACAGTACTGACATTTTTTCCCTCTCTTATATCTTTACCATTTAATGTCCATTTAGCTTTGGGTTTAGGAAATCCTGTATATGGTACTTTAATTACAATAGAATCCCCACGTTCCCATTCAGTAGGCTCTTGCCAACGACTTGGTAAATGTATTTGTGGTTTAGCTGGAAAGTAAACAATAAGCATATGATAAAAAGTCTTCTTATTAAAATAAGCAATTCACACTCAAAATATTGATTGAATAAAAATTCCAAACATGAATTATTCTTTCCACTTGGTGAAATACTATTTACTATTCAGTTCATCTTTAAATGAATAGGTGACCGTGTATCCATAGTGAGAATTCTGAGTTTTGTTCATCATAAATAGAATTAGGTTAACGAACATCATCTGGCCAAGAAACTCAATAATTCTGTGAAATAATGCGAGGAGAAGACAAAGGTTATCCAGATTTATCAAAGTGATCCATTGTTTTAAATGTATGAAATAAATTCGTGAGCCAAACTTAATTTTTTCATTTCCTCATGCTGAATATGATAATCGATGAACATGTGACATTTAAATGAGCTATTCCAGCTCCATTTGTAACCTTCTTACCTATTTAGATGATCGATTTTGAATTTATACACATGTATATCTGATGTATATCAGAGTGATCCAGTTAGTTACGTTGATTTCATCAAGTGATTGATTGCATAAAACATTACTACTGGTGTAACTTAGCGACATGAAAACTCTTGAAGGTCATTTATCATAAATTCCACTTCTTTTAAAACATGCAAAACATCATATTATTGAAATGGGTTAAAGCTTGATAATTTAACATTATTGTATGATTAAAAGGTAATTTTCAATCGAAAAGAAGTAATATATCACGCTATTCGCTTTAAGCTATGATATAAATTTATGTGAAATTATCATTAGATATTCAAGTTTCAATTTACAAGTGGTTGTTTCCAGACTAATAACACTACTAGTCTTTAAACATGAACTGTTGTAAAAAAATATGACTCCATTGAATGAACCTTTCTAAAAGTAGAATGAATATCATTCAAATTCAGTGTGAAATAAAAACAAACCGCTGTATTTAAAAGGTTATCTATCATGACTCCATCTCTAACGATCATTGTATAGAATTATTGTGACATTATAAAATTGAAACAACTGTTAACTTTAATACTACTTGACTCCATTTATATATATATATATATATATATATATATATATATATATATATATATATATATATATAAACAAGTAATTGTAACGCTGTGTTGCCATAACAGTCCAATAACCGTACAATTATATCACGATACATGGATTTTAAAAAAAAATCCCTCATTTTCGAATATGAATACTTTTCTAGGCTGTTTATTAACTTCACAAATTTTCAGTAGCTTTAAAATTAATGTCAGTACAAATTGTGTAAATCATTTATCTTGTGTACCTCATATATTTCGCTAATAGCAAATAGTGAAAGTAAGAAGAAGCATAAAACTTAAGTCGTTGTCCTAAATATTATTACTATATTAATCTGTATAATATAAATGAGTTGTACAAAGTGAATGCACGCTTAAAAACTATGACTTATGGCTTCTCCCGTAAATTCATTAAGTAAACGTGGTCAAACTAAATTTCATAGAAGAAATCAAAGAAACAATTTGTGATATGTTAAAGCTTATGCAATACTACAATTTTTCATGAATTACACTAAACTTGAATATAATCATTACATTTAGTTTAAAGAAAATGTTGCTCTTACATTTGACAGAGAGTGGTGCTCGGCTAACCTTGGAACCGCCTCGATTTGAAACTTTTATGCTGTACTCGTCAGCATCTTCGAGGCCACAGTTACGAATTGTTAAATAGTGAAATCGTCCTTCTTTGGTCATTTCAATACGATGGGACTCGACAAGATCTCGAGGACCTTTCGACCATATTACATCGTAGTTCGATGGACAGTCCACTTCAATTTCAAATACAGCATCTGCACCCTCTTTTGCAGTTTGTGCTTTAAGACCGCTAACGAAAGTTGGTCGTGAAACAGCTTTGTGAGTAGAAAACATTAAAAATCAAGCACAATTAAACTATTTTATAACAAAAAATTGACAATAGATGTAAATTAAAGCTAAATTCAAAAAATATTGTGTTATAATGTAGTTTAGAATAAGATGACCCAGAGTCCAGTTTTTGGACGCTGAGTGATGAGAAACTAACTCAAACTTTAGTACAAGCCTTTGAAATAAATAAGCATCTCTAGTTATCCATTTTATGCGGGTTTCGGAGATTGTTGAGATTCTGAACCGACCTAAGTTAGACAACCACGCTCTCAATGACTGGTTCGTGATATGAATATTTTTCTCCAAATCGTAAAACTTATTCTAAACTATATTCAGAAAAACTAAAAATTTAGCCATTCAATGTGGTATACTCAACGACTACCACTTGTTTGTCCAGCACCAAAGATCCATATTTTTATTTATGTTGGTGAATACAAGTGAGGACTACTATTTACAAGTACACATAATATCTTTATGAATGAATAAAATTGTCTTCTTTTGTCTGTGACGAGTTTCATAGTTTATTTATTCACCTAATGCAAATATGCCTGAAGCGTAAAATATTTATCAATTACCTACATCAATTCACAACACTGTTTATCAAATATCCATTGGTTTGAAACAATTGCCCCACAACTATTCATTCTGTAATTTTCCCATACAACTTAGAAAAATAGATGAAACTTTTGAGACTTGAATGTGAAAACAAACGTAAAAGTTTGTCCTAAAGTAGATATCTTAAATAATAACTCATAATGAAGCATCGAACTATATGATAGCCAACTTTATGAAATTAAATATTTTTTTTACCTTTGGGATCTTTAACACACACAGGTCGATCTATTGAAGTTGGTTCACTTTCACCAGCATCATTAACAGCCATAACACGAAATTCATAGGTTTTATCTTCAATTAAATTTGGCACATTGTAACTGAGTGTAAGTATAGGGTTTGGAGTAACACGTGACCAATTCTGTGCACCAACTTCACGTTTTTCTATAACATAACCACGTATACGACCACCACCATCTGTGGAAGGTCTAGTCCATGTTAGATTAACAAAATCTCCTCCAACTTCATTAGCAGTTAAATCGCCTGGCTTTCCAGGTTTATCTACAAAACATAGAAATAAGCATTTGATACATTATAATTGTTTGTGAATATGATTTCATAAAATTTATGATAGCTATGATAGCTAATTGAATATTTTTGGTAGCCGTGAATGTTGTTGTTTTGAATGATGTTAATGAAATAAAAATTTTAATAAAGAGCTTATGGCATAAACATTAATAGGTGCTCATTCAAATGACGCTTAACTTTACTTATGTGGCTAAATAGAGATTTATGTACTTGATTGCAAACAATAAGCTTATGAATGAGATAAAGATACTAATAACCGTTTGATCATATTATAAAGGGAGTGAAAAAGGAATGAGTAAACTTAGTAGGCGAATTCATTCACACGTAATTAGATCAGGTAGTAGTAATCTTTTTTACATGTTGCGAAACATCTATTCAATGATAATTTTAAAATTAAATTCTATGAATTACTTTAGCCACGGCATTAAACATTTTGCGAGATCAAAATATTGAATATTTTCTGCGTTTAAGTAGGTTTGATTCAAGAATGTTCTTTTTAGAAAGGTGCTCATATTTTTAGTCTGAATTCAATATTGGTGGCAGACAGGTAGTTTTAAAAGACTGAAAGTATCTCAGTGACTTACCGAATGGATACTTGGCAATTACTTCATTAGGAACTTGTAACCATTCTCCTTGACCACAATCATTTACAGCAGCTACACGGAACAAATAATGTGCATTTTCCTGAAGACCTTGTACTTCAAAACTCGGTTCCTTACTACTAGATGATACAGGAACCCAACGATCTTTACCAACCTCTTGACGCTCGATTATATAGTGAGTAATTTTAGATCCCCCATCATCCTTTGGAGGTTTCCATGATAATCGCGTACTGAAAGGTGTTGTATCCGAAATAGCAATCGGACCCTGGCATTCTCCTGGAGGAGCTATAAAAGTCCAAAAATATATATTCACACATTGAATGATTTCGTATCAAATAACTATAATTGTCAGCTTCTTTAGCTCTCTATAACATACCCCTACTGCTTATACAGTAAGTACATTAATAACTTGGTGGCATTAAGAACAATAAAGAAGGCCTGACCATTTACTCATTTGTATTAAGACCAATTTAAAACAACTTTTCAAAATAAATTGGAGCAAACATTTTCAAATAGTAATTCATATTACAAAAACTGCAAATTTTGTGAACAATCGACAAGTTAATTTCCCCTAGTTTAAATTACCATAAAATTGAGAATCATATGACCTAGATGTTTTGTTTAAAAGAACTACGAACAACACTTGACGATAGATTACAAACACTAAGAAAAATCGAATTGAATGTTAGAAACTACTTCCAAAGCTTTGCTTGAAGGATATTACCTTCTGAGTGCATAAACTTTTATGTCGAGCCCACAGGGCTTGTCCCAAGCCTTCGGACAACTTAGTCAATCCATTCTTTCGAATTTTTATTTACATGCCTTTTGACCTTGTCAATCATTCTCTCATACCTTGATCTCTACCAACTTTTTATTACCGCCGTCTCACAAACAGGGTTCGCCTAAGTATGATATACGGGAACAGAAGAAAAGATTTATTTCGTCGCATACTCGATCATTCGTAAGTACTGAAGTTAGTACGCGAGCCTGTAAAGAAGTGAGCACTTTTTCTGATTTAATGTAGCCACCAAAATGATGAGCACGACGACAAATTAATGCAGCCCACTAAATTTTTTAATTTAAACATCACTGTCATACCCAACAAGAATCTCATTGAAAATTTTGAAACATACCGTTATGTATCCATGAAAGGAGGTTAACAATTTTTTGCAATGGTTTGTATCGCATAATCGGAGCCTTACTTAGAGACAAACATCCTGTTTGTAATCTTTCATGGCATTTTCGTGCAATATGATATCAACGGCCAGAAGACAGTAGTTAGACATCAATATTATCCACACTTTATTTTTCAGTCAACATTACAGCTGAGAACGAGTGATAATATTTTAAAAACGGACAGATATACATAGAGTTTATTCGTCATATGTTGTTTTTAGTTAAAGTACGATTGAAATCATGGTTTGCTGAATAGTTATCTCATTTTTTAGCGATAGGCACACATGAACACACAGGGGGTCGGATCTAGGATTCTCAGGGATCGTTTAATCTTAGGAAAAATCATGTGGGCAATTTTTAAAGAATTAGATATCCAGAAATCAAAACAGTTCCTGTTTTGTAGTGATATATTACTTATTACTTTGCTTCAACTTACATGTTATTTTTAAATTGAATGGTACTGAACTGAAACCACTTTCATTTCCAATTTCTAAAGTATAGTATCCGCCCATATTTCTTGTTACATCTGTTTTACAAAAGATAACGAAATTTGGAGGACTTTTTAAAACTTTTTATAGAAATATTTATTTTAATTGCTTAGCCAATAAACTACTGTTAATGAAGATCTATTTTGAAATGTAATTCAAATCATTGGTGAATAGAGACGTTTTTAATTTAATATTTTCAAATTTTATAATAAATAAGGATTTACGAGAAAAATGTTTTATAACTTAGTATTTGTTATTATATTCTACAAATTTTTTTATTTAAAGAATACGTACCTAATAAATAGCTATTTCAAAGTTATTGTAAGCCTACGAAGAAACATCAGATGGATGATTCCCAAGTTAATTTTGATGTTTTTGGTTGATCGAGTTACGAAATTGTAGTAGTAAAGGTACTACGTACTTTCATTATATATCGTTGGCTAGACTAGACCAACCTTATAAACCTTCAAAAAGGGAGGACCACAACTTTATACCAATCCAACAGTTAGTTGTACAGACAGGTCATTTCTTCAGAAGTATAGTTCTCCGTGTGTCTCGTAGGGACGGTTATTTTAATTTTGTGCATCATATCCACTCTTATTTATCAGTTATTACCTTCTAGTTACATTCGCTTTGTTTATTTCTGTTAGTCATTTCTATCTAAAACTGTTGGGGATGTTAGATCACCAGAACTCGCTTGATAAATACCTTTGTTTTGGATTTATTTCATGAAACGATCTGTTGACCCTGAGATCACATTTCCTATCAGGAAAATCCCTGGCTGTGATTGGCTATCATGTATTTTAGTGTGCTGTTTTTGTGATTGTCCCAAGGACGTCTCAATAGAGTATAAATAAACGCAATTTGAGTGCTTGGATTCATGGTGTGCTGGCTGTGTGTTTGTAGAATACACTTTCTACGCTATATCAAGACTTCTTGCTGGTACAATTTGGTCAAGGGATCACAGTAGCCTACCTAGACGCTCGTTCATTGTTTCGTTCTCGTTATTCGACTAAGGTGAACTCGTAATAGTTTAAGCATACCTAGAGACGAGCGTAACAAAAACAAATAAATTTGTATCAAGTTCTGCGTTACCACATCTACTATCTATCTTCACTTATAATTGGAAATAAATGCTTAGAGATATTATCTCTTCGTCATGTTGAGATAAATAAATTCAAGTTTATCTTAACTTGTCAAAAATTCTCAAGTATTCTGCTTAAAGTCAAGTAATACTTTAGTATTTAAATTAAATAAGGTGAATTCAATAAAATATGACCTTTTAGTTGAACAGATGCTGTTCCATCTAAATCCATCAATTTAACTCGATCAGATTCTGGTAATTCACGACCATTACATTTTAATTTCAATGTGATCGATCCCCGACCGGAGTAAGGAACTTTGATTTTGACAAGATCACCTTCTGAAGCCACTTTGTCATCAATATTACCCAGGATCTTGGGTATTCCTACACAAAGAAAACAAACAAATTGTTAGGTTTCACCTGATAGTTTAACAATTCATATAATGATTATAGGTAATTATATTGTGGAAGCAAAATAAGTTAATCAAACTTACCCAATACTTCAAATGGAGCTGAACATGAATTTTTACCAGAAGGATTTGATACTTGACATGTTATAGTCCCACTGTCTTTTTCATCAAGATCTTGTATTTCAATGCTCGCTTTTCCATCAGGACCAGGTGGATTAATCTTAACACGGTTACCTGGTAAAAGTTCTATACCATCTCTGAACCAGCGTACCGAAGGAAGTGGTTGACCATCAACTTGTACTTCGAATGCAGCTCTTCCTCCAATCGGAGCAGTTGTAGGACGAATTTTCGTCACAAAATCAGGTGTTGCAGTAGCTAATTTTTGTTTAAAAGGAAGAATATATTGATGATGAGCTTGATTGAAAACTGATGGAACAAATATTTGGACCCTGTTTTATAGTAATCTTATCTAATGAATATATGCGAATTCTTAAATGGTTTTACCAAACTTCAGTGTTTTTGTTACCTTAGTAATATTATTCAGCTTGTAGGTAATATATGCATATGATTGGTTAGATGCCTGGTCGTTAACTATTTACCAGTGATCAAGTCATATGCCATGTATAACCTGGAACATGCGTACATCGACTCAAGTTTCCATGCCACAATAGCAATAATTATTAATATAAATAGCAGAGTAGTAGAAGTAGTAAAAGTACCGATAGTAATGAAAGAGATTGAGTACGGAAAGCAAACTAAAAGTATAAGGAGTTTTCAGAGCTCAGGATCTAACAGAAAACAGACGGCGGATTCGCCTGGGCCGCTGTGAATTATGTCACCCACACTCTTAAATCATTGATTACGATAATCACTTAGACCACCTGAACCCAATGATATAGTCAGGACAAATTATTAACAACTACATGGACTGATGCCACGTCTCCATTAGACTGTCTCGAAATTTCTTCGGCTTTATCCTTGGACTAGCAAAAGCCTCTCGTTTAGGTAAGCGGTATTTGGGCATATATCACATATTTCAACCTACTCAATCTATAGATTCATGATTTCACCAATTAATTATCCATATTTCCCTAATGCCTTATGTCCAAACTTAGTACTGCAACTCAGTGGTCCCAAAATATTCAAGTGATGGACTTAAAACGCCTATGATCAAATACTAGTAACCTACGGAAATTATAGATTTTTAATAGTCGAACATCGTAAATTGATGTGCAGTAAATCTGTCCTTCTTTCCGCAAATAGTCGTCACGTTTAGGTCACAGGCGACAAAGAAAGGTCCAGGCCGACCTGCATTTCTGCATTCATTTTGAGATTTCGTCAGAGACCAATTCATCAAGACCGATAAGACTCACAGAATGAATGTAGCAGTTGACATACTTAACTACTTCTCTACTTATCATCAATTCAGGCACTGGCATAGATTTATCCTAAAGCAATATTTTGCATTCGGAGAAATAAAATAACAGCTCATACATGCTAACATTGTTGCTCAAAGTGATCAAAAGGCTATGTATTTCAATAGCGTCTTCATCAAACAGAGCAATATCATCTACGCATTTTAAGTCTGCAAGTTAAACTCTTAGTAGGAGATCAATTCGTAGAAAGTTAGACCATGTAAACGTTATCTGTATAGGAATGTATATGACAGAATAGAGGTAGTGAACAACTCTGGTCAGTACTGCTTGAGGTTGGCAATTCCGAACACAGTTCGCGACAAGCTTCAACCCAACCAGTAATGCTGAAGTGGAAAACCTGTATAGAGCTGATGTATTTATTTTATATACCGTTGAATGATAGGTTTCATCAGAAAACCTGTCTATCGATAGAGTCGAATGATATCTTTAGGTCAGAGACTACAGCTACAGTAAAAAGTTGATAAATATATCTATATTCCAGAACCCGATGAAGGGAAAATATCTTCTCGATACTTACACGTCCAAGTCCTCAGCTGAACTGGCTTCCAAGGGTATGCTCTTTATGGGCATTAGTTTAACGACGGTTGATTATTGAAGCTAATAATTTAGACACTGTAAGGTAAAGTGATTTGCCTATGGTTATCACAAGGGGAGTTTCATTTTTTTATTATTATCTAGGATTACCAAGATCAGCTGGGTGGGATTACACAGAAATTCCAAACCTCATTTGATATTTCAGTCAATCTAACTGCTAAAACTGGACTACCATCCCTAAATACTACATAGAACAGAGTGGACTTACGCTTCCGCTTCGTCTGCGTGAACTTCAGTTAACAATCAAATGACATGACATTTCTTCCCTTATATCAAATAAATACGGACAACCATGACAACCATTCATTTGGAACAATTTAGAACAATTAGTCCCTTTTATAAATTTTGATAGGACAATGAGAAAACGTAATTGATCTGATAAATGTGATGTATTTGCTATATATATAGAGAACAATCTGGTCACACATATTTACTAGTCAAGGCATTTTATATGAAGATTAATAAAAGGTCAATTAAATAAAAGTTCCAATAGGCATAAGGTGATAATTGTAAATAAAGGAGAGAGAAAATTAACGTAATATGAAAAGAATAAGAAGGGGTAGGAAAATTGTCACATTACCCTAGGCTTAAAGATTACCAGGGTAAATTCAAGGTTATAACAAATTGTTTCGAATAGCCAAGGCCTCCATAAACCTCAAAATTTGTCCTTCAACATTTCTATACAATGTTTTGAAGGCTGTCTTGATGTCAATCTTATGCCTTGTCTCAAATGTGTTCTGCGGTCGATGATCACGGTTTTCTATTTCCCACTCTAATCGGCTCATCTGAGGTTAACTGATTTTGAAGCCACTTAGGTACATGTTCCATAACCCTTGATTGCAAAGTTCGATTACTCCTCCCTATGTATGTGTTACCACACAAACATGTACATTGATAAATGCAGTGGGATGTGATGTAATCATATGAGCAACGTTTAGGTCTCTCTGGAATCATGAGCTTAGTATTTTCAATTATAATCAGTTTAGCAGCGTTGTATGTTTTCCCTATGGCTGCCATTTGTTTCATCTCTAATTGGTAAAGTGATATAAAGCTTTTTCTTCTCAGCAAAATTGACCTTTTATTAATCTTCATATAAAATGCCTTGCCAAGTATATGTGTGACCAGATTGTTCGAAATGTATAGTGCAAATACTTTACATTTTTCAGATCAACTACGTCTTCTCACTGTTCTACCAAAAATTGGGATAATGTTGGAATGCTGGATAGAAGGAGTACAAAGAACACTAAGGAACTTTTAGAGGCTTTGCACTCAAGTCAGTCAAAAAGCAACAAACATGTGGATATTGACCCAATTTATCAACCGATCAGAAAAATCATAAGCAAACATAGGATCAAGAAACAGATCGTAGGGGGATACAATCCAAATGAAGATTCAGACAACGACAGGTTTATGCCAAATAACTACCAATCAAGATTGACGTCAACAGAACAATCTACGGGTCATACGCGGAGAAAATAGGATACTTCTATCTGAAGATCGATGAAAGCTCCAAAAGCAAAATATCCAGCCTGGAGAATGAAACTCCACTACAATCATCCACCTGAGCTACAAATTTTCTCCACCATCTCAGTGTGTTTACCAAAATTAAAGGTAACAAGAAGAAATCCGGTATCCAGAGTATTCAGTTATTTATGATTGTTCTGTAATTTATATTGCTTCGTGTAAGCATATTTTCAAGTTAAAGGACCTTTAATATATATCTTTAATGAACAGTGTATAAAGTTAAATATTTTGTCTATATAAACAAGTGATTGATAAAAAGCACTAAAAAAACCCAATCAGACGCTGAAAAATTAATCTTAATCATTAGTACAGACACATTTGGTTATTTGTTTTTTGTTAGATCGCATCTGTAGATACTAGCAGTCACATATCTGTATATTACAAATCTCTAAATTAAGCTTTTTAGATAAAAAAAAAACTACATAACAATTTGTATAGTGCATTTAAGGTCTGGAATTAATTTATTTTTTAACTCTCTCAATACTATATGATTTTATATTGGTGGTAATTAACTTCAGAATGTATCATTCTCATAAACAGACCCAGTCACATTGACCAAAGAAGTTTTCTTCCAAAAAATATTCTCACTTATCTATAGGAAATTTATTGTCTCAGTACATATTTTTCTAACAAGTATGATATTAATTTACTCACGTTTCTTCTCTTCAATTCTGATAATAGGAGTTGGATTACTTGGTTCACCTGGTCCAGCAGCAGTAATTGCTTTGACACGGAATTGATACATATCTCCTTCGTTAAGATTATCAAGGTGTACGTAGTTACTACTGATAGGTTTACCATCTGATGTCGCTACCTCCCAATCTGGAGAGTCTTTTTTGCGTTTTTCAACAACATATCCAGTAATTCTAGCACCGCCATCATTGTTTGGTCTTGACCATGATAAATCAATCCAATTCTTGCCAACTCCATCGACGTTCGGTTCACTAGGACTACCTGCTGGTACTAAGAGTATGGAAGAGTGAAAAAAAGAAGAGACCAATAATTTATCTCAGCTACCATTCACTATAATTATATTTAATAGGATCAGAATTGTGTACACGTGTTTGAATCATTTATTAAGCTACCCAGACAGTAGTCTAATAATATTATGCCCAACAGATTTATTTAACTAACACATTCTGCTGGTTTTGTATTAAGAATAGGTATTTAAATTCACGTTGCTGTGATACACACGTTCATGAACAACTACAAGTTATTCAGAAAAAACAAATGTATTCAAATAGTGTGAAAATAACTACTTAAACAAGCAACTGTCAATGTTCAACATGTTCCGTCAATAACCAAACATTGATTAAAGATTATGAACAGTTATAGTAGGTGATAAAGACTTGGACTCCCAGTGAATGCTTGTAAACTAGTTCTAAAACATCAGTCTAATAGATCGAGGTGATTGATGAGTGTATGTTTACATTGTAAATTAAATATCATTCAAGGACACTAGTACGTTAACTTTACTAAATCCAATCAAAGAAGAGAAGTACTTTGATAAAACTAAATCAAACATTTTGAAAAATGTGAAGTTAGATATTGCCATATACAATCTAACTATATGAAAGAACTAAATTGTCAATCAAATGGCATCTGAAAAAATCAATGACTATAAAAGTATGTATGTGCTCGTTCACATATTAAATTTAGTTGTGTAAAAACTAACGATTCTGTAAGGTCACTTCAATCGAACGAAATTAAAATTGATTTTCCTAGGTTATGTTGTAGTGCCTCCACATATATTCCAGTTCGCTTACATCTAACTTGGTTACGCCCTTTCGATGAATTTATTTAACCAAGCCGTTTGCGTAGCAACAAATTATATGTACCATTCGTTCTTATTATTGTCTGGTTTGTATGAGCTCCTGTGACTTGTTCCACTTGTCATTTGACCTTGTCAACCATTCGTCGCTTTTATTCATGTGTGTGCATGCCTATCTCGTTGATCACATGTCTGTCTTATTTTTGCTTGATTATACATTCTTAGTCATGCTCTATTTCTTTGAGTTGGCTCATTAGCCTCCTCCACATCGCTTCAGTCTCCCATTCGCTCGCCAGTGTACACAAAAATGGTGATCCCGACGTCAACAATATTGGCCACCACACAAAATGGTGAGCCCGCCGCCGTAATTGGCCGCCACAGTGTTACAAAATATTGCCTTTATTGTAAACCTACCAATCTTGAACAGCATTAAGAGAATTCGAGAAAAAGTAATAGATAACTGAAGCTTACTTTAAGGCGGAATTAGGTTGGGTATATAAGTTGATTGTTATTTACACAGTCATAAATTAAAACTCGTAGCTATAAAATACTGAAATTAGTATTGGTGTTCGAGTTGGAATAAATGAATCAGAAAAAGGAATAAACAGATCAACTCCTTGAAATCATTAAATACACTGACTGACTTAATCACACTTTTTCTTAGGATTTCCTAGTTTCTGTGATGTTTTAGCAATTATTAATGACTTTACGTCAACAGATATGAACTTATGACTTTTTCTAAGTAATATACAACTCCATGTAAAAATAATGTTGTTCTGTAGAAAACAATTGATCAAAAGCTAATTATTTTTCAAAATACCATCAATTTAATAATAATTATAAAAGAAAACGAAATGACAATAAAAAGTTGAAATGAATTACCATATTTTGGTTTGCATTCAATAGGACGTGTTGATGAACTTGGTTCACTAGTGCCAATATCATTTTTAGCAAGAACACGAAATACATATTTTTCACCGGGGGAAAGACCAGTCACTATTAAAACAATGATGAAAACATATTTTTAAAGAAGTATTTAAGGATAAATTTGCTTATAAATTCACTTTAAAAATGAGTCTAATATAATTAACAGAGATGGATGGTAGCTAATAGTGGGGCCTGACTCGTTAACTGGGTGTACCTGTATCCCAGAGTTAATGTTTACTCTGCACAAGATGCATATATGTCAAAGTGACTGGTGGATTGCACTCCTAAATTTCACAGAGGAAATTCAAACAACCAATAAGTCTAATACAAATTTAAAATTATTTCAGTATGTTTTGTGTGTTAATTTTCAGTGGTTTGGATTATTCAATGATCGAACAGGCCTCTCTAATATAACTTGAAATAATAAATGCCAAGATCTTAAATGTGGTAAACACTGGAGAATTTATTCACGACATTTTGTTCTTGGTCAATGTAATATTGAATGTGAATTTATTTCCAATACTAATAACATGGTTTTATATATATTCTAGACGCCACGTTATTTTTCTCTGATGTGTATTGAAAATTTTAAGAAAAATGTTGGATTTAGGGTCTAAACTGTGAATTGTATAAAGAATGGTTGATTCCGAGGTTAGTTAATGAGAAAATTACTGGCTAACCTCGGCTAGGAGATAAACTCCACTGTCACTCGTCATTTTGATTTTGTACCTGTGAATCAATCAGGATGAAGCCTCAAAGCTTCTGTTATTTACATTACTAATTAAAGATATACTTACAGAAAGTCATGAACAATGAAAAGTTTTCACCAACAGAAATATCACTCAATCAAGCTACGGACTTTTCACATGTAGTGCAGTCAGTCATGATGAAAGAAAAATCCCAACATAGCAAAAGTCATACTTCTTAACAATCCTGTAATATATTTATTCAAAAATATTTACTATTTACTGACTAAATGAACGAAAACATAACAGTGATTACTGACTACGTTACTTTTAGATGACATGATAACATGGAGTTTATTCCCGCTTACTAACTTCGCATAGTTAAGAAGATAAATAATCATTCTCTATAAACTTAGGCAATAATTTCTTTAAAAAAATTCTTTTTAGAGATACATCATTTGATGTTTTCACTTTTAATCTTGACGTTCTATTATTTTTGAATTTCATTACTTTCTATCTTTAACTTAATTTAATATTCACACACCGTTTGACTCATTGTAACTATTAATAACTTTTTATGGGATCAATTGTATCAACAACGAAATACACACTATAAACTAACTGAACTAATTTGTATTTACCTGTTCCACTATTTCCTCTAATGGGTCCTGTTGGTGCTTTTTCCCAACTGCCACCATTCACTGGTCTATACTCGATTACATAACCATTTATTTTACTACCACCATCCGATCTTGGCTTTGACCATTCTAATGTGACTGAGTTTGCATCAACATCGGCTACTTCAACATTTCCTGGTGCGCCAGGTGTAGCTAAAATTTAATGAAGAAATGAAATAAATTCAACTTTGAAAAAGCCAGTTACATTGTCAAGTATAATATATTTTACTTTATCTTATATTATAAGTTTCGATAAGTAAATTAACAGAAAAATTTACAAAAAATATGTGACTGCTTTGTTTTTTGTAACTGGAATTTTTATCAGTGAACCTACAGATAACATCATAAACAAATAACTTTAAGAACTGTAAAATCCTATTGTTGAGCTGAAATTTCATTGTATCATATCAAAATTTATGTCATTTTACATCTTAGATGAGGTAATTCAAAAATGAAATATTAAAATTTTTTTATCATAATGATTTTGACTCTCAAGTTGATGCCACTCCGTTATGCAACATAACCCCAAAATATACATAATATCAATACTTACTTGATGGATTCTCCGTTGTAATTGTATGATCTAATTCAAGTGGTTCACTAAGACCAAATTCATTTGCAGCTCGAACACGAAATTTATGTTTCTTGCCCTCATCTAAACCAAGTACATCATATTCTGTACCGCGTACAAATTTGCTAACTGGTGTCCATTCACCAGTACTTTGATCTTGTTTCTCGACCACATAATGTGTTACTGGACAACCAAGGGTCTCCTAAAATAATGAAGGTAAGAATAAAATATAATAAATTACCTGATAGCTATTGATATAAAGTTTAAATTAGGATAAGAATTATGAAATTTCAGTACAACAGTTTGGTAAAGTTGGTTCAATTTCGGTTAAAGGCCAGAGTTTGTTAAAATGTCCTGTTTTATACACACGTCGAACTAGGGGTATTCAGGTTATCGTGATTTTCGGCTAACGTTAATTGCTGATCGAATTCTCTGTCAGAATATATGAAAACGTACAAAAATCCCTGTTGTTTACTAACCAACAATTACGTAGTTGCGTGATGACTAACTTTTTTACTTTAAACTTCAATCTTCATAATATACAGCTGTCAAATTGAGTAAGAATTATCAATTCTTGTTTCATGCTTGCGAGCATGTTTAAACACGAAGCGCAGCTTTTAAATTTAATTTTTCCAGTAGTCAGTATTATCAAGATTAACTGAAACAAAGGTGTACATGTACAAAGAAGTAAAATAAGCACCGAAACTTGAGACCGATTTATTACAGAGGAATTTTCCTCACACTTATTGGTTATAATTTAAGTAGTTTGATGTGATGATAAAATTTCTCAAAGTTAATGTAACAAGCTGATCAAACGTTAACTTAACAAGAGATGAAAAGCAAAAAAAATTGTTAAACTAGATATTTTGGCTCATAAGAACACAGTAACATTAAAATCATTACTTTCAGTTTGCAATTAATTTAAATGTAAACAGCTTTTAATGCACAAGGGAAATTTGAATGAACACATAGTTGAAGCTTCAACAAAATATTCACCTTTGATTGCCTTCCAGATAGCACTATTACCCGTTCATGTTAAATCTTTTCGACAACATAGCGATAGATATTTACTATTCACAATTATGCAATCATCGTAAATCATTATGTTCAAATACACTCCTTCCTATGTAGATGTGATAATTTATATCTAACTTGAGAATTAATTATTTACCCTGACTGTAATTTAATTTCGTTTTGAAGATCTTTGAAGAGATTCTGTAGTTGTTTGATTATATCTTCTTATTGTAGTTTTTGTTTACTTCGCTAGTTTATTGACGTGTAATTATTTAATTCAGGCAATATTTATATCATTGAGTCACAGATATATAGTTCGCATTTAACAGTTAAAAGTGTAATCATTTAAAACTATTATTGATTACAACAAATTTTGATCATTTCAACTCACCTTTGGTGGCTTCCAGCTAAGTGTACATGAATCTGACTTAATATTTTTCACCTCAAGTGGTCCTTGTGGACTATCAGGTGGTCCAAGAACATTGATCTTTATCGGTAAACTATCTTGACCTTTATCATTTTTCAATGTAATTTTATACGGTCCTTCGTCTTGTTTATCACCTTTCTTCCCAACAATAATGACCTCGTCCGGTGTAATAGTTACGACGAATCGGCCATCATCTAAAGTAACTGGTACACCGTCCTTAAAAATTAAAACAAATATTAATAAATAGATGATTAATGTCAAATCGTTTCTATCACTCGGTTAATTTAAGTTTCAAAGAGAAGTTGGTGAGTTGAAAGTAAATAAATATTTACAGGGTGAGAGCAATAGCTTATCAAATTCAATGAATATTCACTCAATAACGATAAATTATGGTAGAAAATAGTCTCAGTTGTAAATCTCAATAGAGAATAAAAGATTTGCCTTGTGATTTTCAAATAACATGGCCGACTGATGAAATTAACTTTTTAATTGACCAGTTCTCCGCATTCTGTCTGATTTAGTTCTACTGACTGGTTGACATATACAAATTATTTTCCACATCTGTACACTGTACATTACGAAAGGGGTGTAGATAATTTAGAATACGAAAATATTATGGTATAGTGGTGATAATCAAGTTAAATCAGGTCATTTAATAAATATGAAATTGGTGAACTTACTTTAGTAGCTTCTACAATATCTGGTGGACTTCCGGTGTATGGGATACGAATTTTAAACGGTTCACCTTTCGTAACATTTACTTGTTTCGGTGCATCAGGACTGATCTTGGGAGCAGCTGTATAAAAAATTTGATATGGTATATGGTAGAAAAAAATCATGAGCTCCATTAACACAAAATACTATAATCTATCAAAAATATAGGACTACTTAGGTATATATGATAAGCCATCCTATTTAACATACACTTATTCATTATTTATTGATCTTAGTTTAGTCTTAAAACTCTAACGGTCTTCCTGAATATTGTTTGTATAATGCAAAGAGTTTTTGTAGATTTTTGGTTATCTTTTTAACTAGCTGATAATATATACCAGCAACCTACTAATGTATCTCTTCGTAAAAAAGTGCTTACAGTATATTAAAATGTTAAGTACCTAAGTAGATGATATATCCTCCCTTATTTCAACTATCGTCAACTTTCACATAGACTTGTTGAGGTTATAGGTTTCCTTTCCTTGAACAACTTGCAACCAATAAATATGTCCATGTTCGTTTTACAGTTATCGAAATTTATTATACTAACAAGTGTTAATATGCTCTTTAATTAAAACATGTATTCACATGATTATGAAAGACACCTTATAAATATTCAAGTGTAATCACTGTTCATCTGTTGATGAGTAGAACCTATAAAACATTATAGTGCGATCGTAAAATCTAAACATGAACCAGATGGCATCAAAATCAAAATATATGGCGATGATATCTATATAACATGTATCAGTCTTATCAAAAGGTCACTAGTTAAAAATTAAACGTGAAATAAACCATGTGAAAGGAAAACCTTTCACTGATATGTTAAGTGATATTCTAAGAGTAGACTTCACTAGCATTCATGCAGCTTTTAAAACTATAGTTGACCCTACCTAAAGTAAATCAGAGCCGTACACAAAGATGGACTATTTAGAATTGTAACGTTTGATAGTTACAGTAAAAATCCATAGGAAGAAATCAAAAATGCAAGTGAGAGAAAAGATCAAACTACAATCGTCTGATTCCAGTGTTTTCACTTTAATGGATTTATAGGCATCTGATAATATTATTTTAATACCAACGGTTTCTGGAAATATTCTGAAGTACTTTGAGAAAGATTTTCGATCGAAATATAGTCCACCAGTCAACAAAAATTGCTCAGGCGAATTGTTGAGAAACACAGTTGTTGATTCCATATGATAAGTTAGTTGATAGTTGACAGTTGACTTGACGTACTGGACTGTGAAGGTATAAACCTTTTGCATAAGAACTAATCTCGTTGCAAATGAATCGGTATTTTTAGTCAATAACTGTAGTACTTGAAAGATCATACACTCATAAAAATTTGACTTGAACAAATAATACCTATGCACAGTACAAATACTTAAGAAATTAGTATTTCAATGTATTCCTAATCCTAACTTGAATGATGCATCATGCTAATGGTAATACTGATATGCTCGAAACTATTACGGATTGACCTTACCCGGTAAACGGAACGAAGATCAACGATTCGGTGACACGAAAGGCTAATCTAATCTGATTGTCCCAGGCCCCGTTAACTAGAGTAGGAAGTCTTGATAAGGCGTAGAAAATGTATGCTACAGGCACCCAGAAAATATGAGGTTGCTAAGCACTCAACTCAAGCTTATTTACACAATGATAGAAACACCCTTGGGAGAGCTATCAACCAATGACAGTCACTGGCTTTCCGAGAGGGAAATGTAAGCTGAAGGTCAACTAAGCGTCTCTGGTGCGAAAACGTGGAAATTCAGAATTCCAAAATAAAATTACGAAATTAGGACCTTTTCCAAGTGACTAGGGATCTAACGTCCCCAACAAATGCGTGTTTAAAAAAAGAATATTCAGGAATTTCAATCTTATGTATTTACCTTTAGGCCTCTGAATCTTGACGTAACTTGTCGGTTCACTAGGTTCACCTGCACCAGCAGCATTGAATGGAACAACACGAAATTCAAATTCTTTACCCTGTGGTAAACCTCTTACAGTATATTCAGTTGTTGACAATGGATGTACATTCACCCTAAATAATATTCAATTTTCGAAAAAAATACAGTTAAAATATTAGATGTAAAATAGATTATAGTTTATTTATTTACGTATAGAGTTGAGTTTTTGAGAAACTACCTTTTCTCTTTGTTTTTTTAATTTTTTCTTCAACAAATATTGATGAACTAAAAATGTGAATCCTAAACTACTATTGATTGTGAACATGTTCGAGTAATCCATAAAGTATGAAAATAGCAACATCTGGCTTTTTAGTTCTCTGAATAATTTCCTAATGATTGATAATATGGAAAAGGAAGCCATGAACTCTGGTGTTTCTAAAGAAGATTTTTATCATATGACCTTACTGGATATCGTATTTTAAATGATACCTGTAGGACTTCAGTCTAACGGATGTTTGACTGAGTATTCATGCCCAGATGAAACAATCTTGATTCCAAGCTTTTTCATAAGCTAATAATGGTTACACTGCTGAAGAGTCATCTGCGGAAACAAAGTAGCTGATTAGCACTAAGTGATCTATAGATGTTAGTTTGATAGCAGTTCGCAACTTAGTCTTCAAAATAATGAACTCTTTAGAATCACCTATGGTGTATATTTCATTGTAATGCGTTTCGACTAACAAATTGTCAGGAGTAAATGTGTGAAGTATTTTAGTGTAAAGTAAATAAAACTTTTTATCGTTTCAAAAATTTTATAATTCATTTGAATTATTTTGGCTAAAGTCCCCTGAAAATCTTTTTGGCGTAGCTTCTACTTAATGAATTGTTTTCGAATTGTAGATCTATAATGGATTACATTTTAAAGTAATACGATATGATTTGGGAAAAATATAAATTACCTAACTTGTCCACTTTTCATTTCATCAATAATTTTCTTTATAATTTAGTAGGCCGATCCTTCTGACCACATGAGAATTTAGTATATAGACATGAAGCGGCATTGAGAATAATAGAAATTCGGACTTAGCTTGAAGTATATTCAGTAATATAATGAGAATGTCATGTTATACTCTATGCTACATAATGTTTAAAACAACAAAGATCGTCCTTGAAGTAAAAATATCATAAATTGTAGTTTTAAACGACTGATTAACAATTCATACCGTATTACTTGAATACTTTTTAATAATTAACTTACTTTGTCCAAGCACGATCTCCTTTACCACGCTTTTCTATTGTATAACCAGTAATCGGACCCTTGCGAGGCGGTTCCCATGATAATGTCACAGAATCGTCCGTGACATTCTCAACTGTTGGTTGTGATATTCCAGAAGGTGGATCTAAAGTATATAGAAGATTGTACATGGCAATAAGAACATGAACATATAAAAAGGCAGTGCAGTTTTAGTGGTCTCAATAAAAATCACATATTCAGAATTGTTTCTATGAAAAAATTACTATATGTATTGTTTACTTAGAGTAAGTATAAAGAATTTTCCACAAATTTACAATTTACGTACATAGGACTCTAAGCCAGTAAATTAAAGTGTTTTCTTTTTTACTTTATCTTTTTCCGTCTGTTTCAAATATTAAAGAAATAACTATCTCAACATATTTAGTAAAACAATTTCATTAGAATCGATAATTCACTTGTTTTACTATTGTTTATTTAGATAATTGAATATCAATCATAGTAAATGAATGTTTGTATTGAATTACAGTTCAATTCGTTGAAAAATTTTGGAAAATCAATGAATGCGATATTAATGTAACGTTTATATCTTAACTGAAATGAAGAAATGCATAATTATGTAAAATATTGCTTTACAAGTGAAGTAACAATGTATCAGACATTTTATATATGTACGTGATGTTCCATTAAAACGTTGAGTTGGACAAAAACTGGTAAAGATAATATTGTCGAGATGTATATTCAAAAGTTGAACATGATCTGTATATACCTAAGTCATTAATACTTTAAACATAAAAAAATAAATAACAATTAATTGGTTATTCTAGTATAATCAATTCAAACGACAAAGATAAGTACTATCCATGATAAAGTAGAGGGGACTTATAGATGAACTTTACGATAGTGGAGAAAATTTGTCGCTCAGGTGGATATTTTGGTTATGGAGATTTAATTGTTCTTCTGAACAACATCATCTGCACAAACTTCAGATCGAAGAAGTGAAGTATTCGAATTTCTTCACATGTGACTCGTAGCATGTTCTGTTGACCTCTATCTAGATTGGTTGTTAATGACCTTAAAGCTGTCTTTGTCGGGATCTTTATTTTGACTGTATCACTCTTCGATTTGTTTCTTGATCTAATGTTTGTCTATCAGATGCACAACCAAAACATCCAGCTCAGAGAACGAAACTCCAACATGTAATGTGATTTAAAAAAAATTAAAATTATCATTATTCAACAGAAATACGCCTGTTATGTATTAAGGTAGACTGAATTATTATTTTAAGAAATGATGATACTTTATGTGTATAATATGCTAATCATGTACAAAGTCATAGTACAGAAAAAATCGAAAAAAGGTGTACTTTACCTACCAATTTTGCAAAAAGGCCTTAACTACTCAATCGGAATTCACTATTAAATGCTTTTATTTTGTGTATTACTCATAAAATGGCTACTTGATGGTTATGAAATGAAAGATTTAAACTTCGTCCTGATTTGTAATGAAGGATCGCAAAACTTACGACACCAAAGCAATCGAATCTTACAGTTATAAGTTTTTGTTTAATTTTTAGGGTAAATTAAAAACTTTATTTATACAACCTTAAATTACTAATATATTTGACTGACTTACCGAATGGATGCCTAGCTTTTATTGGTGAACTTGTCATTAGTGGTTCACTGAGTCCCGATGGATTTTCAGCCATAACTCTAAATTCATATTCTGTACCTTCTTCAAGATTTCTAACCGTTGCATTAGGAGATTTTAAAAATCCACTGACTGTCTGCCAACTAGATTTAAAAAAAAACAGTAAAATGATAAAAATTTCAAAACCGGATTATAGTAACATGGAAAAGAAAAGAAATTATTTGAGCGGCATAAAAAATAACTGACCTATCTGAACCTTTTGGACGTTTCTCAAGTTTATAATTAGTGATAGGCTGTCCGCCATCATCTGCAGGTGGCTTCCAAGACAAAGTTATTTCATTTGCACTGACGTCGGTGGCTTCAAGAGGTCCGCCAGGTGTAGATGGAACATCTTAAAATTAAAATGAATAAATTTAATTATAAAATATTATAATATAATGTAGTTTACGAGTAATTTTGCATATTTGGAAGCTTATATTCATCATCAATTAATACAAGTTAACAAACTGGGGAAAATCTGCAACTGTTTCGTTTAAGAATTTTTAGAACAAATTATCTTTAGGATTGTGGATGCCATTATTTTGTTGTAAAATCAGCTACTAATTAATAAGTGGGAAGTTAATAAAGTCTATTCTAAACAGAATAATACATTCCAACAAAAATAATCTCTTTTAACTGAATACGTGTTTTCATTCACTACATGTATTCTTGGTTATGAGCTAAACTAAATGAACCTATCTTGGATGGAGTAAAGTTGCTTGAGATACAGCGTGAGCAATAAGTTTACGACATAAATTTGATTTGATACCTTCGCTATGAAAAGATACATTTCCCACTGAGACACTTTTGAACTAAAATTTACAATGTAAATACATTTATGTTAAGTGTTATGTTGCAATGATAAAAATTGTTTCCTAAAATTTTCATTTCTATTTAAAGAAAAAGCAAATTATTATTATAGGGTTGTGGAGATTGTTGAGTTTCATTGAAGTAATGAATCGATCTATTAAAATTAATAATCTCAACAACCCTATAATAACAATCAGCATGTGCTCACTAGGGACCGGCTTCGTGAGGAAATTCTCGGAGTTATAGTGAGAAGCCGTGATCAATGGAGTTCAACCCTGTCGGGTGAGAGGCAGTTACATACCGGAAACAGTGCGTGAGGTTGCGCAATGTCATGTGTTTATTTAAGCTGGACATTTACACCACTGGATATTGGTTCGGTGGTTTAGAGTTTAGGCAGTCTCACCTGAAACTGGAAGTCATGGGTTCAATTTTCGGGTTTCGAGGTCGTGGATGAGGCCCTTAATATAACGAAACGATTGTCCAGTGCTTTCAGATTTCTAATGGTGCTCTAACATAGATAGATTTTGCGGCTTCAATGAAAAAAGTGAATTCCTATTGAAAATAAATGTTAACGATCAGAATAGAATTGAACTGTATCCCACTTTAAATGCAGTATGTATGTTCTTTTCTAAAAGACTTCTACTAATTATCCACACAACAGAGAGGTTGCTTAGTATGTCTCTATCAATATGACAACTATTGCAATGATAACTCTATCAAGTGTTTTAACTCATTCAAATCAATGTGTTTGTTAAGTACTAGCTTTGAAATCAATTCATGAAATTTCTTAGATAAAGGTCAATCATTCGCTTTGCGATATATTTTATAGGGTTTTAATAAACTAATCACTCTAAACTAGCTCACAGTATACTTCTACTATTCCCTTTATTGTGCGAAGACCTGACAGAATGACATTACAAAAAATAATCACTGTTCTGTAAATGATTTTGAGTTAGAACATTAATGAGTTATCATCTGTATGTAATCACCCTACACCATAAAATTATGATTGAAATCAGGTGCCATTTGTTGTTGAACTCACCTAAAACTTCTACTTGACATGAAGTACTTGCTTGACCCAAATCATTCATCACCGTCAGCTGATACCTTCCATGATCAGATCGTTTCACATTAGGGATAGCAAGTAAAACAACACCACCTGGTGAAAGTTCCAAATGTCCTCCAGGTCCAGGATGAGAGGGAGGCGGTAAGGGTTGATCTTTTTGCATAACACGAACTCCATCAATCTTCACAGGTTCACCATTTAAAGTCCAAGTAAATGTAGGTTTTGGATGACCAAACCAAGCTACTGGCAATTTCAATTCTTGTCCAGCCTAAAATAAACAAACATTATTTTAAAATATTATCATTTATCATAATTTTATACTTGGATAATATTTTATGATACATTTTAATCAATAGCCTAAACATGATTATCTAACCAGGTAAAATAAGTAAGCTTAGTTGCATTCAGATGTACATCTATGAGCAAATGAAAATTTCAAAAACTGCTTACCTTTACACTAACATCTTTCAGACCACCAACTCCACTACCCAAACCACCAACACAATCATCAGGTGTACATATTCTCGGTGCTTCCGGTTGGTCAACAGCTGTCACTGGTGCAGTAGGTCTAGTCGGTTCACCTGGACCTTCATCGTTCACTGCACGTACACGAAATTGTGCAGTCTCACCCTCTTTCATTGGAATAAATGCACATGGTTCTGTAGTCTGTTTCACAGGTACCCAATCACCATTTTCATCTTTCTTTTCCACTTGATATCCGGTGATTTTACTTCCACCATCTTTTCGTGGTTTCTGCCATGATAATTTCACACCATTTTTATTAACTTTATCCACATTCAGTGACTCAGGTGCTGCTGCAGGATCTATAAAGTTAGTTAAAAAAAAGTGTTAAAAGTTTATTTTTTTTTAACTGATTCTCTTTCTAGTAATCTGTTTTTTGGCAAAACACTCCGATTCACTTCAATGTAAAGAAATACAATTTCACAAGACTCCATTTTCGAAGTAGCGTTAATAAGGCTTTAGAGTTTTAAATTCATTATTTATACAATTAAAGTGTTGTACAAAAGTTTGGATTTATGAACAGTGAAAAGTGGCAACTAGTTCAAAAAAGAACTTACAGCTTGGTTCTTTCATAACATGAGGAGCTGTAGCTCTTGATGGGCGCCCTGGACCAGAGTCATTCACGGCACTTACACGGAATTCATAGGTCTCACCTGGTTCAAGACCTGTTAAATGAGCTGAAGGATTAGTAACCAATCCACTTGTTGCTGGTTTCCATTCACCTTTAGGTGTACGCTTTTCGATAAGATATCCTAGTTAAGGTAATAAAAACATGGATTTCAGATTATTATTATTATTATTATTATTATTATTATTACTGAGAAAAAAGCCAAGCCAATAACAGCTAACTTCATGACTCCCTAAGAACATCAGCCTTCAAAGCCATCTTATCATATACTAATTATTTCAGTGAAAAACTAAAAATTATATCACATTACTCACCTTTAATAGGATTCCCACCGTCATGTTTTGGTGGAGTCCATGAGAGATCCACGGAATGTTTATCAAATGAATCTATATTTAGATTATCAGGTGAATCTGGTGCATCTGTTAATAAAAAATATGAAGATTAAACATTCATAAACGTAAAAATGATCTTACCGAAAGGATTTTTAGCTGTTACAGCATTTAATAATTCAGTAGGTTCACTTTGACCTAATGGATTAACAGCTGATACACGGAATCGATAACGTTTCCCTTCAACTAAACCTTTAATAGGACATGATGTTCCTACAATTAAGGCAGGAACTTTTTCCCAGATTCCAGTTGTTGCATCACATTTTTCAACAATATAATCTATAAATTAAAAAAAAAATTTTAGTGATTAATAACATTATAGATTTTAGCATGTTAGATGTTGTTAACAGAACGTATAACTTCCTGCATTATGAGTTCACAAAGTTATCAAATATGTACTCATTAAATAAGGAAAGTATGAATATAAATTGAAGAAATACTTTTTTAAAAGGCAACTTAGTCCCACATGGACCTATTATCCCCCAATATGTTTTCGTTTTTTCCAAGATGGTACTGATAATACTCACCACTGAATACAACAAATAATCACTTCGAAATCAAACAAAATGGTATGTAGGAAGCGTAAAAGCCATCTTTGCCTATTTATTCATGAGTGTCAAATCTCGAAGAAACTAAAAGACGAATATTTTGTTGATCTTACTGTTATGATAAATTTATTAATTGAATTGAGTAATCATGTACATGTTAATTTACTAAATCTTGATTCATACTCTAAGTGGAAAATACCAGTGATCTTATTTTAAGGAGACGTGGAAATTGAAAGCATATTCTTAGAAAATATGGTTTGAAATCAAACCTAACCTTCTGTCTTAATAACTTGAAAATGCTAACTGTTCTCAATTCTCGATATTAGATACACAAACTGTCTAGTTAGAATGTACTCAGAAATAAACTTGTACAGAGTATGCCACAGTCGTGTTATTAGCATCTACGTAACACCCAATAGTTTACGTGTATCTTAATGATAAGAATCATGGAAAAAGAGTCTAGAAAAAGTAACTTAAAACACTTTTTACAAAATATTCTTACCAGTAATTGGTGCGCCTCCATCTTTTGCTGGAGGTTTCCAGCGTAGTTTACAGCTATCCGCTGTAAGATCAGTGACTTCAACATCTTCAGGTGAATCTGGTTTATCTTAATGTGATAAATAAGAAATAAATTCATATTATATCAAAATAGAAATATGTACATCACTGCAGTTATTGAAAGTTTATTAATAACTATTATGGAAATAAAATGACACAAGTCAACATTAAAAAATTATCCGTAAGTGTTTATGTCAAGCTAAAATAAACTACACATTTTCTTAAAACATGAAATGAAAATTGATCAAACGGTTACTCATGACTAAACAAGTACATGCATACAAACATTTGAAGTCTTCACCATCAACTTGAATAATGAATTGTTTAACAAGGTTTAGTTGGTTGTTAAAAATATATACAGTCTGAATTCAATCAATAATTCATAAAGGATCAGCTGAACTTGTAGATGCACAGTGAGAAGGCCAATTCAGGTAAGTTATCGTTCGTTTGAGCAGACATCACCGGTCGAATTTAGAAAGTCAACGCAAGATTGAACGCGTAGAATGTTCTACTAATTACCTTCGTTAATTTATCATGCAGAGTAGCACTAGCCACATCCCCGTTGAATTACATTTTAAAGAATAGGGACTTCTTTCGAACAGTCAAAGTCTCCGACTTCTTTTTTTACTGTATACATGTACTTCTTTACGAATGCGCTGGAGTAGCCGATCTCGGCCAGTAAGTTGTTGATAAATTCCAGCTTCTTCCTTAAGGTATCTACTGAACAGATCATTTTTACTCTACTTGTCAGACATCTAACCAGATTTCTTTTGCAGTGAATTGGTGTTAAACTATAAAACTGTGTGTATTGACAAGCAGAAGGAATCTTCCCATAAACACTCCTACTTAACGAGTAAGAAGTAAGCATGAAGTACAAGTAGCTTAATAGTGACTTATATTTTATTGAGATTTAATTCAAGTACTTAACATTAAACAACTTGAATTGTGTAGAATTCCATTATTTGTAATATAATTATGCAAATCTAAACCGTGAAACTATTCAAGTTGGAAAAATATATTAAATTTATGAAACTTCTACTGTAATCATTTAGTTGTAAACGTTGTTATTAAGTTTCAATAAGATTAGATCAAGCATAGTGATTTGTCATTGAAAAGTTACATTTCTTTTGATGTTCAGTCTTTATAATAATACAACTAATTAACTCAATGATTTGAAATTTTAAAGCACTACGTTTAGTGTATGAGAGTTGAAAATAATTATTATCATATTCAAGCTTATGTCTGCACTTCTTTTTGTTCCCTCAAACGAAAAAATTGGAAATCCTAAAAGGTTTATACTATTTGCCATCTATTTACAATAAGTTATAGACATTTAACAAGGTTCAAAAATATTCAGTTTACTTCTTCATTAATGAAAATCTGTAATTTATCAAGCAAAACAGACCAGAAATCAAATCCGAACACTAGTTGAAATAATACACATATAAAAGAAATTATACATCATCAAATTATTTATTTTTTCAATTAGAGTTATGGAGATTAGTGTTTTTAAACATTTAAATCAGGCAGTAACTACCGAAGACAAATGGGTGAGGTCGAGCAAAATCTCAGGATTGCTCATAGTTAGACACTAACACTATCAGATCCCAGCCCAGTGGTCCAGAGGTTAGGCGTTCGCGCGCAAGACCGTAGGTCCTTGGTTCAAATCCTGCGAGGTGCAGGAGTCGCGGATGTGTACTGCTGATTGGTCCTACACCAGAACGAAACGACCGTCCATTGTTTCCAGGTTTCTAATGGTGGTCTAACAATGAGTGACTGATAGTTTTAAATTACTTATCATCAATAAACTTTTAGTAAAACAATTAATCTAACCATTATAAGTCCTAGAATTAAATAAGCCACAAAAATAATTATTACCTCTTTTCGGTCCAATTCTAGTCATTGGAGTCGGTTCACTTGGTTCACCAACACCAGCTGCATTTACTGGTCTGATACGGAATTCATACTCGCCATTCTCATCTAAGCCATCAATATGAGCTTGTGTACCAGTAACAGGTGTATTTCCTGATACAGCCGGTTCCCAATCTGGTGAATTCTTTTTACGTTTCTCGACAATATAACCAGTCACTTTAGCACCACCATCTTTAGTTGGACGTGACCAGGATAAATCAATTGAATTTTTGCCAACATCATCGACATTTGGTCGACCTGGACTATCGGCTGTAGCTGTGAAAATTTTTTGATGAGAATAAAAACTTTTATTAGCATTTACATTTCGGTAAATAAAATCTTCTAGATAAATCTATACAGTACAATCATAAATTTGAAAATTTATAAACTACTGATACGGTTCCAATATTTTCTGACTAAACTTAATATTTACCGATAGATTCTTATCATACATTACTTACTTACTTACTTACGCCTGTTACCCCCAATGGAGCATAGGCCGCCCACCAGTTTTCTCCAACCAACTCTGTCCTGTTATTATACATACCAAGTACAAAATGACTGGTAAATAATATTCATAATGTATTCTGTCACGCTGAAATACATTCACTTAAAGTATTCACTTAAGTCCGACTAAAAAAGGTTTCGGTGGTCTGAAGGTTTTATATCATGATGGAAACGAAGATGTCTAATAAGCTAGTTGTGTCAAAAGAACAATAGTTTCGGATTATTCAAATTGAGTTAGTTTAACCAAAACACCTGAAGATTTACGAAAAAAAATGTACTTACTATGTTTCGGTTTACATTCTACTGCACGATTGGTTGAACATGGTTGACTCACACCTACTTCATTTCTAGCCGAAACACGGAACATATATTTCTCGCCTTTTTTCAGTCCATCGACTTGAGAAAATTTTGAAACAAAAATAAACACTTAATAGAAATCGTATACTGGAAATAATTTTTGATTAAAAATATTCTAGTTATTCCATACGTTTATTTCAGTAGCACTCAAGTTCATTATGCTTCTTTTGTCTTTCTTTCTTGCAGGACGCTGAAGAGGTCATAGGCTCCCACTGATGTAGGAACTAAACGTAATGATTGTCAAATGTTCTCTGGGCTTTGATGGTACCAAAAATATGGTCAGTTATAGACGAATACTACCTACAATAATGCAATTTATTCATAAACTTATAATTTCATGCATGCATTAACGGATTTCTAGCTTTGAATAGGATTTTTTATTGAAATATTTGTTTTACTACGCGACACTTTAGTGCAGTACATTTTGAATAGCTTGACTGCACATTTACTAACATAAGCACTAATTTATGAAAAATAAACAGCGTACTGGAGGGTCATATGATGAAAATACCTGAAAAATTAGCTTATTATTGGATTGACCAGTAGCGTTTTACTTATCCTACTATATATTAGTTTTATAAAGTTTCCTGGCCTGCATGTAGAAGAATCGCTCCAGTAAAAACAGACGAGGACAATAATAAATTATTGTTTCATTGTAACCAATCTAAGTTAGACCTCCATTGAAAATCTGGAGGAAGTAGATTGCTTTTGGTCCTGGCACAAGACCTAGATAAAGTCAGAATTTCCACGATTCCTTACTGAAAATAATATTTCTTTGAAATAAACATTAAAATGTCATAAGTGTCTTTATATAATAAGAACTTCCAAATCCAAGTCGTCAGATGTATATCCAAGTTAAATACCAGGAGACGAACCATCTTTATATCATATCAATTTCAGTTATATCATTTTGTCCTCCAAGATTTTTGTGATGTGATAATATAAAACGATATGTCTACTTATGGAATACTTAAGTAGCTGATGTAAGTTTCAGATTACTAATCAAATAAGGGTTATTGAACTCGATACAGCTAAAAAAATTGTTCTGAAAATTTAAGGTAATACTGTTACACGTAAATTAAATCATCTCCCTAATTTTCTGACTGAATGAATAGTCACGAATCTTTGGAACTTACCGGTACCAGTTAAATCTTTCACAACTGCAGCTTGTTCCCATTCTGTTGAACTGAGAGGTTTATATTCAATTACATAACCATTGATACGCTTACCACCGTCATTACGTGGCTTAGACCATTCCAGTGTGACTGTATTAGCATCTACGTCAGCCACGGTCAAATTGTTTGGCGCATCTGGTACAGCTAAATAAAGAAAAGAAGTATGTATTTTTTAACTGAGTAATTTCAGTGAAATACTAAGTGTATTGTTGAGTTTTAAAAATTGTTTAATTGTCTTGCACTGAGCAGGATAATTTTGAAAATAAGTTGCTGACGGAAGGATAAATGAAGACCGAAATACATTTAACTTACTGCTTGGTTCTTCAGCCAGTATAGAACGGCTTGTTTCCAGAGGTTCACTTGTTCCAAGTTCATTCTCAGCTCGGACACGAAACCTGTAATTGTTGCCTGGTTCTAAACCAGTGACTTCATATTCTGGAGTTCGAACAAATTTACTAACAGGCACCCATTCTCCAGTTCTCGGTTCTAATTTCTCCACAACATAATTTGTTATTGGACTACCTCCATTATTCTGAAATTGTGAGTTAAGATGTATCAAACTACTTTTTGAAATTAATAGAACTTGTGATTATCCGGTAATAAATAAATCAGCATATCATTTTTTATCATATGCGATAAAAAAACACAACAAATTAAATAAAATGTCAGAAAACACAAGTCTAAGATAACCTCCTCTTTAGTAGGAACCCTAAAAGTGCAGTTTTTCAGAACTAAACTAATAACTGATTGATGGCGAAATGAAATGTGATTATCTTTCAACTCCACAAGGTAATATTCCAGTAATCTAGTCTTTACAGATTGGAACCTGTTTCTCAATTTCATTGCGTAACTTTATTTGGACAATGGACAATCACACGTACATAGTTCGTGCATATTTAATTCAATGCCTAATGTTTAACATTTCAACAATTGAAAACTGAGTTCGTAACTGAACATAATGATTTGAGAGAGGTGAATGCAAGAATTTACAAATATGGCTCGACGACCTAGTATGTCATATTCAGATATAACCATTTGACTTGATACTGTTTCATTTGGACACCTGACTCTGATACCTGACAGTCACTGACAATGGTCAATATCTTAAGTTGAGTTAAATGTGAGCATATTAATCATTATGAATTCATATTAACTGCAGAACCTTATAAACCGTAGAGCAATGAAAAGCTATTTAGTGCCAACCTGGTATTCCATAGTAATACATATACATAACTCCACATGAGAAAGAAAATAGGACTTACTTGTATTTCTGAAAGTTAAATGCCAATAGGCCACTGAGTTGAAATTCATTGGTTTATAAATGGAAGTTTTAGCGATTCTCTATATGAGGTGAATATCATTCACTCTCCCGGCTTGTATCTATCTCATGGCCAACAAAATGGGAATTCACTAGTCAGGGTTTCTTATGAAAACTTTGGAAGTTCATTCTAAAGTTAACCTTGAGTGTGCACATGATTACTGCTTAGTTTGCTGCTTTTTGAGAGTAAACTGAATTAGAATTCAATCAGTTACGCTTGATGGTCACATAGTTGCGGTGTAAATTACATTGGGCTATATGACTCAGTGGTTTATGGGGATCTTCCTTGCTGAGAAGTCTAAAGTTACTGAGTTTGATCAATTTCAGTCTCATAAGAATGAATTGTAGATTAGTGTTAAACTAAGACTAGTCCTTCCTGATTTATAATAATTCTTTAAGTAATGTTAGTTTACAAAAATAATTATTTCTAGATAGCATTTTTGAAAACCACTAACAATATATAGATTCGAGTGTTGTTTTTATATCAGTGTCAATGAGAAGAAGCCTTAATTATTTGTTAGTTTTCAGTTATGATTCTTTGAATCAGTCAAATGAAGTGGTATCGTTATTGTGATCACTAAGAAGTGGGATAGCTGTTAACGAAGAACATGATGTGCCTGATTACAGGATAAGATGACTGGTAAACGAAAAGGATGGTAATCAACATGGTTTTCCCTATTTCATCTACACTACGTTTATGATATGACAGTCCTAAAATCAGTTGTCTTCCTCATAATCAAAATAACAGGAATACTAGATAGATATTACAATTCATGAGGTAGTATCATATTTATTGTACAAAATCTACTGAAACACACTTTTTTTCGGACAACTGAAAGATTTACTCTGTGTATCTCATGTTGTGTTTCAAAACATTGGGAAAACGAGTTCGTACCGCAAAGTTCAAGGATGAGATTTTCTTAAAGTGAATTTTCATCATGTCATTCGAATTTCGCTCTATAAAGAAAGTCTTATATTTCGAATCAAACCATCTATTTATACTGAATTGCTTTTTGTTTTCCATAAGAATTAAGTCAGTCATATTTATGTCGAATTATACAATAATAACAACTAACCTTTGGAGGATTCCACGTTAATTTGCATGAATCACCTCTGATATCAGTAACTTCTAAAGGACCTTCAGGAGTATCGGGTGGACTTAATATTTTCACAGTGAGTGGATGAGTGGCTTCACCTTTTTCATTTTTCAAAGCAACTTTATACTGTCCAGCATCTTCTTTTTCTGCTTTTGTATCTGTGATAATCACTTCATCTGGTGTCACTTCAAGTTTAAAACGATTTGTATCTAATGGAACAGGTTTACCATCCTATCATTTTTTTAAAAAAGTGGAGAAAAAAAAATGATAGTAGGTATGATTGGTTTCAACTGAAATGAAATATTTTTACTGTCAATTGAATAATTTTGCTTTACAAAAAGATATTTTATCTTATTGGTAGTTTCTACAATTAACTCCGCCTCGAAAAGAAGGAAGCCAAGGAACACATTACGCCGAGAAATGGAGACAGACGTGGGAATGATCGAAAATTGGACAGAAATGGAAAGGGAAGCCCAGGAAAGAGTAGGTTGGAGAATACTAGTCGGTGGCCTATGCTCCATTGGGGGTAACGGGCGTAAGTAAAGTAAGTAAGTAACTTCTCCAACTCAAATTAACTCATAGGATAACGGAATAAACAATTAGTTCCCATTTAACAGGGATGAAAATTCTAAGTCTACTCAAATTCTTTTGAGAAAAGTATAAAAACAATAAAATATATTCCAATTTCAGTTAGCTACAACTTAGAGCGTGGTACTCATCCATATTAGTTCAGGTTGCTAAACTACATTTACACAGAGAGATGAAGTTGTATATTCAAATCCTATAAAGGTAAAGTTTGTTGTAGTATTAACAGTAATGGAAGAGATTGGGGTTCGACGACATGATTCAAGAAGTAAATCCCAGTGAAATAAATTTAAGAAAGGGATAAATGGTCATGAGGAATTCAGAAGATTAGAATTTGGAAGAAGACCAAGAACAGACGCATCTGAGCTATTGAAGACGATTTTGGGTCATGCAATTCAAAGTCTCTGACTACCGGTTACCGTTGTCCTCAATCAGATAGTCGACACCTACTAACATATCTCATTTTAGTTATCGATTCCATCGTTGATTTGTGCCACGTTTCGTTTTGGCCACCCCTAGCTTTATTCCAGCCTACCCGTACATCAAACAACATCTCTTGTTTAGGTAGCCGGTCGTTATGCGAGCAGTGTTTCTATGACACCAATGATTGAAAACTAGTAACCTATGAATATCCTCTACTCTTATTGATCATGTTTCACAAGTACACAAATTAGTATTGGATGGTAAAAGCAACATTTATCTTCACGCTAATTTATTATTATTCGTATCTAACCCAATTCATTCAGCGGATAAAAGATTAGCTTTTCTACATGATACATATTATCTGAAATGGCAAATAATTGTGTTTTTGGTTAATTCAATCAAAAAGTTTTAGACAAGTAGAATGACTAGAATGAACTGAAATTATCGATTGCTAGAGAGCAAATAGTTTAATTTCATTCTTTCTTAGATGTTTCTACAACAAACCTATTCACTTTGAGAACTATCGAATACAGAAAATTGGAACAATTCGTTAATAAAAATATATGACTGGGCAACTCTCTTCTCATCCCTGTCATTGATACGTCAGGGAGAAGATTAGAGGAATAGTAACTTCTGGGATTGGTATCTGGATTATTACTAGTTATATTCTCTGTACAATTACTAAGCTGCTAGATCAGTACACATTATTCGTCCGTTTTGTCATAAGCTCTTGATTAAGGCATTAACTACTATCGTGTAATTTGTTATCCTTAATCTATTGCTGGTTCACACTCTCCCCTATTCACAGTCACTTTAGGCATGCTCATGTATAATGTATTTTCTCATTTCATGGGTCGATGTGGTTTGGTGTCTTTTGTTTATTAAATGTGGCTGCTTGAAATATGATGAAATTTTGTGGAGGCTAGCTTACGGCCTTCTCGACTAAGAGGCAGAGTAGAGAGGAATCGGATATCTAGTTGTGGACCAATAAGAATTTAGAGCTGACTCACAATTTATGGTACTAACATAATTCTCAATGGTGTCTTGTATTTGTCACATAATATTTTGTTTAGCGGTTAGGGAAATAACTCTCACCTTTATCAATTCAACTTCCTCTGGTGGTCCACCGGTAAATGGAATTCGAATTTTAAATGGTTCACCAAGTCGAGCGTTTATTTCTTTCGGTGCATCAATAGTTATCTTTGGTACAGCTGGAAAAAACAGAAAAAGATAAAAAATATCAGGGAAGAAAAGTGATTTATCATAACAAACTTGAATCCCAAAAATAATGATATGGAAATGTTTCAAGAATCGTTAAAAGCCAAATATCATTGGACAGTTTTTCGTTTTGGTTCTGTAGAAATTTAGTTCCAGACTCCGTTTTATTATTGATTTTTCACAGTCACAGTTAGTTTGTTTCATATTGTTTGAAAGTAATATACAAATAAATGAAACTGTAAATCGATATTTCAATTCTATTTAGTATTAGTTTATGATTTCCGTAAAGATCCTTGAGAAAACATATATAATGATGACTCATTTGTATCGTGAGCTAAGAGTAAGTGTGGTTGCAGACATGCCTGAGTGGTTACAAAAACGAACATATGCCAATGGTCAAATAAAATCATGAGGTAGATAGATATCTTCTTCCGTTGCATTAAGTTTAGTTGAAACGGGTCTTACGGTTGATGTCAAAACAACTTTCTATAAGTGTTGTTCAGAAGGCTGCACTTAGGCTTAATGAGAAGTCGTTTTCAGCTTCTTGATTGATAGAGATCTACGAGTAATAACTAAAGCATTATATATTCAAATCAAAACTTAACCCTGAGTTTAGTTATATTGCACTTGATGTTAACTTTTCATCAATCAAACGTTTTGGAAATCGGCCATTTATGTTGTCAGTATTCGTAATGATGCTATATTTTTATTTATTTCAATAAAAATGTATTCTTTTTTAAAGCGATGAAACTGTATGAAGTGGTAAGTCATTAAACAAACTACCAGTACTACCGTCCAATCAAACAGACGTAACTTTAAAATATTCGAACGGAATATATATATATATATATATATATATATATATATATATATATATATTGAATTCTAGGCACTAACGGTGATAAGTCTCTTACTATCTAGTCATCATCGTCAACCAATTACTACCAGTCATTTTCCCACAGTCATATTAGTTACATGGAATAATCGAATACAGAAATTCATGTTTAACAGTAAACAAATAATACAATTTTATGATCCAATTCTTCACTTACTAACTGGTTTCTGTACTTTAACAAACTTAGTCGAATCGCTTGGTTCCCCTTGACCAGCTGCATTGACTGGAATAACACGAAATTCAAATTCTTTTCCTTTCGGTAAATTTTTCACAGTATACCCTGTACCGGATATGGGAGCTGCATTGGCTCTGTTTTTGTATCAAAATGAGATTGATAAGTTAGATATATGAATGAATGGTGAAATTAATAAAAAAGCTGTTGAATGCAAAATCAATGGATCAAGATGTAAACTATGCTAGAAGTGACCAAATAAAGATATGATAATAATGTCTTGTTGAGGCATATATAGATTGGTTCACGTTCCAAGTTGAAGTCATTAAAGGGATTATAAGTGGAATAGATCGAAACTGCATAAATAGATTCGATTTTTAGTTATCTCCCGACTCTTAGTTTTAACATAACTTCACACTTTTAATCCCTCGGTTTCTTCTGTTATGCCCTATATTCAACTTTTCTACTACCATTAATGACATGATTTTAAACGTTTCATTTTTAATTTGAATAAACTCATTTAACTGTGTTGCTGTTATTAGGACTGGTGTAAACTTACATCAGTCTTTATGACTGACTAAAGATGAAGCACTATATTTTTTCTGTTTCTCTTAGATTAAATTGAAAACAGCTGACGAGGAAGAAAATGTAAATAGTGAAGATGAAATCTGACAACTGGAGTTTTTTACTTGCGGTTACTTTCATTAATTTGAAATATTCTCGATGAGTAAAGAAAATAATTTAAGTAGATTGTGGTGTCTTAACTGTTGATAAAATACAATAACCTCCAATTTAAACTAAGGTACATATATTCAAGTATAAATTTAATAATTTTAATTATAGAGTTGTGAAGATTGTTGAATCTCACTGAAATCATGAATCGATCCTAATGGAAATCATAAAAATGTGCCCACTAGTCACTAGCTTCGTGAGGCAATTCTCGCAGTTCTAGTGAGAAGCCGTGACCGGTGAAGTTCAACCTTATCGGGTGTAGGCAGCAACTACGTAAGACAGCGGTTGAGATTAAAAAATAACCCAGATTGGTTAAAGTTAGTCATTAACACCGTTCGATACCGGTTAGTTAAGTGTTCGCGCATGAGATCGAAGGTCTTGGTTCCGTTTTCCGCCCGATAGGTCATGTATTGGCTCTGCTGACGAGTCCTATATTCGGACGAAACGGTCGTCGGTTCACGATTTCAACATCAATTTGATGTTTTAAAAGAAATTTACGATCCTGTACACGATATATAGAAGTGATAATATAAAAACACTGCGGATAAAAATAACAGATTAATGTACCCATGTTTAGTGACAATGACAAAACCAATAGCAAGAAAAACATTATTTGATGATTGTTCAAGCCAAACTATTTTAAGCTAATTTATTACTTAAAAGAAACTCGAAATAGTTTAGGCAGTCAAAAGACTGAAAATCGACGGAGGACGAATCAAGAACTTAGGTATTGTTGCGGTGTTGGCAATGAATCAATTCAAAGCCGATACATGCAACTTGTCATCCTTCCGTAAACTTAATGCTTTTCTCCATTATGTTTTAGTTTCACTTTTTATTTTCTTTTTTAGTTTATACCTTTTAAATCGTAAACAATTATTATTATTACTATCCTTTAACAATTTTCATGATTATGATTCAATTATTTTGACCTCTGTGTCATTCGTTTTTTCTTAATATCTTGTATTAATGACCTACAACTTATTTTCATCCTCCTATTCTTCCATAACCACACAACACATCTGTGACATTTGAAATATTGGGTCGCTTTATGATATAATCTCCTCCTGCTTTTCTATCGACTCACGTATTTATCAAACAACTATAAATACGAATATGCAGCTTAAGTGAATCATTTCGTCAAGAAGAAAGTTCTCTTCCCTGAATTCTCCTTATTTTTATTCAACAATACAATGGGTTACTTTAAGTATCAGAAGGAAATCCATTATCTGCATTTAAAAAAAAACTCAAAACTCAAAAACTGCCTAGCAGTTCTGGTAAGAAAAAACACTTACTTAGACCAATTTTTATCTCCCTTAGCTCTTTTCTCAACAATATATCCTGTGACAGGGCCTTTACGTGGAGGCTCCCAGGCTAAAGTAACTGAATCATCATTAGTATCTTCGACAGTTGGTTTTTGCATACCAGATGGAGGATCTATAAATAATTTGTAAAGAAATAATAAATTAAAGTGAAAGTAATGTTCATATTTTTTGAAAGATTTGATTTAGCGACAGTTTTGTAATTTAATTAATTATCTATCAAAAACTGTTTTTTACAAAACGGAAAGGTGTATTTCTAGTTTTTGTTAATTAATTGACAAATATGGGAGCTTACTTAGTCCCGATTTCCATTCACAAAGTGCAGGGAAGGATATCAAGAGCTTCGAAAGGAAATTTCCGGATCACATATGAGAAGCCGTGACCAATGGAATTCACTGCTGTTGGTTGTGAGGCAGTTACCAACCGAATAAAATCGGCGGTCGAGCAATTTCGTGGATTGTTTGAAGTTTAACTTCATCGTAGTCCGATGCCCACTTAGTGGTCTTGAGGATAAGCGTTCGTGCGTGGGGTCGTTAATATGCGTTATTGAGAGGTCTTAAACTAGGACAAAACAGCCGGCAAGTACTTCTAGGTTTCTAAAGGTGGTCTAGCCTGGATCAGTTCATGATTTCAGTGAAATAGAGTACTACTGGAAACGTTATACATACTGATTAAAAAGACTTACTGATTTTAGCTGAAACGTTAGTGACTAAACTTATGACAGTTTTTATGAGACTTCTATTTTATCTAGTTTAGTGGTTTATAAGTGTCACTTGTCATTTTAATACTGTCTAATTATAATGCAAAAGAAACTAACTGTTTACTATCATGAGGAACTTCTTAATCGTACTTAAAGACGTAAATATTCAAATATGAAACTATTCAGATATCTACGAACTCTATACAAACTTAATTCACACTAAATACGTCTAGTTTTCATAAAGTGAACTTGATCGTAGTATAACTTTGTCTACTGAATACTTTGAAAAAATGATGAGCATTTCTGTCAAGCAAAAATGATTGCATTTTTGGGGCATTATGAGTTATTTAAGTTAGGATGCTTAAAATATGTTGACGATAAATTTACAATGTAAATTTTTTGTTTCCAATCCATCTAACTAAATAGTCCATAAATATATTTTATTGTTTGCAAAGTTATTCATATATAGAACCAGTTTCGAATTTCTGAAGCTAATGTAGGCACTTGAGAAGTCAAATTATCATACTTAACGACCTAACTAAGCTACTTTTAGGTGCTACTTGATCTGAACCCACGAGATTGAGTGTTTACAAATTGTTATTGTGTATAAGAATGTTAAACTGGATAGAAAAATAAGTCAAATGATCTCAGAACAAGTTCTCTTCGTAACTTACCAAATGGATGTTTAGCTTTAATTGGTTGACTTGTGATCAAAGGTTCACTTTGACCCATTGCATTTTCAGCCATTACACGGAATTCATATTCTGTACCCTCATCCAGATTCCTTACAGTTGCATTTGGTGAATTCAAGAATCCACTGACTTTTTCCCAACTTAAGTTGGACAATGAAAAAAAATATTAAAAGGCAAAAATATGTAGTAACATAAGATTAATTCGCTTCGTACTAAATGTAACACAGATATATGGGTATATAATGATTTGCATGATACTAAATGGATTTTCTCAAAAAACACTCAGAGAATTGGAAGTGTGCAAAAACCCGAATTGACACTATAAAATCAACATGCCTTTAATCAGACAGTTTGTAGCTCTTATCCATTTGAGTGTAAGATCGGACAAATCATGTGACAAACAAATCATTCTAATCTTATTGGTTAGTTTGTACACCTTCATATTTGTTCTTGCCGATTCATTAACCGTACTGCACTCTTTCAAGAACAGTTTATTTTTAGCTCCTAGCCATATTTCTATCACATACGTATTCCTATGAGTATCTGCATATTTGTTTGTCTGTTTTTTTATATATGTAGTAAACGATATGACTCAAGCCACTGCAATTTAATTACATATGAATGCTTGAAGTATATTTATTCAGGAGATAGTTTTAGATTTTTTAAGCTATCTCTGAACAATGGGTTACATACAAAATTATTTGCAAAATTATGTTCAGATACAGTCAACCAATAACTATAAATTCCTCTTTGCGAGCACCATACCGAATCTTCACACATCCAGAATTCTAAAATTATTTTATTCAACCAAGATTTCAGTTCAGGTGTGAAGATATTGTAACTGTACCTCATTTGGGTACACAAAAGCCCATTACTTAATAAACGGATCAAAAGTGGTTGTGTTTCAAGTTTGTCGTTAAAACGTGGAAACTTACTTATCTGAACCTTTACGTCTCTTCTGTAGGACGTAGTTAGTTATTGGTTCTCCACCATCGTCTTCTGGTGCTTTCCATCTCAAAGTTATTTCATCCGCCTTTACGTCTGTTGCTTCAAGAGGTCCACCTGGTGGACTTGGTACGTCTGTTTAAAAAATAAGAAACCCGTGTATTTAGGATACAAACATCACTTCATAATATCAACTCATCTAGTGAATAGATCAAAGACTTTTAAAAATGGAGGACCAAAACCCGATTTTTCGTTTGGAAGATTTCCTATTCATAAGAAATTTGATTATAGTGCAGATGTGAAGAAAGAGATTTGAGAAGCCATACACAAACAATAGGAATTATTCTTTAGAACACCATCTTGTTTGATTCGAAATCTGTTAAGTAATAAAATTTAGTTTTGTTTGCGTTTTATTCTATGAATCAATTCAGAAATTACAGTCATACTCTTTTCTGTCTCAAAATTACTGTAATTTCAATGTAATATTTATATTCCATTTATTCCATCAAAACTCTTTGCGTTGTGATCTTGCTAGTTATATATTTATTTACATGCCTCTTTGAATCAATTTGAAACACGAATGAAACGGATAAGCGTCCCAGCTAATCGTTTTCATTCTCTCAACTTACGAACCTATTAATCTATAGGTCAGTTATAAACTAGTTTTCTTCTATCTGCCCATGAGGCTGAGTAGTCACATTCAAACGCACACATTACAGGTCTCAGAGTTACACTAAGTAACCTATCCAGTCAATGCCTTAAATTAGATCAAGTACACTCTCTCTATCATTATATATCAAGAATAAACTAGTGGGTAGACAGATCAAGGATGTAGCAGGTACATTTAGATCACAGCGACATCAAACTCATGTTGCAAATCAGTTACTCTAACTGTTTAGGGTGGCAGTCAACAATATCTTTCCCGGTTGATTACACGTGATTTATCTTTCCTTTGATTAGTAATAGTAGATAGTTCTATTGCTAATAGAATAAATATGCTTGGATAATCTGTTAATAAGAATTATTCATATCTCAAATAAAGGACACTTGTCTAATAACTTGCAATTCTGTGGATTTTCAACTGCATTGACAAGATTCTTTACATTTTTCTGAGTAATTCCATACTGTTTGTAATTATCAAAGGATATTCCAATCATTTATATGACTTTTTCTTCAGTCAACTTATACATATTTTGTGAAGTATTCAATCCCACAATGAACGAAAATACTTACCAATTACTTCGACCTCGCAAGAAGTAGTTGCCTGACCTTGTTCGTTTGCGATTGTTAGTTGATATTTTCCTTTATCTGAACGACGAACTTTTCCAACTGTCAAAACTACCGTACCGCCTGGAGACATTTCAAGAAGTCCACCAGGTCCGGGATTTGCAGGTGGTGGTAGAGTTCCACTGGTTTCAGTTATTCGTTTACCATCAATCTGTATAGGTTTATCATTTTGACTCCAACTAAATGTTGGCTTTGGATGACCAAACCAAGCAACAGGAAGCTTTAAATCTTGACCAGCCTAACAGGTACATAAGAGAGGTTAATTATTTAACGGTAAGGATTTCAAAATTATGGTAGATGTAGGTATTAGTATAATGTTTAACACTTACATTTGATCGATTTCAACATTAACCAAAATACAGGAAATTTATTCCAATAAAGTAGTTAATTAACATTTGTAAATCCATGAATATAAAAAAGTTCTTGCAAGTTAATTTACTAACATTTCAGTATACCATTAATCCTATTGAAATGTATGAAATAGCGTTCCAAATGTATGCTACATAGAACTTAAATATGATAGAAATATTGAGACCAGATTATTTATTCATGATTTTAGCCTTAAAGAGATAAAACTTTTGGATTTTTAGAATCGGTCCCAGTAAATGTGAGTTGAAAGACAGTTTTCTGTCGATATAAGCAAATGTTTGTTGGATTCTGTATTAATTATAGATAACATCATTTTAAATTGTGAATCTTCAAATTGTAAAGTTGACTTATTTTATTGAAAGTTTCAAAAGCTTTAAAATTAATGACAGGAATTACTAACTTTTCAGTAATTATCAGTCAAAGCTTTGTTCTCAGTAGTCGAATCTTACTAATGACGTTTTTCGCGAAACAGAATGTAATTTAAGGACCATTAAACTAACTGATTCATACTCTTGGCCTGGTGAATAGATCTAACTCTAAGCAAAAGTATTATTAGATCAAGTTCTTACTTTTCCGAGACTATTTAAGTCTATTTAATTGTGAAAAAAAACTAAATGAATCTACAATAGAACTATTGAATATGTAATAACTAGAACTAAATGAATTAATAACGAATATAATAGTGATGACTCTGATGAATAACTGATGAGAAAAACTAACCTTCAGTTTAACATCTTTCAGACCACCAACTCCACTACCCAAACCACCAACACAATCATCAGGTGTACATATTCTCGGTGCTTCCGGTTGATCAACAGCTGTCACTGGTGCAGTAGGTCTAGTCGGTTCACCTGGACCTTCATCGTTCACTGCACGTACACGAAATTGTGCAGTCTCACCCTCTTTCATTGGAATAAATGCACATGGTTCTGTAGTCTGTTTCACAGGTACCCAATCACCATTTTCATCTTTCTTTTCCACTTGATATCCGGTGATTTTACTTCCACCATCTTTTCGTGGTTTTTGCCATGATAATTTCACACCATTTTTATTAACTTTATCCACATTAACTGAATCTGGTGCACTTGGTGGGTCTAAAATTAAGTTAGGAAGAAAATTGGTACAATTAATCACTCCAGAATTGATTAAAAATTAAATTCTTTAAAATAAATTTTCAAAAACTTACATGTAGGATCTTTTATAACTTGAGGCAATGTTGCTTTCGATGGGCGTCCTGCTCCAGCGTCATTTACTGCACTAACACGAAATTCATAGGTCTGTCCTTTATCTAAACCTGTTAGTTTAGCTTCCTTTCCATGAACTAATCCTGTTGTGGCTGGTTTCCAATCTCCATTCGGTGTACGTTTCTCGATGAAATAACCTACATGAATATTAAGACAATAAAAAGAAATGAATAAGGATTTACTTAATAAATATTTCTATGATATCTATGGCACAGGCTTTTTATAATCACCTTCTATGAATAGGTTTTTCAAAATATACATTGCCTTACCGTGGATTGGATTTCCTCCATCATTTTCTGGTGGTTTCCATGCTAATGTAACTCCATGACTATCGAATGATTCAACTTTAACATCTTCTGGTGCATCAGGTGCGTCTGAAAATAAAGTAAATAGGAAACAGTCACTTGTATTTTAAGATCCATTTAGATAAGAATACTGATAGATAGAATCCTTTATAAAAACAAGTATAAATACCATGCACGTGGTATATAATGGATATCTTTCAAAAATAAGAAATTGCCAAAGGGAAATCTGTTCATTTCGTTATACCCAAGATATTAGACATTTCTGATCTGGTTAATAGAAAGAATATGAGAAAATCGTTATTGTCCCCTTATTCTTCTACTGAAAAACATTTCTTCATTTACTGAATCATTAATCTTTACTCGCGTGCTTTCTATAGTGAGTACAATTGTTTATCCTCTAATCTCTCTCGTCTCATAGGTCCATATTATCAATATAAAAATAGTTAATAGTGTATGTAACATCATTTTTGTGCTTTTTAGTTTTTAAACTTTTTTTTATCTCTTTTCGAGTTACCCTCATAGGTGGAAGTGAAATACACTAAACTTATTTACTGGTGATTCAATTTATTTATTTACTTTTAAACTGTCTTTCAGCTGTTTAGAAGTTTCCATCACTTCATATAATCATCAGCAAATTCAAACATGAGATATTATAACTATTGAATGTTGATATTTTCTGTGGTTAAGATATCAAACTTCATTCTGTGCAAACTACTCATGCAATTCAATCTTCTAAAGAAGTGAAAATCCCAAGAATTGAAATTTATTTAATAAAAGAAATTATAAAACAGCCTCTTGACATGGTTATTCATTTTATGTATGCACATGTCTTATTTGGAAATATAATTAGAATCTAGGTTAGGTGTAACATATAAATATCCTTACAAATGACATTCCCATGTTTTATTATTCGTATTTACTAAGTTTAGGATTTACATGTACCAATAAAGTTGTACTTACCAAATGGATTTTTAGCTGTAATCGCTGTATTAGTTTCTGCTGGTTCACTTGGTCCCATAGTATTCACAGCAGATACACGGAAGCGATAACGTTTACCTTCGACTAAACCTTTGACTGGACAATTTGTACCAGTGATAACAGTTGGTACACGTTCCCACACTTCAGTGGTTGCATCACATTTTTCAACGATATAGTCTGAAAGAAAAAACACATTTTATCGGGAAAAAAACGGTAATTTATACTCAAAATATCAATAATTTTACTTTATTCTACCTGTGATATTCTACACTTGATAGCTAATAAGACGTTCGGGTAAATTTGTTTCAACTCCATATACGATTGTAATCTCAAGTCAATTATGTACGTTAATTCTCAGCTGATTCAACAGAGCTTGAGTATTGTTTCCTATAATTTCTCTCAACTTTTAAAAATACGTAAAGTGAACACTATTTATTTGACTAATTTAAGTCATTACATAAATTTTACGGTTTACGTTAAGTTTAGAACTAATCTATTGCTGTGTATTTTCAGGAAGGTAATAACTTGAGAAAATACGGGTTTCCATTTAGTTTCTTAAGGTTAAGATCTTTAAATACACAATTCAATACCAGGATTACAAAATGTAGTTAGGAATTTGTAGAAACTACTTAATGATTCCTCTGACAATCTTGAATAGGTAATGGGCAATATTTAGTTGCGTGTCCTTCTCTAGTATAGTTGAAAAATACAAATTAGCATACTAATTCACAAATTAAGGTCCAACTATTTCCTATCGTGAGGTTTGTTACTCTCATCGAGTTGTTATCGAATTTTAATGTTGGTAGCTTCTTTTAAATGAACATGTGACTTAATGATATCTTCAGAGTGAAATCAGATCTTCATAGTAATGAGAGTTACAAGAGTTAAAAAAATCCTATCTACTCTTCTGTACTTATTATTTAAGATTAATTAATGCACAAGAGCAAATGAGTACAAATGTGTTATTTTTCTTAAAATCTGATAAAATCTATTGTAATGTTACCGATGATTGGACATCCGCCATCTGATTCAGGTGGATTCCAGGTTAATACACAGCTATCAGCAAATATATCTTTCGCTTCAACATTCGATGGTGGTTGTGGCTTATCTAAAAAGTGAAACAAAATAAACAAATATTGTAGATTTGAATGAATGGAATAAGTTATTAACTTCTGTTTAATTTCCTAAAATGAGTTGTTATAGCTGGTTGGATTTTGTATTATTGCAGTGACGAGAGTAAACAGTTGATAACACAGTGTCTAGTGATTTGGATTGGTCTCGTTTACCATTTACTGGCTTTTATTTTTTTAACTGTTATTAGGGTTTACCATGTGACGAGTATTTTTACATTCTGATATCCATTCAATCGTAGCTTACAACTTGACTGTATGATTGAAATATTCATTATGTTCCTTCATTGATTATATCAACTATTTGTCTGTCATTAGAATAAAATATTATTGATGTTTTTTGGCTATTATTATCAATATGAGGAAAGTATAATTAGTCCTCACCTCAAGTTATTATTTCTCCCCTAATTTCTAAAAATTCCCACGTATTTCCTTAATTTATATCATTCAATCCGAATGATGTGAAAATACATTTGATTTGATTTGTAATCGGATTATTCTAACTCTCAGCCTTTTTATCAATACTTATTTTGATTATTAATCACAAAAGTTCAGTTGACCTATAAACTTACCCAAGTTAACGTTATTTACTAGTGATCTCAATTTAAAAACAATTTTATTTTATTTCGTCAAGAATTCAGAATTTTTAGATTTTTTTGTTCCAAACTTGGCCATCCTTATAGAACAATAATTTGGATACATCGAGCCTGATGAGAGGTTAGTGAAAATGATATTCCTCTTTCATATATCTGGGTTTTTACATGGAATGATCTCAGGTTACCTTTTATCTAAACTTTGGATATGTACACGGTATTTTACTTTGCAAAAGCTTATGAACTGGAAAAATAATCCTCAATGACAATTAAAAATATCACAGTTAAGCAATAATTACAAGTAAAACCTACTTCTTTTTTGAAGTAATTACTTACCTCTTTTGGGACATATTTTGGTTAATTCTGTAGGTTGACTCGGTTCGCCAACTCCTGCAGCGTTTACGGCACTCACACGAAATTCATATTCAGCATTGTCATCAAGACCATCAATATGAGCATTATTATTTGTAACAGGCTTTCCGTCTGGTGTAGCTGGTTCCCAGTCGGTAGCAAACTTTTTCCGTTTCTCTACTAAATAACCGGTGATACGAGCACCTCCATCTTTTGCTGGTCTAGACCAAGCTAAATCGATAAAGTTCTTTCCAACATCTTCAATGGTAGGTGTTCCAGGACTGTCAGCTGTGGCTAAAGTAAAGAAAAATTGTTTTAATTAATACTAGTTTCACACTTGCAACCAATGATAATCCTCATAAAAGTAGGATGCAACAGGCTGGTTAGTTGTCTTTTGTAACTGTTATGCTGTTACCATCATGTTTTAATACTAATCGACGTAAATAAAATAGAATTATACGCATGACAGAAAATTTCACAAGCCACATAAAAACACTATGAATTTCATATTTTCAGTTTTTAACCTAGAGTGATTTCGTTTGGGTAAGGTTTTGGATATCATATAACATAATACTAATTATAAGTAGTATGAAGTGGATATGTAGCGCATATGGAGTAGAGTGTCGTCTTAAAGTTACGAATGGAGCGAACAGTGTTGGGTCCGGATTAATGGAGGGATTTGGATGTTTTTTGGAATAGAATATATGTGAAAGAAGAGAGCTAAGAATACTTTTGTTTTGTTAATGGATGCTTTATGATAAGGTAACTTAACAAACCTTATAGCATCACGAAGACAACATTGAGACAGTGAAGAGTATTTGTAGCTCAGCATTCGTATAAATTATACTTTCCTCTAAAAATAAAAAGCTGAGACCATAGTAAAGTAATAGATGTTTAATAAAATTGATTTCTAAATGAAAACTTAATTTTATTACTGGAAATTTCATTTTACAAATATATCATACTTACTGAATTTAGGCTTGCATTCCACTGGTCTGTTAGCTGTACACGGTTCACTAAGTCCAACTTCATTTTTTGCACAAACTCGAAATTGATATTTTTCGCCTTTCTTAAGCCCATCAACTAAGAAAAAGGAAAATTGTTTGTTTTGGTGAAACACAACAAATATTGATGCAACTAACAGAAATATACTGAATTATATAAACAAGTTGCGTTGGGAGAAAAAATCAACTTAGTTTTAAAGTAATTTCAATTTCGTAACACGATCACAATCACAAAATATGATTTATATTGATTTAAATGTTTTATCAATCCGTCTTTAAAACTTCTAGCTAACTTTATCATTTACTGTCCTTGAAATGTATGTTTTATTTAAATGACGTCAGTGTTTCTTTTTGAAATATTAGAATACTATTTATTCATGTTAATGCTTAAGATACTGGCAAAACGTATAATGTAATGTTCGTATGATGTAATGTGATGTAATCTGATGATATATAAAAGTAGATAAATGAAACGTGAGGAAAACTTGACTTCTTATGTGCTGTTTAATCAATATTCCGGGAAGACAAAATAGGATAAGACCATTTTACTAAAAATATATAATTATTCTTCATAGTTTGAATCGATTTATATCAATGTCAACTACTGATGGATAAAATCATGTACAAAAAGGTTTTTATAGCATAGAAAATGCCACTTGCTTTGCATCACAAGTCCTCACATTGCTGTGTATTAAATTGTACATCGACTAATTCTTTAATCACTTTGATAATTTTCTGTTAATATGAACTTCGTGTTTTCATTTCTTCCTGTATTAATTCACTAATTTTTGATAACAATGTTATCTTTTTTACAATTAATAAGAATAATATTATTTTTCATTTTAACAAATCATCGAAATTAATTAGGAAGAGTTCACATTATTCTGGTTATTATTCGTAAATCGAAAAGGATTGGAACTTCAATTGTATTACCATTTACTACTTAGTTACCAGTTGTTAACAATTAATTGAGACAGTTTTAAAGATGATTTGAATCATTCGAATGCAGATTTAAACATAAAGTTGCATAAATTAAAGGACATTGGTGAACTATGGAGTATTGAACAGTTGTTTTTGTTAATATTTTGGATAATGTCAGTAGTCTACACTTTATGATATGGCACCATATTGAATATAAAAGCTTCTAAGAGTAGTGATTCTTTGTTAGATTTTCATGAAAAGGATAGTCGTTTTATAGTGAGACTTCCTTCTATGTTTAATCATTTAAATGAGTGATTATCATGTGATGTTGTCAGAGTAATATAGTTTGTTTGAGCTTCGGTTAAGATCTAACAGACATTGGTTTATGAGACAAGATTCATGCAAAAATGACCTACCATTTATTTTTATCCACATTAGTGTGTTTGGTATGTTTTCCATGTGAAAATAGAAATAATAGTAGAATAGTAGAAGAATATCGCTGGAAAAACACTGATAACATTTAACTGTGAATTTCTATTAACTAACATTAGTCTTCCTGACCATTTATTAATCATGATTAAGCAAATATTTACAGTAATATTTTAGTTATTCAAATGAACTGTCAAACAGATATTCTTCACTAGATAAACACTTACCAGTAGTGGAATTGCCTTTGATTAATCCTTCTGGAGCTGTTCGCCATTCATCCGAATTAACAGGTTTATATTCAACTACATAACCTATAATACGACGTCCTCCATCTGATTTAGGTTTAGTCCACTCTAATGTTACTTTATTGGCATCAATATCGGTTGGTGTAAGATTTCCAGGAGCTGCTGGTACAGCTAAAAGTGAAAATTAAATGTATTATTAAGTAGAATATGTTTTTTTGTAAAAATTATCAATACTGGTTTTAATAATAAGCAATTTATATTATTTGTCTACTTCTCATATGATTAGTAAGTGAAGTTCAACCTGTTCGGATGTAGACAGTGCATGATGTGGCGCAACTCCTAGAATTGATTGAAGTTAAACTTTGACACCATTAGATGCCGGCTCAGTGGTCCAGAAGTTAGGCATTCACTCGCAAGACCGAAGGTCCTGGGTCCGAATCCTGCTAGGTGCAGGAGTCGTGGATGCGCACTACTGACGAGTCCCATACCAGGACGAAACGGCCGTCCAGTGCTTCCAGGTTTCTAATGGTGGTCTAACTTTGATTGATTCATGATTTCAAATGTGTAACTTAATAATATTCACAACCCCGTAATGCAGGCATTTATAAATCACGTTTCACAAACCAATTATATTTGGTCGATGATTTTACAAGCATCAAGTATTTGTTTAAAAGATATGTATCTACAATATTGAATGTTAGCTTTATTATCATTCCTCATCTACGTTATTTCACTTAAAAAACTATTGTATGAAATACTTTTAGCAGTATGTTGAATAATAATTTTTATTCAAAAAAAAATTGTATTGAAATATCTTCGAATAAAATAATCAAACGAAAAAGATCATCTTATTTTAGATTGATTTCATTGATTTCCGGTAGTTTATTGAACTAATTGGTAAGTTGAATGCCTTCAGTGATATTTGTTGAAATGTTCTAGCACAATTAACGTGTTTTAATCTAAAATCTACGTCCATACATATTAGCTAATTTATGGAGATAAATTTTCTGCAACTAAATTGTGAACAATATTAATATTTTAATCGAAGACTGTTATTCGAATATTCTGGTAGAAAATATTGAAGCCAATTTATTTCATTTGAGTTCATTTTTATATCATAAGTTTGTAATTGAAGTGACGGAAAGTATAGTATGGTAATGAAAAATAATTAGTGTGTGGATTTTAAATCTTCAACTTCAAATATTAGTGTAAACAAGTAAGAAAAAGTGAAATCAACACAAGTAATAATAATCAGAAGTTTACTTTATAGAAAAGATTAAAAATAAGGGACATTTCAAATCAAAAAAGTGTTAAACGGAAATATGTTACTTAACTAAAAGGGGTTTGATGATTTCTTTTTGATAAATATAAAGGTAGTATGAAGAAACGATCAAAAAATGGATATCAACCAGGTTGACAATAAAACTTAAGGACTTCTGAATAGGTACTTCGAGTTCACTGATGGATGGTACCCACAAATTCTATAGCAAGGAATCTCAGTACCCATAAGCTACTTGATGATAGTCCAGGACTTTGAACGGTTGATAATTTGTAAAAATAATCACATGTAAGTCGGTCTTGACTTTGAAGCTTGGTAAACATAAAAATTTTGCTTACTTGAAGGGTTTTCTGCAACTATTGCTCTATCTGCATCTAGAGGTTCACTGACACCTACATCGTTAGCTGCACGTACACGAAATCGATACATATTGCCTTCATCTAAACCAGTTATATCACAATTCGGTGTACGAACAAACGAATTGACTACACTCCAATCACCGGTTTTTGTATTTTGTTTTTCAACAACATAATGTGTTATTGGACTTCCACCATTGTCCTATTAAATGAAAAATTAAATCATATCAAAAACCTAATACAAGTTAAAGTAATGAATCTAATGCTGAAATGTGTATTTTTCATATATTGAAATCGTTGGTTCATGTCACGAAAAGATTTCTAAAAGTCAAATGTATTCAGATAATCATGTAATGTTTGTAATAGTTTTTCAACTTTAGTAAAGGTGGTGTTGAAATATTGATCCTAATCGGCTTTGCACATATTATCTCAAAGTTTGTAAAAGGTCTGTATAAACTTGAAATGAAAGTCTTTCGTATGTATGTGATTTGTGTATTCATGTAGGCAGATAGATGATCTAAATGAGTTGATGGATGTATTGGGAACTATAACTGTTGGTGGTCAGAAGACGCTTAGTTAAATGCGACAAGTATTTTGCCAATCAAACACTGTCGTCTAGAATATGTAGGAACATGCATGCTAACATCTACATACAAGTGAATAAATACACCCACATCAATAAATACACTATGATTAATAGACTTGAAAGAACAAATATTTAAAAATGTACTTGAATGGAGGTTTAGAATAGTTGGTAAGATGAGAATGTTTCGTCTGTCATGTAGTTCGTCTGGCTATTTTTATAACATATTAGTGGACAACATAAGACACTACAGTTTGAGCTTGTTCTGGAGAGTCCATAGATTAATAACTTGCAAAACAAAAGTTTGTTATTTGGCATTTACAATTACAAGCTGTCATTTGACGTCCCATTTCTGCAGGTAACTTAGTTGTAGATCATGTATACGTATGTATTTATCATTAGTTGATAACAGATATTATTTGTCACACTTTATAGGGTTAGACTGTTTGACCTTTGTTTACTGGTATTTAGAAAAGTATAGTGTTGGGGACGTTAGATCCCCAAAACTCGCTTGATAAATGTCTTAATTTTGGATTTTATTCATGGGCTGATCAATTGACCCTGAGATCACATTTCCCACCAGGAAAATCCTTGGCTGTGATTGGTTGATGTGTTATTTTAGTGTGCTATTTTTGTGACTCTCCCAAGGAGGTTTCTATGACGTATAAGTAAACGCGATTTATGTGCCTGATTCATTGTGCTTGCTGGGTGTTTGTAGAATAAACTTTCTACGCTATATCAAGACTTCTGATTAGTTCCTCTGGGTCAATGGATCAGAGTTGCCTACCCGGACACTGGTTCATTGTCTCGTTCTCGTTTATTGACTAGGGTGAACGCATAATAGTTTCAAGCATAGCACGTGACGACCGTAACAAGTTGAATAAATGGTTGAATTCTTATCTTATGTTATTACATATCTATTATGAAAATAACACTAGGATTATTCATTGTCTTTCATAAGCAGTAAGAGTTTTAATCTCTTAAATTTAATGGATCAATTTAAATAATACCAATAGATCCAATGATTTCATCATATCTTGTTAATTTATTTACAGAGAGAAATAAGTTGGCAGAAATAAAAGAAGCGAATGAGTCAATAAATTTATTACAGTTTCAATTTCACGTCCTTTTTGAATCAACTCTAAACTATCAATAGAAATGTTTGTCGCATAAATATAAACATACAGAATTATAGGTAATTCGTAATGTTTGTACATCCATCATAAATAGATTTTGAGAAAGATTGATGAAAGTTTATACAGTTACATACCGTAGGTGGATTCCAACTTAATGAACATGAATTATTTTTGATGTGACTAATTTCTAACGGTCCTTGCGGTGGTTCAGGTGGTCCTACAACCTTCACACCAACAGGTACTGAATCACGACCTTTCTCATTTTCCAAATCAATTTTATACAAGCCAGCATCGTTCTTTTCTGCTTCTGTATCTGTAATAATTACTTCATCAGGAGTGATTTCCACTTTGAAACGACCACCTTCAAGCGGTACAGGGATTCCATTCTGAATTAAAAAAATTAGATAATTATAATTCTGTAAATTCGTGTTTTTTCTTAAGATTGAGAACGGAAGCATTAGTGGGAACGATGAGTGGAATGAAATCTACTAATCGCAAAGTGTACACCTTATCACAAAGCATCTGTTTACAAAACAAGCATATTCTTGGTTGTCTACTCCTACATATCTCCTATTTCTCAAAATACCCAAATGACATTATAAATTCGGATTTGACACTTTGCTCCATCCGTAAATTCAGGGCAATACTCTTCTGCATATTCATCTCAACGTTATTATTACACACCACATAAGGAGAACATTCAAGAAGCGGTTTCTATGCTTGATTACTCAAAGATTTGGTTTTAGTGATTTAACTCTATTTTCTAATACTTACTGTTATCATGACCGAACAGTATCTTTAAAAAAAAACTGGTCACACAATTGTGTTTTTTATAAGTATTAATACCCTATAATAACAACGATAACGTTGTAAATTTCTGATTGATCTAGTACTTTACTTAAGTATTCCATCATCTCTGATTACTATCATTATTTTTTGTATGATGCGTAGAGCCTTTGATTTCGTGTTCGAAGTTGCTATCTTCCGATGGTCACATTTCACTACTGTGCACTACAGACGGGTCTTATACTACATATATATATATATATATATATATATATTAGTGCACAGTGCTGATGCTAACAGTAATTGAATCCAGGTCAGTCAACTAATACCTAACCATTCGCTAATTGATTGAAAATCAATTGTAAATATAGGCCATTTAGTAGACTAGCATACTTGTTTCAAAACAATGATAACAGAATTTGTGCAGTGATTTACCTTGGTCACTTCTACTTTATCTGGTGGACTTCCAGTAAACGGTACATGGATTTTAAATGGTTCTCCAACACGTGCAGTCACTTCACGTGGTACATTACGTCCTATTTTGGGTGGGGCTGACAAACGAATAGAAGAATCAGTGTAAGTGCAATATACAAAAATCCATCAGATACAGATTATTATTAGTATTATCGATCGCTTACTTGATACCGTATATCTTGGTTAATTTCTTCTTTTTGTACTATATGTATGATACAATGCTGAATATTTTCAGAAGTGGTATGAACAAAATTTAATTTTATAACTTAGGGATATACAGACAAAAAACTGTTTTAAACACAACAATAATACATTAATTATATTAACCCATAAATCAAAGTGGGCATAAATGTTTGGACTAATTTAGTCAGTTTCTTAACTTGAAAACAACTGAATTCCATGCAAATCGAGTTTTAAATATTTTTAAAATCTGTCATTAATATAAAGTTGAAATCTGTAAAGAAAACGAACACAATACAATAATTAGTTTTACGCAATAGGTTTAAGATAGTCTATGGAAACACGATTTAGTGCTTTTGATGATGACAATAAGAACAGTAATGTTGAATTGAGGAAATGAATTCCCAGTTAAAAATGCTTCATAGGAAGGGAAAGGATAAAGGTCTACACTTAAAGGGGTGGAAGCAATACCTTATATGTGACTAACATAGCCCACGAAGTGAAAAAAAATAAAATGACCATTGTGGATTGGAAAAAATTCAAATATTAGAACGTATTCCTTTTAAATACTAAGTTTTGAATGATTTTAATTGACGAAATGGATGCATAACCGTACCACTCTCGGAATCTAGTCGTAAACTAGAAAAGTTCCTTCTGTTTTGATAAGGCATTCACCTTTTTTTCAAACAAGGGACAATAGTGTAATTTTTTTTATTGATCTGACGACTTTTTTTCACAACCAAACAGGAAAATGTTTGCGACCAAACTAGGATAATTCCCTCTGAGTACTGCTTCTCATTTATGTGCTGAGACGAAACTAAATGTTTATTGGTTGAAGAGTTAACAACAGATGCAGTATTGAAAGGTAAAGTAAAGATCTGAATAGAATCTAAGAATTATTTCATTTGCTGACCCGATTTTTGTTTGAATAAGTAAAACATTTCTGTAGTAAGCCGTTGGTCAGTCAAATGTATGAACCAATGTAAAGTGGTCGAGTGATGACTACTGGTGAAACTTGTATGGAAACATAACCTATTTAAATAAACTGGTTTCAAAGCAGACAAAGTGGTCAGCAAACAAGGATATTTTCAGGCAGAGTTTCGAAACGGCCATCTAGTGCTTCCAGGTTTCTAATGGTGGTCTGACAATGATTGATTGATGATTTCAAATGTGTAAAAACACAAATCTCCGAAACTCTCACTGAAAATATCGTAACATGTGCTCACTAGTGACTAGCTTCGTGAGGAAATTCTCGGAGTTCTAGTTGAGAAGACGTGACCAATGGAGTTCAGCCCTGTCGGGTGTAGGCAGTAACTACCAAAGACAAATGGGAGAGGTCGCGCAAAATTCCTAGATCAATCAGAATTAGACATTAACACCATTGGATGCCTGCCCAGTGGTCCGATGGTTAGGCGTTCGCGCAAGATATCGAAGGTCTCAGGTTCGAATCCTGCGAGGTGCAGGAGTCGTGGATGCACACTTCTGATGAGACCCATACCAGGACGAAACGGCCGTCCAGTGCTTCCAGGTTCCTAATGGTGGTCTGACAATGATTGATTGATGATTTCAAAGGATATTTCCATTGAGTAAAATACCGCATAACTACAAAGTAACAACCCAAAAATAAATACAAACAGATGTTTTTTGGAACGCTTCATTGTAGGTTTCATAGTTCAATCATCCATTCTGAATGAAATTAGGAGTTAATGCATAGCTTATTTTTCGCTCAACATATCCATTCAAGTGAACAGACTATAAAATTTCAACTTCTGTCTTTCACTACAATTTTGTATGAAATCGACTTAATGATTTGGAAGTCAATGAAATCAATTAGGAAAAAGGCTATTCGGCTTTTTCCTGTATAATTTAGCATAAACCAAACTAAAAATCAAAAATGTCATATTTCGTATCTAATATAAATTCCAGAATATTATCTTACAAATGAAACTATTCTCTTGGTTACCCATTGTATGTGTGTGTGTGCACGCGTATGTATTTGTATCTCTACATAATGCTTGTGCATGTGTTTATCTCATTTTTCTTAGTTTGATGAAAAAAAGACCAATGATGAAGAAAATTTTATTTTAACTTGAACATATTTATCTATCGAACTGTTTCCTCGGTAAAATCGTAATGTAAATCGGGGAGGGGGGAATAGTTGGTATGATTTTTTTTTCATTTTGTTACATACAGTACAATTTCACTTTACCAAACAGATAACTATTTACACGCTAGATTATGGATATGGAATTTAATGTTATGTGAATTATTTTTACACAATACCTAGTGATTGGTATTATTACTGGGATAGGAATTTATGACTGGCATTTGAAAATTGGCATAAGACCCTGATCCATGACATGACAATCGATTGTTATCTCATAATTTGCACAAGGCTAATACCATAGTTTATTAGTGATAATTCCTAGAACGATGCTTTCTACAAGCTGAGGTTATCGGACCGTGATTTTGTTATTGATCAAACACTTGGTGGTGAATGAAGTATCGCGAAAAGAATTAAATTATTTTTTTCACTTACACTTATGGAGATTAGTGTTTGTTGCACATTGAACTCGTCAATCAATCATTGTTACATCACCATTAGAAACCTCGAAGCACTGAACAGCCGTTTCGTCCTGGTATGGGACTCATCAGCAGTGTGCATCCGCGACTCCTGCACCTCGCAGGATTCGATCTCAGGATTTTCGGTCTCGCGCGAGAATGCCTAACCTCCGGACCACAGGGCTCGCATCCATCGGTGTTAATGTCTAACTCTGATCAATCTACAGATTTTGTCTTTGGTCGTTACTGCCTACACCCAACAGGGTTGAACTCCTATGGTCACGTCCTCTCACTAGAACTTTGAGAAATTCCTCACGAAGCTAGTCACTAGTGAGCACATTTTACGATTTTTCAACTAGGTTTGAATAATGTTTCAATACTTCCCAATCAGAATATTATTTATCATCATTATTTTTATTATTCTTTTACCTGCAAAACGATCAGTGTTCAATGCGTTACAGAATCATTGCTGGATAACCTCATTATCGATTATTGTATCTTGTTAGAAACGAAGAAACTAGTCTAATGTTTCTTGTAGATTATGATTTTTTCAGAAGAGTTAAGGATAACCTTAGCTAGATTGACATTTCTAACCAATAAACTTGTTAAACTCCTAGCAATGTATTAGTGGATTGCAAACAAGCAGTCACAACTGATCAAAAGTCGATGTTACATCATTACTAAAGCATAATTTAATTTACATTTCTTAAAATCAATACATTGGCATTGCTTACTTGTTGGGAACTGAACTTTGACTAATTCTGTTGGTTCACTTGGTTCACCATTACCAGCCAAATTGTATGGTACAATACGAAATTCGATTTCTTTTCCTTTTGGTAAACCTTTCACCGTATACTCAGTACCGGTTACGTTGCCTGTATTTGCCCTACAATTTAAATCGCGGTGTTAATTATAACAGAAAGCATGCCAAAAAAATTGACAAGCACAGTGTATTTCAAAATCACATATTTTTATTGATTTTAGTTCAGGAAAATAGTAGATTTTATTTGTTGCCTACTAAGTAAATGTTAGTAGTATGATGCAGTTTTAACTACTACATATCAGCTTAGTATGACGAAAGTTTAAATTCTGTCAATCAGGTGACAGTTACAACCTAAAATTTGAATAATTTTGTACTGAATAATAGATACAGAATGAATTTCTTCATGGATACAGATAAATCAGGTGATTACTGTTAGTGAGCATTAGAAACAGATTTTAATAGATCGTCATTTGATGAGATTATAAATTATGGACGACCTTTGAGCGATGCCAAAGTGACTTCGAGAATATTTATCAACTTACTAGGGATAAAAGTAAGCTATACATCATCAATATGAGGAATAAGGGAGAAGATTTAGGGCTAGATTTAAGCGTTAGTAATCAGAGTTGAAGGTTTTCCTCACGAACTGACATCATGCCAAAATGTTATTTAACCATATCTATGTGTAAATTACAAACCAAAGCCTTCTGAAACGTGATTGGTTCGTCCTGAATCTATAGTTTCGTCAACTATTTAGTACCGAACATAGTACATTATTGAGTTGTATAATTTAGTTAGGCGATCGTATTTTGCTTTCGGTGGAATGTGATCACAATGGTTAGTTTGTGCTGATCAGCTAACTTATGTACAGATTGTATTACACAAAACTGACCTGTAAGATTTATGATTTAGAAATCTACTCTTATGCTGAATTAATCTGGATTCATAATTTTATCATCATTGAAATATTCTTCTTGATCATGCTTGTCAGTATTCTATGTCAGTATTTTTACTCAAGTAATCCTCATCGAATTTCATTTTATAAACTCGTCAGCTCTCCATGTATGTTGCTCATTAATCCGTTGGAACTATTCAGTTTTAATCAGAAAAACTTCCTTTTGTAGTTGTTCAATGTGCCATCAATTTATTTGGTTAAATCTATGATTACTACTCACAAAGATTCAGTACATTCTAGAATGATTCGTAGTTTTAATTACTTGTTCTAGAAACACTTCCCAAGGAACATTTGATTACTTGAATTATCGATAATTCATGAAATGGTGATTATCTGATGTATATTTGATAAATATGTCTTATTGTGAGTAGTTAAGATTATAGCAGACAAAAAGTAATCCCAGTGCTAATTTGTTACTGACATCTTATTTATCAATACTATATACTTATCAAGACTAATTCTATTTCCTTATATCACACTATATTTGATTATTTTGAGTGATAATATTTCAAAGCTCATGTCTCCAGGATCGTTCTCATCTGTGGTAACAACATTTGTCAAGCCAATATATTCAGGATTGTGGTATATTTATCTTTGAATTGTGGTTTTGCATTGTTAACATTTGTATCATCTGTCTATAAATCTGTCAGAGGGTTCTGTTAAATCGGAAAGAAATATTTAACTGAGATGTTAGCTTAATGAATTATTTCCCTAAGATAACAACTATGATGAGTGTGAAGTTGAAGTTATCCTTGGAAATTATCATAGTTCACGGACAGAATAAGGTTCTGAAGGTTGATAGCATATGACTTATTGATTCAATAAAATTATTACGTAATCATGAAGAATATAACATTCCTGACTGCTCAAAAAGTTAGAGCAAAAGAAAAGCCATCACAATGTGCATTAATCAATGACCAAGGGCAAATACATTCTGTAATGGAATAAAAAGCGATTCATTTTCAGTTAAGCACTTACTTTGTCCAATCTCTAGAACCTTTAGGTCTTTTTTCGACAATGTAGCCAGTAGTTGGACCTTTCATTGGTGGTTCCCAAGATAAAGTGACCGAGTCGTCTGTTGTAGTTTCAATAACTGGTTTCTTCATACCTGAAGGTGGGTCTTTATTGAAAAGAACACAATATGAACATTAAATTTAGAATTAGTTAGGTAATTGTGTAAGGAAGTTGAATCTTTGACCTTATTTTTCAAGTAATAATTTTTTGACAATATTTTCTAGCACTCAACATCGGTTGAATGAAAACCAAAACACTGTGAACAGCAGATCGATATGTTGTTATATTTTGTGATTAAATAATCAATCATGAACAAGATCGGATAAGGTTACCACAGACATCCCACTGTGGATGCGCACTGCTGATGAGTCCCATACCAGGACGAAACGGCCGTCCAGTTCTTCCAAGTTTCTAATGGTGGTCTAACATTGATCGATTCATGGTTTCAAAAATGTGTAAGTTAGATGTTAGCCAAAGTCATCATAATGCTTAAGTTCAACATTATGAAAGTTGACCTGAAGAATTACTTTTACAGAATTATCACTAGATTTTTTGTATTCAGTAACATTTCCCTCACAGATGAAACAAATAATACATATAGCAAACTTGTGTACTGCTAAAACATTAAATTTCCTTCAAAATTTATTTGTCACATGATAGATATCCACTTTTGGTTCAATACCTATACGTTGAATATTCTTCGATCTTTAAAGAGCAATTTGTTCAGGATATAGAATAATATTTATCTTTTTTGATCCTACTAATTAAGAAATATCTCTATAAATTACGTTTGATCATGTATATCGAATGGACAATCGAAAGTAGTACCACTTTCTGCCAGTTAATCCCTATCCTTGAGACTTTGACTCATTAAGGAATATATCTTGTGTAATTGCTTTTAATTCACTAATTAGATAAATTTTTAACAGACCTCTAACAATGCTAGATGTTTTTATTTATTATTTCACATTCATTTAGTGAATTATCAGTGAATGTCGGGTTGAACAATCTTTAAGAATAACACTCAACTATTATTGCTTGAGCAATGTTGAGTAGAGGCAATTATTTCACCAAGTAGCTTCGTGTTTTTATTAGTTCTGATTTGATCTTACTTGACAGAACTTTTTTCTGTAATAAATTATATATCACAAAAAAGTTTCAACACGTTGGTTTAGTCATAATCGTCTATTAAAATTGACAGAAATTGTTTTTTATTGTTAAAGATAAAAACCCCATTAATTTGATAATCAAATTAAAATTTTATTACTTACCATAAGGATGTTTTGCTTTAATAGGTTTTGTCGTCAACAGTGGTTCACTAATACCCATAGCATTTTCAGCCATCACTCTAAATTCATATTCTTGTCCAAGTTCTAAATTTTTAACAATTGCATTTGGTGAATTCAAGAAAGCACTAACTTTCTGCCATCTAAAATTGATTAAAAATTTTGTTAAGGAAATAAATTATGTTTAGAAATATAATTTTTAAAATTTAAATACTTGGGATGAATAAAAACGGAATATATAAATGACAGATTTGTTTGACATCAGTTGTAATGGATATAACTTGAAAAGTTCCATTTTTGAATATTCTCGTAATAATAAAGTTAAGTACAACATTAAAACTATTTCAAAGCTGAAAGTTTCACTATTCTTGCGGGTATCATGCATTCAATAAGGGAACAAGAGAATTGATGTAAATCATACTGTTTTATATTTACGACGAGATGAATAAAGATCACTTTGATGTCTGATTGGTAGTGTAAAGGCATGAAATACCACTGTATTATAAATTCAACTGAATCTAAAAACCCATCCTGGTAATACTGAATTTTTTTAATCACTATGTATGGTGACCTGAAATAATCTTTTATTCTCTTAATTTTGTCACATTTTGTCTGTTTTATACGATTTGTTGCTCAATTTATGCTGTTTCATGATAATTACGAGTCCGTATCGAGTTTAGATTTTATGTTAATTGGTATCAATCAATAATATAAATAGCCTAACTTAAAAATAATCATACGTCTAAAACAGTTTTGAGTTGTTTAAATTATTCTGTCTTAGGTTAGTACCACTGAGTTTAGTATAAAGTCTATATAATCCAGTAAACAATACAGGTTTAATGCTCACTTATTAGCTGGGTTTTATGTATTTAAGGTTTAATGGTGTCACATGGTTACTGAAGACAAAATAAATGGAATGAAGAATGAAATTACAATCGAGTTATTAAAAATCAAGTAGTTTAATCATAGGACCACCACTGCACATAGTATTTGTCATTTGGTTATCAGATTGTTCTCATTTCATATTTAAACATGTGGAGGTTATGATGGCATACTTACTTATCGCTTCCTTTAACTCTCTTTTCAAGAATATAATTTGAAATGGGTTGTCCTCCATCATCTAATGGCGGCTTCCATTTAAGTGTCATTTCTTCAGCATTCACATCAGTTGCTTCTAAAGGCCCTTCAGGGGGTCCAGGAACGTCTAAAAATTAGTATATCAAGGAATCAAAAAAAAACGATGAGTATGAGTTATTACAGTCAATTTGATCGGTAATTTCAGGAATTTCATACTTTATATAATGTAGCAGGTTAATTTAATAAATCTATTAGATAATGGGTATGTACTTAATTAATTACACCTCTTTTTCCCTCTTCATCTATATATGTATATATATCGAAATGTGACCGGATGAAGAAACAATACAATTGTTCTGTTTATTTAGCTAGAAATTTTATTCCATTCTCAAACAATCTTAGAGAAATATATTGCTTTGAAAAAGTTTTCATGAGCGTATAACTTCCAAATGCCCTGAAAAACCACAGTAGGCCGAAAATCCTTCATTTAATAACCAGGTCTCAAATGATTAGCATTTTTCATATTTGGAAAATAATGTTTATTTCATAAAAATGCATACCTAGAACTTCAACGTGACAGGATGTCTTAACTTGTCCAAGATCGTTTGTTAAGGTCAATTCATAGTTACCGCCATCACTTCGACGGGCCTTTGGAATTCGTAGAACAGCTGTTCCACCAGCAGGTTGCTCTAATGCTCCACCAGGACCAGGGTTGGCAGGCGGTGGTGGCGGTTCATCGGAAATTTGAATAAGTTTGCCATCTGGTTTGATAACTTTCTCATTCAGTGTCCATGTGGGAATAGGTTTGGGATTCCCAAACCAAGCGGCAGCCAAAAGCAACTCTTGACCAGCCTGAAAATGTAAATGATTGTCAGTTAAACATCGGATATCTTTACTTAGTTAAATTTTTAGGAAAAGTGTGAAATACAGTAGCCATACCACAATATCACGTACTAAAATTGTTTCTATTTACAACATACTTACTTTGAGTGTAATATCTTTTAGGCCACCTACTCCTGAGCCAGGACCTACAACTCCTTCTTCAGGTGTACAAATTCGAGGAGGTTCAGGTGGATCCACAGCAGTGATTACAGCTGTTGGTTTTGTTGGCTCACCTGGTCCTTCAGCATTAATTGCTCTGACTCTAAATTGTCCTGTTTCACCTTCCTTCATGGGGATAAATGCACATGGATTAGTTGTATTTTGAACGGGAATCCACTGATCATCATCACCTCTCTTTTCTACAACATAACCAGTGATTGGTGCACCACCATCACGTCGTGGTTTGTTCCAAGAAAGTTTGACACCATTTTTATTAATCTTTTCTACATTCAAACCTTCAGGTGCTCCTGGTGGATCTAGATTTAAATATAACATGTTTAAATGTCAGATCATAAATAAACACTGAGCAAGATTTTAATACTTGGTTAAACAAAATTTTCAAGTTATCATATCGGATGTTAAATACGTAGGTTTTGTGTGCAACTTTCATTTCTTCATCTTTGGAACAATTAAAATAGTATCTATCTTACTTTGAGTAAGAGCTTTTATTTTAAATTTTATGGGGAATATTGGACGCTCATAACAAATAGACTGATATTTTAAGATTTTTGAAAATTAATTTGCTAGTTTTTATTCGTTACTTTCATGTATTCAACTGCTTTATTACAAATTAAACAGCTGAGAGATTAGGTTTCGATTATTAGAATAATTTGAAGTGTCATAGACTATGTGATAATTACTTTTCGAACAATGCTTAAGTTAATTTTTGAAGGATTTTGGTGACTGATTACAGATTAATAAATAAGCCTATAGTATACTTCTTTTTGTATGATCAAAGGTACTAATTATTTCATATATATATATATATATATATATATATATATATATATATATAACCCATATGTAACACAACCAATGAATGCAAATTTTTAAATGTGGGAACAATAGTATAATAATTAATGTTTACTGTATCAGTACAAATAATTATAGCTCCATTCAACTGATAGACTAAATACTATGTGAACTTAGTGTTTTTTAAATTCATCAGTTCAGAAAGAATTCAAATGAATTAGGTTTTGATTTTTGTTCAATGATGAAGACACAAACACACATTATTTGCTTGTTTTAGTGACCACTATCTGATAGTGGTTCCTTTATAAGATTTATTGATTTAAAAATTGTCTATAAAAACTTCGGAATATATTGCTACCAAAATACTATTTGATTTAAACTTGAATAAATAAATTTATCAAAAAAAATGACAGTAGATGCGATGTTCGTTGTGTTTATTCTTCACAAATTAATCATGTTTGTTCACTAAATATTTGTATAATTAATAACAGAATGTTGGTCATATTCATCAAATCAGTGATAAAGTATATTTGCGAATACACTCATGCACATAAACAACACAGGTTTTCTATTGTTTGGTTGTGTATATGTATATAAATGCAGAAATCTAGGCTTGTAACCAGTTTTTGAATGTATGTAATTTCTTCAGATCCAGGATCATTATAATTAACTACCGGGTTTTGACGAATAATTTATGAATTATCCAACCTGTTTTTCAACAAACTGATCGACCAAACATGATTAATAGACAGATCCTTGTTTTTCCTAATCCTTAAATGTTCGAAGTTGCCATTGTTTGTATAAGGACCATATATATTTTACAAAATCACGCAGCAAACCGATCAGATTTAATCAGTAGTAATTTGAAATTCACTATAAAATGATATTTTAGTCAATTCTTGGAATTGCTACAAACCACTCAATGCTAGTAATATGATCGCTAATGACTAGCGTCAACTTATATTCTTGACATTTTAATAAAGATTCATGATTAAAAGGGTTTAACCGTGTAGGGAATAAGGTATTTATCAGTGATGCAATTAAGTGTTCATTAGGTTATGTATTTCAAGATTCAACTGAGGCTAGAAATACAGAGTAGTGAATTCTATCACAGAGGTCGGTCGATTACTTGTTCATTACGAGACCAGTTTGAATAAATTGTACTGAGAAAGACAGAACTATAGAAAAGATCTACTGTCTTCGATACTAAATAAAGCGTAAATATGTCGTTTAAAAGAAAAAGTTTAATAATTTTCTCAACTTACAAACTGGATCTCTGACTAGATGTGGTGCAGTTGCTTTAGAAGGTTTTCCGGGTCCAGCATCGTTAACAGCACTAACACGAAACTCGTAGGTTTGACCCTCTTCTATTCCAGTAACTGTTGCTTCTGTGCCTGGGACAAGTGATCCGGTCGCTTTACGCCATTCCCCTAGAGGTAGTCTTTTTTCAATGAGGTAACCTTTCAAAAATATATCAGAAATTCGGTATAATTTTGATACTATTGGGCTTGGTTCATGAGAGTTTAGTAAATTTAAGATAACTTTCAAACGATTGTTTGTTAGTTCTACTTATACTAAAATGAAGCATTTTTTTACAGTTATAGAGAAAGACAAATGAAAAATATAGTAAGACTTGGTTGAAGGTTGTTAAAAGCCATCTTCGTTTCTTACTTACAGTCATTTGTAAAGATAATCTGCCAACAATAGATAAATGAAGCTTAATTTTTCCCTCATACAGCCTCATTAACCAGTCACGTGAAGCATTTATTGAATTGTTGATAATACAACTGAAGTGGTGGGATAACAAGACGACATTAGTCAAGCCTACATTCTTAAAATCCATTCCTAATGAATTTCTACGCTTTAAGGTCAGTTCAGTATAAACTTGGTTTAGTTTGACCGATGTAAATTTTATTTCCTAAAAATTCAGTGTTCTTTTCTCTATATATGATATTTATAAGTGTATAAAAAAATCAAATAAAGACTACGTATTTCGATCTAACAAATACGTGACTTTGGGCGGATGTGATTTTTTAGAATTGTTTGAGGAATTATTTTTTGAGAGCCAATAATTCTTCCTTTCACTAGTCTTTCGTACTCTGCGTCGTAGAAATTGAAGTAGTTCTCGGTTACAATTATAAACAGTGAGACTATGGACCCAACAAAATAACATAACATCGGTGACACACCAAAGATATCAGAACAAACTCACTGATTAATATCAATTAATAAACTATCCCGAAACCGTGTTTTAAATACCTATTTTTTAAAAATAAAAATGCGCATATATTTAAAAACTACTTACCTTTAATTGGATTGCCACCATCATCTTTTGGTGGCTTCCAAGATAATTTCACTGAACGTTTATCGAATTCATCAATATTCAAATTCTCAGGTGCACCAGGAGGATCTACATAGAAAGGTTATTGTCAGTAAAATAGTTTAATGATAAAGGTATCGGATATTCCAAAAATAAACAGTTTATTTAGTTAAGTCTGTGGTCGAAACATCTAATATTTAGCGAAGGGTTACTTGAATTCACTTTGTTCTAATCGGTTTTAGCGTAAGAATCATATATCACGACACTTAGGTAAGTTGAATTAAAATTTATTTAAAAAGAAATACTATATTCAGGAAACTATTATTTTATTTTTTGTGTTACAAAATCCACGAAAGTGTCTTGATTTTAGCATTGAAAAGTACTTGTACAATCATTTATAATGAATGAGAAAGTATTTTGATGTAAGTATTTTTGATGGATTAACTAAGTTATGTGCAGCTTGGATATCTAAACATTCAAATGAAATTTCAAATAGAAAACCTATAAATATCATTTCTGAGTACTTCATAGTATATGGGGTGGCTTATTCAACAAAATTAATCTGAGTTCATTTTCAACTATCATTACAAATCAATTTTTGCCTGAATCGTTAAGCAAATAACATTTATTTCACTGTGTTTGGTTTTTTTCAGTTTTGTTAATTTACGCTTGTTTTAATTATTAACTTAATCGGCAGAACAATATTATGTTGCTTTTCGAGTTCAATTTTTCGTAAATAGTTTGCGTAAATAAACGTAACAGATTAATTCATATCGTAGTAAACTTTTTGAATATGAAACGTGTTCACTGTTTTATGAACTTCTTTAAGTTTACTTAAGGTCAGAAACATAAACATGTTGACCTGCAAATCATGAATGCTTCCTGAGATGTAAATAAACCTAAAAGTGTTAATGCCGTACAATGCCAAATTTTATAAAATAAAGTTTCTTTTTAGTCTTAGTGATTCTTAATTGTTTTGGCAGTAAATAAGATGAAAATAACTTTAGGTTAATTACCATGCTCATTTACAATCACAAACTTATGTAAGTTAGACAATCTGAAAACAATGAAAGGCTGTTTCGTTCTAGCATGGGGCTCTTCAATACTGTGCACCTGTGACCACGAATCTAAGACTTTATCACGAGCATGGACGATTAACTTATAGACCAGTGGTAGGGGATCCAGTAGTGTTCAGGTCCACCTTCAATCAGTTCACGATAATTTGCTGTCAGCTTCAATTATCTTCGTTGGATAACATCATGACACCCAACGCGGTTTAGTTCCACTGGTTACAACTTTTATTGGTTGTCTAACTTAGAAGGGTTCGTGATTCAAAAGAAATCCAACAGTCTCCACAACCTCATACCATATTATTGTTAACTAAAAAAATAGAACACTGAACAGTATGAAGAATTCCAGTCGGAATATTTTTTAGATCAATGGAAATAGCGGGATAAATATCAGACAATTTTATAATATTTTTGATAAACCATTTGACTCTATAGTTTTAATTTAGTTTACCAAAACTTGTAGGTACTTAAGGATGCATGGATTGCAATCATTAGTTTACTTCCAATTATGGATAGATTTTGTTTGTTCATCTGTTTATCTGCTCAAATAAAGATGAAATGGGACAAAAATGTCTGTTTTTTTCGTTTTAAACCACTTAATTTATAATCCGTTACAGAGTAAATAAAAGCAAATTTAAAGCACTAAACATACCATAAGGATTTTTTGCAAGTATCGCAGTTTTCGTCTCGCCTGGTTCACTATTCCCTATCATATTTACAGCAAATACACGGAAACGATAAGATTTTCCTTTAGTCAAATTCTTGACATTTATTGAATTATCTGTAACCAGTCCTGAAACACGCTCCCAAATACCAGTCTCATCACATCGTTCAACTAGATAATCTGAATTTTTTGAAAAAAATGGTAACAAAGTTTAATTGATGAAACTGATTCTGTCGCAAAATTTAATAAGGGTATTTTACTTAAAGATAGTTATATTTCACATGGTGACATTATCCAATGAACAATGGAAAGTCAATGAAAACTTGATAATTGTTTCTTCGATAATTTGTGACTCTTCTCCATGATCAGATATGAGATAGAATTTAACACCACTGCGTCTTGTAGTCAGCAAAATACCTCGGGGTACATATTACTAAGTTTAATAGATTTATGATGTAGTGCAGCGGTTGTTCGACAATGTCTATTTAAAAAGTTTTATTATCAAATCTATTCACAAGTTACTCATAAACTAAGATTTATGAGAATCTTTTACAGTTTCTAGGCTTGACGTTGGACATTCTCGAAGGATAGATCAATTTCGAATCAAGAGCGCAACTGAATGGATGAGCATTGTATACACCTTGATAGTCTTCCTAAATCATATCCTGCTTTTAGCTGATCTGCAGGTGTACCAGATTCAGAAACCCAGATTATTGTTCAATATGAGGATTCTCTAAGAATGATTAGAAGGTTTTATGGATTTTACTTATTCGTTAAAAGATACTGAACACATCTTAATGCTACGACAATAGAAACCACTTCCTAAAAACTAACAAGTTAAGAACAAAGAACGTTATTTTGAATAGTAAGTTTTACAAGTGTCTAGTGGTAAACAATTATTCTATGGATTGATCTCTACTGGAAGTAGGTAACGACTCATGGAAACAATAATAACTTATTTGTCGTTATAGGATTGTGGAGATTGTTAATCTTTATTTAAATTATGAATCTATCAATCATAGATCACCATTAGAAACCTAGAAGCATTGGATGACCCTTTTTTCCTTGCACAATACTCCTTAGAAGTGCGCATCCATGACATCTGCACGCATGGATTGAACCCAGGATCTTCGGTCTCGCGCATGAACGCCTATTATCTAAACCACTTGGCTAACACCGAGTTATATAAAACTCAACGATCTCCACAACCCTATATTGAAGAGCATAAAATGCGCCCACTAGCGACAAACGTCGTAAGGAAATTCTCATCAGTAAAGCACTGCTGAGATCTTGGGGAGAAATGACGTCTCCTATAAGACTTGAACTTCTGTTATGTAGCTTCGCCGTATAAAATGTTACCACTGGGTCATTTTTGCTCTTAGTCTCAATAAAGTTGGCCCAATAGCTTGAAACCTCGGCTCACTGTTTTTTGGTAGATACCTTCAAGCAGCAGACATAATAGCGTAGTACATGCTATGTCGAGTCACTTGGGCTAGTTGGAGGATAAAAACTTGATCGCGACTAAGTGGTCAGACAAACATGACAATGGACACTTCTCGATGATTGGCGAATTGTAAATAATTTTGTCTTATTAACTGGAAAACTAAAACAGAAGTTTATATTCTACTGTTCATATATTGAATCAAATCAATCAATGGTTAACACATTTGCCTGCATTCCGAAAATGATTTGCAATTACAATGGTAAATGGAGATTATTTTTCCATTCTTTTTATTGATCAATTAGGTAAGAAATTTTATGTGTTTGCGCAAAATGCAAAAAAGGTATTTGATCAATGAAATGAATTTACGATTCGATTTTGCATTTTCCAAAATTAAGACATTAACATAATTAGATTTATTCTATTTGTATTGATCTTTTACTAGAAAAGATAAACAACTGCGTAAACTTATTGATTCTACACTGTATTTGTAACAGGATGATCATATGAAAATAAATTATGTCAAAAGAATATCAAAAGTCACTTATGAAAATAATAAAAAAATTAACGATTGATAGTTGTGTAAATTAATGAGTCAATCATAAAAGAGGATACCTGTTATTGGTGTGCCTCCATCATCTACTGGTGGTTTCCAAGTGATCTTACATGACTCAGCATATACATCAATCGCTTCTACGTCTGTTGGTGGTGAAGGTTTATCTAAAATGTTTAGAAAATTAGAATAAACAAATCGATATATAAGTAGATCAGAAATTATGACAGTGATGCATACAAAGAACTGTATGGTATACTTGTACATAAATGGAGAAAATTTATTAATTTCATAAACTAATTGATAGTTGAAGATGTGACTAGTTTTTTCACTAACTATTAGCAACAACTAAAGAACAATTGAAAGCGTTCATATGTGAGACCGAAGGTCCGGGGTTCGATCGCTGCATACAGAGCAATGCATGAGGAGTCCTGCACTAGGAAGAATCGGAAGTTCAGTGCTTCCAAGTTTCTAATGATGGTTTAGCTTAGATCAGTTCGTGATTTCAACAATTAAAATAATACAATCGCCATATATCCCCTTCATTAATAACTTAAATTATTGAAAAACTATGCATTTATGGATGAATAGTCTAGCAGTGGAAATAGAGGAGCCTATTACTCATCGCATGACAAAGGTCTAAATGTTACATTCACCAATGTATTTTACTCTTTACCTGTGCTGAAATGCCATTTATGCACGGTCTTTTGTAGTTTCGAAATGGTGAATTTATGTAAAAAAAAGCCTAAACATAAACAAACTGTGCTCAACAACTGATTTATGCGAAAAGAGGAAAAAAAATTACTGAAGTATTTATTGAGTAATAAAGGTCAAGAGAAGTTTAGTCTTGTCAGTTTATATATATTTTCTCTTGCATAGGATTATCAGTAGCTTTATTTTGAAGGGACTACATGATGTATATACATCTACTTTCAAAAGAATAACGGAAAAATGTATAGTCTACAGAGACTTTTCACTGTTTAATAAAGCTATCAGTAACATGTAACTTGGATGGTATTATTCCTGGAACTTTTTACGTTTGATGATCAGGTCTAAATTTTATACACGAGTACAATTCATAAGAAAAGATAACGTTAGAATGGTTTATGATGTAAGTTATTTGTATTCATGTGCTCGCTCATTAATCCTAAAATAAGCAATCAAGGGTTATGGAACATGTACCTAAGTGGCTTCAAAATCAGTTAACCTCAGATGAGCCGATTAGCGTTGGAAATAGAAAACCATGTTCATCAATCGCCAAATACTTAATTGAGACAGGGCTAAAGATTGACATCAAGACAGCCTTCAAAACATTGTATCGAAATGTTGAAGGACGAATTTTGAGGTTTATGTAGGCCTTGGCTATTGGAAAATTAAAATCCCCCTTATGTGTGCAGAAACAATTTGTCATAACCTTGAATTTACCTTGGTAATCTTTAAGCCTAGGGTAATGTGACAATTTTCCTACCCCTTCTCATTCTTTTCATATTACGTTAATTTTCTCTCTCCTTTATTTACGATTATCACCCTATGTCTATTTGAACTTTTATTTAATTGACCTTTTATTCATTTTCATATTAAATGCCTTGACAAGTAAATATGTGTGACCAGATTGTTCGAAATGTATAGCGCAAATACATCACATTTTTCAGATCAATTACGTCTTCTTACTGTTCTATCAAAAACCTAAAATAAGCATTTTATTCTGATCACATGAAGCGAATAATTTTCACTAACCAGCTGTTCTGACTGTTGATATCCATCCTTCAGAATACTTCAAATAGTAATCATCAAACTGTCGTACTACAAATATTTGTCCAGATGATTGGTTGAATATTTGTGAAGTTCCTTGTAAAGGTAGTCTTAATACACACAAGTTACCAACTTTTCATACGTTTGTTGGTAATGCTGGCAGACAGTACCTTAAGTTTATAATTTGATCGATACAATGCAAACAACTTGATATTTAGATTAAATCGCTTATACAATGATGTTTTAGTAGAGCAGCGAAAAAGTTTTAAGCTTCCGAACTATAAATTTTTTTATTTATAGTGCATATACTTTCTGAATACGAATGTCACTACGTAATACTTATATATTTTGTCCTTCATCCAAACATTAGGATAATGTTATTCGAAGGGGAGGAATCAACCGGTTTCTGTTTCTTGATCACAAATGATCAGATCAGTTTTTTCGAGAAAATTGTAAGAATTTTTCAATGGAGATATTAACACCTTATTGGTATTCTTCTCTCACCCACTCAAAATTGCGAATTGGCTACTTATTTTAAAAATAAGTTCAGAATGTCCGAATATCAATAAACATACCCATTACAACAACTTTAACAACTGCTTCATCTTGACCATATTCATTGGCCAAATGAATTTTATAGAGACCTGAATCATCACGTACTGATTTGGGCACATCCAAACATGTTTGTTCTTCAGAACTTTGAAGTTGACAACGAGTTGGTAATGGTTTATTGTCTTTAGACCATGTTACTGTTGGTGTAGGCGCACCAGTAATTGGAATTGGCATGTGTAACGGTTCACCTGCTCTTAGTCGTATTTCTTGTTTTATTCCTAACGGTAACTCGGTTAGTTTTAATTTCGGAGGTTCTGAAAGAAAAAAAGTTTTACAAGCCACATTTCAATCAGTCTCTTTTCAAAAACTCGGTTTTGACGCTAGACAAAACATTATATCGCTATGCAAAATTCGAAAATTGTTTCATCGTTAAACTTCTCATGCATATGGTTGATTCATAATGCAAAGAAGTTTGATAAACTGTACATTTTGAAAAATACTGAAAGACTGTGCACTGGCTACCTATCTAATGAAAAATTCAAGTGAACTATTTCTGTTAATTGTTACATAAATTTCTTATGGAGTTCTTATTGCTCCGGTTAGAGAAATTAGTATCAAATAGTATAAGATTATGACTACATACTTCGTTGATCGTAACCAATATTATATTTCACGATTCAATGATGATTAAGCTTTATTAAGCAAAAATCTACTAAGTTCGAAAACATGTGGCTGTTGGGGATGTTAGCTCCCCAAAACTCGCTTGATAAATGCCTTATTTTGGATTTCACGTTTGCCAGCAGGGGCTGATCAGTTGACCTTGGGATTTCATTTCCCACCAGGAAAATCCATGGCTGTGATTGGCTGCTGTGTATTTTAGTGTGCTATTTTCGTAACTGTCCCAAGAACGTTTCTATGATGTATTAATAAACGAGGGTTGTGTGCTTGATTGTATTGTGATTGCTGGGTGTTTGTAGAATATAATTTCTACGCTTATAAAGCCTTCTATCTTCAGCTTGGAATTCAAGGTAGCCTATCTGGACGCTGGTAATTGTCTCGTTTGCGTTTATCGACTAAGGTGAACTCGTAATAGCTTCAAGCGTACCTAGTGACGAACCCTACAACTGGCGACGGTGGTTTTGGAAATATGGATCCTGCCAAACTTGAATTATTACTTGAGCAGCAGCTGAAACTGACTGACACAGTTTAATGCAATGTGAGTATTTAGTAAATTGGAAATATTATTACTTATTTATTTCAATAGTAATAAATATTCCTAGTTCTAGTAAACAATTCTTGATTATATTAGAAGAAGTAAATTTGTAAGGTCCTAAGTTATGTTAAACTCCAGTGAATTGAAACAAACAAGTTGGTGGGTAATGTTGAAAATATTAAATTCAAAATAATAGTGTCTATGAAATTTGTTCATTAGAACAATTAAAGAGAACTTTCAGTGAGAAAACTAGATTGAAAGGATTTGTTTATGCGGATTATTAGGGTTTTCTGTAGTCTATAAGTACACAAACATGCCTTTTGATGTGTATGGTATTTGATACTGTTTTTATATTTGCCTGGTTACGTTACTTTCATCATTAAAATGTGGAGTCAAAGATTAATGGATAAAACGTACCTCTACTGGCTTTAGCGGATTGTAAATCAGTTGGAGGACTTGGATCACTTAAGCCACCCTCGTTCACTGCAATCACACGATATTCGTATTCCTTTCCCTCACGAACTCCAGAATCAGAATATGTAAGTTCTTGTTGAGGAACACGTGTCAGACGCATCCAACGTTGTGATTTCGGCTCTCTACGCTCAACGTGATAACCCTTTATAGGTGCACCGCCATCATCTTCAGGTGGTTCCCATTTGATATCTATGTGAGTGCGGTCATAGTCAGCAATCTCTGGTTTCTCTGGTGGACCAGGTCTTTCTGTAACGTCAAATTGCAAGCAAGTAATGTCACTTTCTAAGAAGCATTAGTTTTCATCTTATTTAGAAAGTTTTGTGACCGTTAAGTTAAAGTATATTTGATACAAAAAGTCATTCAAATAATTGCAGATCTCTCTCTCTCAGTCCTATTGTTTTTAAGGCCGATAACTTTTCATAACTTCAGGTTACTTTTGCTATCATGTTCAAATTTGTTTCGATATATACACAACGTTAGTAAAGTAATGCTTAATGAAATTGATTTCAATCAAGTGAAAATAAAACTGACCTGAGGTTATTTACACTGTCTTTCAAAACTTGAAACAGAATGAATAATCTTTTGACTTCTATCAAGGTTGCTTTTGTTAACCCATTAACCAGTGTGTCATTTGCTCTCCTCATTTGACTTCGAGGTATTGGGTCATTTTGACATGCTTACTTACTTACACCTGTTTTTCCTGATGGAGCATAGGACACTGACCATCATTCTCTAGTGATCATTTTGACATAAACTAACTGAAATACTTATGTATGTAGACGAAATTAATTGAAGATCGATTAGAAAATGATATTTATCATTTAGCGTTTAAATGTCATCAGTCAGGTAATTTTGTGATGAAAAAGCGTTTTATAGGCCCTCCATCATCATTCGTCAAATACCAATAATTCTATTGAGATATTTAACTTAACCACTATGGTTTATAGAATTTTACATGCTAATTCGCTTCTTGACCCATTCGTTATTCTATTACAAAATGGATTGATTTTTTTTTCATACTAGTAAAGGGTAAAGCGATAAAACCAAAATTTATTACAACTGAACTAATCATAAAAGTCAGATCAGACAAGGTTTCATAGACTTTTGGTTATCATTTCCTTCCATTACATATTTTTCTGGTAATTTACAAAGATTTTATCATTTTATAATAACAAATAACAGCTAATATGATAAGGAATTATATCATTACTTAAAATTTGACATATAAACCGAATAGTTTCTAATAGTATTAATAATAATTATCTGTATGGTTAGTGTTTACAACATACCGAATGGATTTTTAGCGATTATTTCAGTTTCACATTCTAGCGGTTCACTTTCTCCTTGACTTGAAACAGCAATTACACGGAATTTATATGGTTGACCTTCTTCTAATTTATTCACAGTTGCTGTTAATCCTTTAGTTACTTCAGCTACCGGTTCCCATCGACCTTTATTAATATTCATTTTTTCTACTTTATAGTGCCTTAATAACAAGAAAAATAAATGGATATAAGCGATTGATTACTATATTAGTTCAACCAGAGGTGTATCACATTCCCTAGTGATTAGTTTAGTCAGCGTGATTTATCTCTAGAAATCAAACGTTACATTCAAAACTTCGTGAATGGTTCACTTGTTGCTTCTAAAATTTTTGACAGTTGTTTTTACGTTGTCTGGTTAACAGCAAACATTATGTGTGATTTCAACTTTGTTTTAAACTAATCAGTAATCAACGAGATACGATGTCATTGTGTTTATTGTATCCGATGGTGTTAAAAAGCTTCGACTTACTTGTCCGGTCAGAAGAAAACATTTATTGATTCGGAACTACTATAGACTTTTTTCTTAGTAAATACATGGCATTCACACTCAACAAAAAAACGATGTTTAACTACATCATAATTTATATATAAATGAATTTTAACTTGCTGAATTCCTTGAAATCCAGTTAAACAAAACAAATTTATGATATTTTTTAGTAAAGATATTTTGTTGATTAGCCATGACAGTTGACCCATCCTTCAAAAAAGAAGGATAATACAAGGTATACAAGTTTACCTGATGTACTTCATTACAACTGTGATTCATGAAAATTAACGAATAAAACTGCTTTATTTAATCTGACGGTAAAAGGTCATTCTAAGATGTCATTTGTCATACACGACCATTCACGTGATTTTAAATGAACCAAAACAATTGATATAATTCAGAGAGTTAGGCGGTTGAAAATTTTGTTGAAATTGTAATTAAATGAGATTATTAAATTATCATGGGTGCATGATGACTTAAAATAATTTAAATATTGATATCTTTCATCATTTTGCAAGTGTCTATTATTCTTATTGACTACTGATATTAAATAGGTTTTAAGCGTTTCACGAATTACTCAATAGAAAGGAAACTACGATGGAGATAAACTGAAAAAGGCTCAAGAAAGCATGTCATGAGGTTATCGGTCAAAAGAAACCCCATCACAAGGAATCGATCTCTGTGGATATTCTTGATAAGATTCAAGAAAGGAGAAACAAGAAGGCAGCTGTCAACATCAGACGAACAACAACAGCAGAGAAAGCCATGGCAGAAGCTGAATACATAGAAGCAAACAAGCAAATTCAGAGGGGCGTCAGACCTAACAAACGTGAATATGTGGAATGTATAGCCACGACAGTGGAAAAAGCTTCAGGAGAAGGAACCATACGAAACAAAGAAGCTTGCTGGAAATTATCGTAAACCAGAACGGCCAGTGTAAAGCTAGGAAGGCAAAGCAGTCAACGATATCGAAGAACATCAAAACAGGTGTGTAGAGTACTTTGAAGAACTCTTGAATCGACCAGCCCCAATGAACCCACCAACACCGAAGCTGAACACGAGGACATCCCAGTCAGGGTTGGCCCACCAACAATTAAAGATATCGATATGGCCATTAGATAAATCAAGAGCGGTAAAGTAGCAGGACCAGACAACATTTCAGCTGAGGTACTGAAAGCAGACAACCAATCGGAATATTGATGCATGATTTCAAAGTTAATTCCATTCATTTTAAATAAAAATTGATATCGACAATTATAGTGGCCAGTGAAACGGGTAGGTTTTGTATGGAAAAATGACTAAAGTTCTTCTGTCTCCTCTCCAAAAGCAAAGCGAGAGCTCCTTAAACGATTTTTTTTATTCATCATACAGAGATTTTGAATAAAACTGTAACGTAACCAAATCCCACTAATGCATTAAACAACAAAAAATGTCAACCAGTTATTACTAATATTGTAAGTAAAAAAGAAATAAACTAATTCCAATCAAGTAAATAACGGAACAATTTTTTTGGTTTTATGTATCTTCAAATTTAATAATATTTGTTTTGAAATCTATGAAACAACTGACTAAATTATGTCAATATATGCATATATATATATTATATTACATAAATATATATTCATTATTTTAAGAATTTTTTTCATTGACAAATTTAATTTTTATTTCAATATTTTAAAAAAGAAAGTAAGGAAACAACAATGTGTTTTTATTTATATGCCTTTGCAAAATCAACCTTTATTTAGTGTAGTTAAGTGTATTAATTAATTTATAATCTAAACATATATATATATATATATATATATATATATATATATATATTTATATAGTTTAATTTTTGAGTTTTGTTTAGAATTAGTTTATAATCTCAGCAGGACGTCTTTTGATTGACTTTATTGATTCCAAACTAACAAGATTCAACCAATACTGAATGTTTTCCTATTTGATGGTTTAGTTATACTTTTTTTTCATTGCAATCGATGATAAACATTTAAAAATTTTTTAGGAAATTATGACAATTAATCACTTGTAATAAAAAAACTAACTCTGTGGCATTAATTAAAGTGGTACCTAAAACCTGGATGAAATAAAATAGTCGTTCCGAACAAAGATATTTTACCAATTTTCACTAATCACTCTATACGAAGTATATTTATTTCTCGAAATCCTAGACTGGAACAGTAGTTCGCGTGAAAATGACTACTTCTAAAGCTTGACAGTATCAGCAAACGACTTTTTTTGGCAACCAGAGAGATGTGTTTATTGATCGTTAAGTTTGAGCGTGAAATATGTTTCTTCTCAGGATGTGTTAAAATAAGTACAGAACTGAAAGACATTCGTCCAAGGTCATAACTTGACATACTCATAAAATTACATGTGAGCTAATATGTTTGAATTTTTCCCAGATTGCGGTAACTTGAGTCACACAGCAGGATACCCATACACATGATAGCGTATTGAATTATAGATTAAAATGTTTAAAAGGACTAAATGACCGAATGACTGTCTTCACCAAAGTACATCATCTATGTACAAAGTCTTAAGTAATTAATAAAAGATTTATTCTTCAATTTTTTTAAAAATAGCTTTCTCTTTATCGGTTTTAATAAATTTTATTAATTTCTTACGTGATCGGTGTACCGCCATCATCCTCTGGTTTCTTCCAGCTCAACTGAGCAGAATTTTTAGTAACTTCTGTAATTTCCAATGGTGCAACTGGACGAGATGGTTTACCAAGTGCAACAACTTCAATGCTTGCTTGATCCTCGCCAACTTCATTACTAACTCGCAAAGTATACAAAGCAGTATCCTTACGTTGAGCTGATACAATTTTAAGATGTGCTGTTCGTGGCTCAAAGACTAATTCAATTTCCGGTGTTGACTCAAGCGGCTACAAAAGTAAAAAAAACAGTTTAATGAAGAGCTTATTTACTTGGAATTTCTAAATAGAAATATGAAAGTGAAGTTTTGTGCACTATTCCTAACCTATCACTTTTTAGTGCTCATCCTAATGAATTTAGTAAACATACAATAGATCTATTAAACATCACTAGGTTTCATGTCACACCTGAAATTCCCTGCACACAAATACATATGTAACTGATTGAGTATTATTTCTCCATTTAAAGCTTAAGTTCCACAACTGTTGATCTCCAGGATCAAATTTTGATCAGTCTTTGTAAGCAGATTGGCATTTTGAGCGTATATTTCAATATCGCATGCAGTCACGACGTCATCATGTTTCATAACTGTGGCTAGCAATTTAATGTAAGATGTGTTTCCTCTTATATTTATCATCCTTCATCTGAATGTGACTGATTCCCAGTTTCAATACTTAAGCCAATGTTTAAATTTAGCATAAGTTCGTTTATATTTAATACAATAATTTTTGTAAAGATAGTTTGATTTACATTTCCTAATTAACGATGAGCAATCAGTTTTAACCTTTAATTATTACATTTCAACGATCGTTTTTAAACTGGCAATATCATGATCACAGGTAAGATATTTAAGTACTCTTTCTAACAGCAAATAAATTCACAAATCATCTTACAGATATTTCGATGTTACATTTGGAACCGAGAAAACATGTTTGAACATATATCCAAATTTCATAAACGAAAATTAGGAGAGTAACTTCATACATTTTTTGATCATAGTGTTTATCCAAATTTAAGTACTGATTTCTGATATATTGTATATTTAAAAATAACTCTACTGCACATACACGCTACCTAAAAAATACTCAATCTTGAATTACTAATATCATATAGGTTGAACGGATGACATGAACATTAATATCCAAGTATTTAAAAACGTGGATCGATTAAACAGTATGGTTTGTCTAATATCATTGCTAACTATGAGTCAGCTGAATTAAATGAACTAATTAGTGTTTCAAGAGATCAAACAGTTTTGTTTAAGTTATTTGTTTTTCACCTACTAAGTATGAATTAAATCAAAGCAAAAGAATTTCAGGAGCTGAAAATAATGCCGAGGAAAATCTTAGCTATCAAACTAATAAGATTTGGTTTATTCCTTGGATGTAGGATCTGTGAAGAACAGCTATGAGCATTGTTTTGAACGGTAGATGAATTTACTAATAATTATATTATTAGAAATTATCTTCTGTTCGTCGATTTTGAATGATACGTTTAGCCAGTTTAAAAAGATATTTTTATGTGTTACCATTAAGTCTTTCAAAGTGGTTCATATTTGATTTCATAATTTAAAAAAAATAAAATTATTCAAGCTTGAATGTCTAGTTAAATAATTTCTAAAATAGAATTTTAGACTGATGATCATAGGAATATATTTTTATTGATCAAAAAATAACAATAATGGCAAAACCATTAACAAAATTTGTTCAATGAATATAAAAATTGACCTACAGTTGATTCTTTAGACCAGACAGCTACAGGATCTGGTTCACCTCGAAAATCAAGCTTTAATTGAACAACTTCACCAACTTTGACTTTTATTGGTTTTAAGCCAGTTTTAATTATGAATGGTTTCACTAAGACGTAAAAGAAAGATAATACAGTTATTTGCTTATTATAAAGTATTGGACACGAAGTTAAAAAACTAAACTTCGTTTCATTTGAAGGTTATTTCTGTTGCAAAATAATTTCAGTAAAAGAGTTTTAAAAACGATTCACTACCAGCTCATTATTTTTGTTCTGATTTAAAACTTTTTTGTTGTGCATCTATGACATAACACATCTATGACAACTGGGAACCCATGGTTTCAGGTCCAGCTACAAACACAATTCATTCAAACCATCCAATCTAGATTTCCGTTTCCAGCCAATCTTTAATAAGTATATACATCTATATATTCTCATCTAATGTCATCGATGATTATCTATGTCGCTAATTGATTAGTTAATCAGGCAGGTTTATAACGTATGGTTGAGCGCTGTTGAAGTGTCTTGAACTTCGACGAAGCAGTGGTCTGATATTCCGCAGTTTGATAGTTTTTCATCGGATATCAATTTGTAGTGAGATAACATCTTAATTATATACAATCATCACACAAAAATAGAATTTCTAATCAAGATTTATTGATTTTATGGAACAGAAAAAAATAAGGATCATTCAATCAAATTTGCATTGGCTAGTAAGAGTAGAATAAAGGGATCGGAATTTAATACGCAAGTTTCAAAATGAAATTTCCGATGACCACATAACATTCAAATGGTTTTATTGGAATAATTAAATTAGGCATTTTGAATCGAAATGAATTTACGATAGAAATTAAACTCAAACTGAGACTAAGTAAACACCACTGCTAAAGTTCATATCAACTAACATTATAATGAATTTTTCATTCTAGTTAGATTACGATTCTTGTATAACAAAGAAAAAACACCATTAAAATCAAATCATAGCTTTCTTGATAGTTGAATGCATTATCATTTAGATTATGATTGATAGTTTTATTACTGATGTAAAACTCAACTATGTAAAATGACTGAGTTAGTTTTAACATAACTTTTCTGGCTACAATATATCTTAGTTAATCAAACGTAAAGGCTACTCCGATTATGAATACATTGTTAAAGATCATATCATGTGAAATGTATTATAACCTTGTTGATGAATACTGCAGTATAGTTCCGTAGACAACTGGTAGTAAAAGAAAATACTTAAATGAGGTCCAAAAAAATATTCTCATGAGATTTCTCGAGCTATTTATTTTCGGTTATGTTACGCCTGCACGTAAACACATCAACTTGATATGCTTGAACTATTAGGAGTTTACCTAATCGGAAAAACGAGAGCGAGGATCGAGGATCCGGCAACACGAAATGCTACTCAAATCCGATTATCCCAACCCCCATAATGAGTAAAAATAAGAAGATTTGATATGAAGTAAAACCTGTATTCTACAAGCATCCAGAAAGTACGAGGTCCGAGTCCAGAAGAGAATCGAGATCCCGGACTAGGGATCCGGGACCGGGTCCTGGTCCTGGTCGTGGTCATAAAACGTTACAGATAATGAGTATTTATACATTTAGGTCGAATAGGAAACAACATCGAATTCTGTGATATTGACAGTTAAGACGACCAATAAGAAGCAACATTTGAAGTGACATTGATATTCAGGACAACCAACAAGAAACAACATTGGAGCACGTGACATTGAAATCTAGGACGACCATAAAATTGACCAGTAGGAATTAACCAATATGAATTGACCAATTATTCTCTTAGGATATTGGATGAATATCCTAACAGGTTAGTCCATTCAAAGCCATAATCGTAGTCTCATTAGATCTATAAGAATAATTACTTTTTTTTATGAATGAACCTGTAAGTTTTTCGATATTAACAATCTTGAATTCACCAGATTAGACCATAAACTGATTTGAAGTAGAGTGATAAACTATGCTTCTGGAAGATCATCTATACTTACTCTTAGATCATATAGTGTCACAAGAATGACAGAATTTTAATAAGGTTAACTTACAGAAACGTGGTTTGGCTATGAGTGGTTTGCTGACTTCACTTGGTTCCGATTTACCGGCTTTATTGACTGCAGTTACACGGAATTCATATTCTTCACCTTCTTTTAAATCGACTTTGGCTGCTGGATCAGAAACCTCTTTTACTGTTTCCCATCTATTTTTACTCTTTGTTTTAGCTTCAATTATATATTTTGTCACAGGTGCACCATTGTCACGTCTCGGTGGAAGCCATTTCAACTTTGCGTGATCACGATCATAATCTTCAATCTATTGTAAAAATATATTTTGAGACAGTTTAAGAACTACGTTTGAAAATTCCTCCCAAAGTATGATCTCAAAAGTAAAAACTAAATCAAACCATATTCTAAATACCTCAGGTGGATAGGTTTCAGTCAGTTGTGGACTATTAGGAAAGATGTGTCACGTGATAACATTTTTAATATTCTCATGTCATGAGATAACTACCGGTCGAATTTACGAAACATATATTTTTGAAAGGCAGTAAATCTTTTTTAAATTTCTAGTCATTGTGCCGCTATTAGAGGAGACAAGCCAAATTGAATGAAATCCAGATATTTATTTTCAAATTTAAGTTTCTTCTGAAACAGACACTGATAAACAAGCCAAATTAAATAGTGGCGGAATAATATTTATCTTCCTTGATTTGACCTATTTTAGTTGTCCCCCATCCCATTGGTATTTAGATTAAGAAGACTGTGGTGAGCCTTTATAAAACAAACCACAGGTTTTATCTAGTGGGAAACTGCTCAATCAGGTCATTTAAAAGTATTCAGGTAATAAAAGTAAAAATGAAATTTCAATCGATATTTTCCAGTTAAAGGATTCTTATGATCTTGTAAATCAGGTGTTTAATTACTCATGTTTTATTGGACTGAGACATTTAATACACAGAGAAAAATTTCAAATAGTTATTGATATCAAAATTTATAATACTTGATATACCTCTAATCCAGTCGGTGCATCCGGTGGATCACAAACATCACGCGCTAGCACCTCCTTTTCAGCATCCAAATTGTCGCTTTCACCTTCGTTGTTAACAGCACGTACACGAAATTTATATTTGTGACCTTCTTCCAGGTCAACATCACATTGAGGTGTTTTAGCATTTTTAACCAACTTCCAATTACCGTCAGCAACATCCATTTTTTCAACGACATAATGTTTTATTGGTGAGCCACCATCATCTTCAGGTGGATCCCATTCAAGTACACACTTTTTGGCTGCTAAGCTAGTCAATAATAATGGACCACGTGGTTTGCTGGGACGATCTTTGAAGACAAAAAATAAATTTAATTCATACTTAGTTCGGTAAACTTACTAAAAGTACTTCCTGATTTTCATCGAATGTCTAATATCAAGCCGTGATTTAAAATATAAGTTTTAAAGCAGTAATAATCATGTGCTCATTGATGACTAACTCTGAAATGTGATCCTTAGAGTTCTAGTGGGAAGCTGCAATCAGTAGAGCTCAACTATGTTGGGAGTGAGACATGTGTTGACAACGACGGTGGGATATATTCTCACAGTATCTCCGATTTATTCAAGTTAACTATGTAAGTCGGTGAGTACCGACTCATTATTCTAAATATCAAATACTCGTAGCGACAACTGAGGGTTCTGGCTTAAAACCCATGTGGGTCAATGAGGCTCTCTGATGAGGACTTCCATAATACGACAAAAAGGCTATCCAGTGATTCCAGGATTTTAGTGGGCGTTTACGATTGTCCTGAGATATAGAATGTGAACTATTATTAAGTAATTGATTTTTGAAAATGAAACACATCATTATTTTATGAAAAGCGACTCACTATTACAGTCAGTGAGATTTATACTTTTGAGTCATAAATGAATAATCTCTTTTTTTCAGAAAAATGTATCAAGTGTTTTTTTAAAAAGCTAGTTAAAGATATCAGCCACTTTCAATTGTCTTGTTTATCTGCCTTAAAGCTTTAAATTCCACTTGCCTAAAGCCAGTCAGAGGTGACTTTCGACATTTTAATGATATTGATTGAATAATCAATAAATGGCTGTATCATGTTAGCTTCTGTGAGCAGTATCGACGAGTCATAAACCAACGGTTACTTAGTTTACATCAATTCATGGTGGAAATGACTTTGGAGTAATACCGTATGAAAATATGAAGTATCAAATAAATGCATCAGTAAAATATGGTTTAGTTCTGATACATACCAAGGACATTAAGTTCAAGTGGTATTGAAGCTTCACCAAGTTCATTTTTCAGTTTCAATTCATATTTTCCAGTGTCAGCTCTAGCAGCATCATCTAGCTGTAATTCAACAATATTGCCTTTAACAACAGGTTTCAACTTGATTCCTTCATTCACAGGTTCTCCATTACACATGAGAACAACTTGTGGAACAGGAAAACCTGAATTTTAAAGGATAAGAAGATAAGATAATCGTTCAATTAGAAATGGTTTGTACTGTCTAAGCAAAAATATTTATTGTTTATGTGCATGAAACGAATTGTTAAAACGTCTTTGGAGAAAATACAGAGTTGATTTGAATCATGTTAATGAAATTTTTAAATTCGTAGTGACAGATAAGTTAAAATTCCCTCAACTTACAGTATAATTAATTTTGAAGAAAGCTGATCTTAACAGTAACGACAGAGAATACCTATCCTTCGCTGATGAGATTTGACCTGATTTATGACGTTAAACTATTTTAGGACTGTTTGTTAAAGTAGTTTAATCAGTTTCAAAGGGTATTCACAATTAGACTCGTCATATAACTACCATATTCGGTAATCAATTTGTGTAGCTCAGTTGATACGGATTCAACCTAATTATAATAAAGCTACTTGATAAATTCAGTGTCGTACTTATGATAGAGTTTGAAACATCATGTCATGGAGAATCACGTTGCGAAAAATCGTCTCTTAAATATTTAAGCCAAAAATGTTTCACAAGACTAGAATATTTCCAATAACTGATCACTAATCAACAATCAATGTCATGTTATCTTATCTTTATCCAATTCAGTTATCATGTAAATCAGAGCCCCTTTACGTCTAAACAATGTTTAAAAGGATGCATTCAATAATTAATAGCCGATAATTTGTAACAATATATTTTAGTCAGTGTATAAACCAAAATAGATATCAAATAAACTTTAAGAGATATTTGCAATGTATTATTGTAGAAATTTAATATTTGTTTCAATCAACTGCCAAAAGAAGTTTCTGTTTGGTCATTGTATGTTTGTCTTACATTAATCTTTCCTGAAAGAATTACATACAGTTATATTGATTGAAAGATATTCTGCCCAGTTATATTGGCTTAGTATTATTCTTTAATAAAAAAGTGATCAGTTCAAAAAAATGATGGTATTCAAAAACATGATGAATTTTGGGACATTTGGTACACAGCTATAAGCGAATACAATCGAAATGAATTTAAAACCTAAAATTTTGAAATCATAGTTGGTACAAAAGCATTGTACACACACAATTATAATACACACATTGTACACACCACATGAATAAACACATATACTTCTGTATACGTGCAGCATAAAATAGTTTATTTAAATAGAAAAAGGGGTTAAGTAATTTCATATACATTCAGCATCAGTGATGCATTTCAAGAAACAGTGAAGATAGTAATACCAATTACTGTTCTGGAAACTTGAAAAAGATGACCTAAATTTAATCCATTTTATTAAAAAATTGCTAAAAATATGATAAAAAAAGGAACCTTTTCTAGGTTCCCAATTTTTGTAAACAAAAAAGGCAGAAACGAAAGTTAAGTGTATTAGAACTTTTTTTTGTCTTACAATTCACTTAAATCCTAATTATTAGATAGATGTGAAAGCATATTCGGTGCGGTCATTTATTGTTGCTATATGCATACTTCAATTATTTCATTAGTAATTTCTTGATACATCGTGACCACAGTATAAATCAATAAATAGTAACTATTGCTGAAAGCATAAGCCGAAACAAATTCAGAAAAGTCAATATTTTCTTTATATTTAATACTGAAGACTAATGAGATTTTCAAAGTGGGTAATTTAAATAAGTGTACTAAGTTCAATCTCTGACTATGATTCTGTTATTCCAAGGATGCCTCATACTATAGAATAAGAAGTTTGTGGAGTGCTCTTGAGCTTTTAATGATTCTGATGCTGATATTATTCTGTGACACAGACAGTTATAAAATTAAATTATTCTCTACAAAACTTTTAAATAAGAAAATAGGAAATATTTTCGGTTGATTCCTCTACTGACTGGATTATGTACAATGAAGATGAAGGATTTCTTGCAGGTTAGTTAAGAAATAAGAGGTTTATAAAGAAATCATGTGATTGCCTATGTAAAATGTTCTAATAAATGCTTCTTCTTATAACGTACAAAGTGCTCTATCAATTTAAAATAAACCATCAGTGGAGACTGATTTTCTTTTCCATCGGATCTCAACGAATGGCAAAATCAATAATGTTACCGATTCTTTATTGATGTATCAGCCCACCTGAACAAACTTTTAAAACATACCTAACATTAAAAATTATAGTAGGTTTGTTATGAATCAGAATTCCTGTAGAACGTAACATCTCAATAATTCACACTGGTTTTTTGAATTCAAGGAGTCATTCAAACGATTTACACTTTTATAGTATTATATGATAACCAACGAAGTAGGAAATATGACTATCACATACTGGTGTCGATTTTTACTCAATTACCCCTACTTGGCTTGTTCCGTATTTCCGAACATGTATATGAAGTTATGTATAACGAAACTCAATGAAGACCAAAAGTTTCTGATACTTTAATTTTTTTAGACGTTTTCATAATTTGCGAATTGAAAGTAAGAACAACGTTAAATGAGTAGAAACTAGTTATTGTTTACTTTGAAAATTTCTTTGGGTAATTTTCTTGCAAAAGTCTGATTCATTTTATATCGACGTACTTTAGCAATGAAATTAATTGATTATGAACTTTATTTAGACTATTTTATATTTTTCCTCAATATAGATATATATAAAATTGAAGCTGTTAATCAGTGATCAGTGTAACAATTGCATTGACATGTCATTACATTTAATCCGGTCGAAAAGGTTATATTTTTAAAAGTAAAGTTTACCTTTAAATGGAACTGCTGCCATGAAATTACTGCCTTTCTTTAGAGTGGCTTGATTCTTGAAATTCGTAAGATCAACGGTTGGCGGCTTTTCACACTCTTGTACCTTGAAAAAAAAATAAAATTGTGATATAATGCATACTAATCTAAATTCATTTACATCCTTAGAAAAATTAATGTCAGATATAGGCAATTATTGTTGCATATGAACTAAGAAATGGTAATATAAAGTTTGAATGATTAGTTCGAGATGTTATATCACTCTATTGCTAATCAGTAACATTTTGTTATCGAGTATGAATTATTTGTAAATGTCTGGACTAAATCTTTATTCGGTGCAGCTGGAATTAAAGACACAAACTTTACTGACAAGCGATGTCGGTAAATTACTTGAAATTCATATCAAAATCGTGGTAACCTAGCTAATTTTGTCCTGAAAACTTAGGGAAGAACAGAGACTAAGACTAAGTTACCAGTGTAAAATTATTTTATTCAATGGAAACTGTTTTAGAACTACATTCAGTCATACAAAAACATTTACGTCAATATATCAAGCTGAATTATATGTTTCACAAACTATTCAACTGTGTTTAAATGAATAAGTCTTAATTCCAGTCATAAGAAATTCCCATTGCATTTCAATAACACGGAAGCATATCGGTTTATAAAATTGCTATTTTCTTATGAAGTGTTCTTATTATTTGAAACATCAAATATTTACAAATCCTCATGGCACATGTTATTAATTTTACTTGCATGTAGAGGGAATATAAGGCAAATACAAAAAAAAACTACTCCAAACAAACAAAACACGAAGTAACATGGACGGATTTCATTTGCGCATAATATTCAAATTCTAGCAGTAAACATTCTCACTTCTATTATTATATAACATGCAATTGTTTTGTGTGAATATTGTTGGTACCATGGCTGTTATAATAGTTCAACTCTATTATTAAAGCTAAATAACAATTAACTCTTTTCAAAACATGCAACATTTTAACCTGACTAAAACACAATTCAATGAAAAACAAAGTATTGATAGTTTAATAATAGCTGAAATCTCTAGGTCCGGAAGTTTTTAATGCAAAGATATCAGAAGGTGTCATTGATAATGCGCCTTTTAAATGAAACTATAAATGAGTTATTGTATAGAGGTAAAAAAAACTATTAACTTATTCTCACCTCTAAATGTCCTTTGGTTTCATGATTACCAATTTTACAACTATAGTATCCTGTGTCATCCATTTCCAAATATTGAAATATTAAGTATAAAGAACCTTCAACTTCTGTTGTAGAGATACGATCATTAAATTCAATGGGTACGCCATCTTTAAACCAACTAACTGGATATTTTTTAGGATTAAATGCACGACATTCTAATTCTTTATGTTTAGTTTCAATGCCTTTAGTATCGATAAGATTTTGTCTGAATTCAACATCGGCTAAAATTGAAATTTGAAAAAATGTGTATTTAACAGTTCAGTTGATTGAATAATAAATTAAATTTTCTTCGCAATAAATTCTTTATAAAAGAAAAACTATTTATCTGATCAAAACAACGAGAGTTTCACTTTTTTAATTTATTTTTGAGGCATAAGTCAAAGTAACTTTTATGCATTTAAATCTTGGTCAATCTTTGTCAACTACAAACTGAAAACGCCATATATGTATTGTTTTAGACACATGATTTCGAAAGAAATCAACTGATTAATACTCCTGAATGTTTGATGAAGCTTTTTCTGTCTTTTGAACTCAATTAATGAAGATTTATTTGTAAAGTATATTTTTATTCTGTATTAATATGCTCATAGGTGTAAAATGAATGAAAAACAGTAAATTTCTAAGATAGCAGAGAAAGAAAAGCTGAAATCTGTTAAATATATTTAGATCCTAAAGGAAAAATCCTTCAGAGATTTTTATTGTAATCCATTCTATCAACTCGTTTAGTCTAAATAAACTCGTTGTCACTGATTTGATGATGGTTTCACTTGTTAAGTAAAATTTACAAGAGGACGATATAAAAATACTGTATAATAAGAAAAACAACATTCAAGTATGTTATATACACAGATAATATGAAGACAATATGAAATTGGATTCGCATTACACAACAGATATTCGGAAATCGCTCTCTATGTCTAAATTTCTAATAAAATTATCCGAACACTTATTTTCACCGTCTCTTTATCTCTCTCTGGGTTGACTAGTGAATTTTATTAGTTTTAATTACTGTAGTATTATGATTTGAATAAATACTTTATAAGGATGATTCATTTATGAAGGAAAAAAATAACAAAAACTTATGCGTAAAGCAATAAATTAATGTTTACAAGAGAATTATTTCAAGAACAGTAAACAGTTAGAATATGATTGATAGCAACAAAAACATAAATTTACTCTCGAAAAAGTCATAAACATACGTTTCACTGTGCACCTTGCAGTAGTTGTCTTCTTGGCAACTTTACAAGTGTACTCTGCATCATCGTCCATGGTCACTTTCTTCACTTTTAAAATACGTTTCACTTTCTTTTCAACTAATATTTCATATTTATCACTGGCTGTGATCGGCTTGATTAGAGAAACGGTAATAAAATAAATAATAAGTATATAAATAAACTTAGTACCTAGGTAGACGATGAAATCATTAGTTTTGGAGTAAGATAGAAAGCAAAAGATAAAGTGTACAAAATAAATTTTCCGGAAAACAATGATAGTAATGAAAAATTTTAAATGTTTAAGAAGAAAGTATTTAATTCACAAACTAGTAAATCAATAGTTCTACAGTATGAGCAAAACATCACAATGAAGCTGTTTTAAACCGTTTCGAATCAATGTTTGACATTCTTGTCGAAACAAGTGAACAATCAATGTATCTTTGTAATATAGTGAATTTACAAGTATTTATTCTTATTGTAGATTAAGTTCATAATGTAAGTCGTTAGACATCGACGAGCAATCTACAGCTGTTTTCATAATTAAATGCCTCCTTCCTCCTTCAATGCATCCTAATCCTCTGGATTATTCATCACCTTTATCTTTTTATTTTCAAGTTTATTTCATTAGATTATACTTCTTGAATAATATCTTTAAATCCTAATCTTTCTGACTACTGCTAATACTTCTACTACTGCTAATAACATGGGATTGAAGTGACAATTGCATCTCTGTGCTAATGTGGTATGGCAACTTGAATTGATGTACATACGTACAAAGTTCTATGTTGTTGTTGTTGGCTGGATGCATCAAAATCCTCTAAATCGGTTCATAAATCCACGTAATGTTCATTACATTAATCAAGATCTACTTAAAAGAGCTTAAATATTCACATAATCTATTGTAAAATCTCGATTTATTAGTTGCGTGTCTATTTATAACTTCGCGTTTTCAACAAAATGCAAAATTATTTACTGCACGTAAAAGATAGCATGAGAGTGAAAGTGTCTACTGCAAAATATACGAAAACGCTTCATTTTCACACTTTATATGCACACATGAATGGATTAGTGTCTTACACAATGTCGATCGAATTTGAAATAATGGCTTGTACAATGCAAAGTATGCTTTTAATGTTTTCTGCCGCTAATGGCAATAATAAAACTAATGTAAAGGTCATTAATGACTTTTAATACAGTGTCTTATATTCTCTCATGGTTCTTTAATTTCGATTTTCGTTTATTTTTTTTTGTTTACCATGTTCCTTTTAGGGAAATTTTTGGCATACAATCAATTCATTGAATATTTTTTCTTAACTTTTCTTTAATTGTTTATGTGTGCTAACAATGAAAACAATTCAGAACAAACATTGGATGAATAGAGAGATAGATAGATAGAGATGATAGGTAAGTAAGCAAATAAAATGAATGAATAAATTAAAAATAATAAAGTGAATTTTATGCTTACTTCAAATAAGATCATAAATTCACTTAAATACAATAAGAAAATACAAACACTTGGAAAAAAGCATTTTCTTCCTAAGTATATTACTTTACTACTATGGAGTAAGTAAATACAGTTGAATTAATAAGATGCATACATTATTCATTATGACTGTAATCAATGTGATTATGTGGTTGTGATTTATAATGATTCCATCTTCCAATGGTTATTCACTATTATCGAAATAATACATTCAAAACACCCATACTGCTGAATACAGCAAAGATATAACATTCGAACAGTCACAATGCTGTCAAACTGATGTATCGTATTAGCATATTTAACCAGATTCTGAAGTAGGTAGTTAGTGGAAGAAATTTAAAATTTCATCGGATTTGTATGATTGTAGGTAGTTACTTTTAAAATGACAGATACATTGAACAATTTAAAATGTTAACTGCTCATAATCACTTTGTTTCTCTACTTCTGATGTTTCTTTTAATATATTAGTAAAGATGTTACTAATGGCTTTGGTGTAGTAAATGTCTTAATGACTTGAATGAAGACACCTTCTAAGCGCAAAACGTTTTCTCAGGAAAAAAACGGTTAGGATATGCATATGCACTCAGCTAAGTGATGTTATCCTAATGATTTTATACAGAGTTGTAGGTTGATCGCATCCAACACTTCAAGAAATATTTGCATATTAGAGACTAACAAAACTATTAATAAACCTCAAGGACAAACAGAAAATAATTATTAACAATGACAGTGAAACAAATTTCTATTGTGAAATTTTGATATGCAGGTTTTATGCAAATTATTCTAAAGTGATTTATATCTCATTCTAGGTACTCAGTTTATAAAATATATAACATCTGTAGGACACTTGTCAGTACACATTCATGTCCTTATGTAATCAATATAATCAATAATTCTCCTAATTAAATTTCATCCAAAGCAAGGATTTTAAAAAAGGATTTTTACAGCGAATTTTCCATCATCGCTTTTACCTGAATACCAATTATTATGAACCCAGATTATTTTCGATGATTTTTTCCCTACTCAATGATGTTTTTTTAAAAGGATCTTAAGTTAACCAAAGGAACGTTGAAAATGATTAAGTGGAAAGATGAATAAGTTTATTAATTTTTACAACTAAATTCCAAGGTCATAGATTTCAAGGCAATATGGTTGCTATAACACGTGAAGACAGTGATCAAAGAGAGATGGATATATAGTTGTATACTTTGCTACAGGCTTTATAGTTTACTGATTATTATTAATGGATGTTGCATTAAAAATTCTATATTGATATCTTTTAAAAGTTATGTGAAGTGTTATCATGATCTGTCTACTTTCATTTAGCCTTTCGTACACTGCTCGTTTTCAATGTTTTAAGTTATATGAGTTTAAAGTTCGATTTTTTAATCATTCAAGTTTTTATTTAATTGAAAGAAATGTTTTTAGTTACACTTACCTCTCCATTTTTAAACCAAGTAACTTCAGCGTCACGATCGGATACTTCACATTCAAATGTTACCACTTCATCATTTTCTAATGCTTGTTGTGGTTTAAGTTCTCGTGTGAAAGACCAGTCAGGATCTTCAACTGCAATATCCATGTATGTTTCATCGCCTTCTACAATACAACAGTATTCACCTTCTTGTTCAGGTCTGGCCCGTACAATGCGAAGGATGCAACGATTTTCACGACGTTTGATTTCAATTTTACCAGCAACATACTGTAATGCATAAAAATGACCAGAATTTAATTCAAGATTTGTAGTCCTTCTTTAAAAATAATTATTGTACTCTTCAAACTTATGACGACATCGATTTTTATTTTTAACAAAAAGAAACTGGAAAATATTTTCAGTTAAATATTGAAAAAGTAATTATTATTGAGGATACTTGATATAAATCAAACTAAAGAATATTATCTGATGTCATGAAAAATGTTTAGATCATTACAAGGTTAGTTATGAAGGATGAACGTTCAGCAACTTGAGACTTCAAAACTAACAATCACCAACGTATTTTTACTGTAACAGGGATATTCATTAGATTCTGTTGTGAAATCGGATAGATCAGCTGTTAAATCTAACTACATAATTTAACAGTTAAAGCGTTGATTTATTTACTCCCAGCTCTTTCATAAATCAATCAAAATAGTAAACTGAAATCCAACTAACAGTAAGCGGTAGGTATCATAAGTGTTGTTAATGAGAAACATATTGGACTGTGCTACGATGGTAAATTCTTGTTCTAAAACAAAAAATATTCTAATTGAAATTTAGGCATTTCGTTAAACTCCAACATTTTTAATAACATTTTGAATCGGCATAATTTTGTACCACAGAAAGTAACGTAGAAAAGTTTGAAATAGTTCTGTTGAAACTAAGATAGCTCAAAAACATGCGTGAATGTTAAAAACTCCAAAATCTTGATTGGTATAGATGAATGATAAGCTGATAACAATATGCCACGATGATTAGAATAAATCTTATACAAGTGTTAAAACTTTTTAATTAATACAGACGGAAGTTACTTGAAAGGCCGAATTTATGAGGTATTGTATAGTCACTAATGAATTGAGTACATCAAATAATTTTGCCAAATCCAAAAAAAATTTACACATCCATCTGTCTTTATGAAATTGCATTAACTGTGAACTCTTACTTCAACTTTTTCACCTTTATGATACCATGCAACAGCTGCTCTTGGATCAGAGACGGAACATTCAACTGTTAAATCTTTACCTCGCACAACTTCAGCTGTTTTTGGAAGTTTTTGATTAAAATGATAAGTATGCTTCTTCTCTTCAACTAGTATTGTACAAGTTGTTGAAATATCATTACATTTACAAGTATATTTGCCAACATCTTCCATAGCAATCTTTTTGATTTCTAAAGCGAATTCATTGCCTTCTCTAAAAGTAGAAATCATCATATATATAAACATATGAGTTGAATGTTAAAGATCATAAACAATACATTTTATACTAAAGTGTGTTGATTGCAAGCATATTAATAATTTAATGTAATCAAATCATTTCTCCAGTAACGAAATCTAGTAGACACTATATTCATCCTGATATTTTACTATTGTCAGAACTTCATAGCACTATGAGACTGGGTAAATTAGATTAAAAAGAACACTTGGTATGCTTGATGAGATGAATCGAATTTTAAAACACATTCAATCAAATATCGACTTCATTAGGATTGTTGAAATAATATTAGTAGTAGTAATCCATATGAAAGATTACCAGAAATTAGTTATTTTCAAATGTGAGTTATTTTCGTCTTATTTCTACTTTGATAATCTTGATCAACAGAATTCCCAAAGGGTAACAGGTGTAAGTAAGTAAAGTAACAACAACGTATTCTTTTTCTTAATCTCATAAAGTGTTTAAGCTAGGAATAAAGCACGTCTCTCATATATTGAGTGCTTGTTAAATTGTTTGAAATTCACACTTGTATACTACAGCAGATCATTTTATGTGAGTGAAACGATGATACGTATCAAGTCAAGCGACATTTGAGTATGTTGTTGATTCAGAAAAAATGAAAAGATATTTAGGAATCTTCTAAACTCATGCATTAAAAGATTAAAGAGTAAATTAAAAAATATCCATTCTTTGTAACGTTAACTTCAATATTGGTGGTTGTTGAAATGCGAACTGTTTTTTTAAAAAAAAGCTGTTTAGTAAACAAGTGTAGATAAAATTTATTCACAATAATCGATGATCAAATATTGAATTCAATTCTTTTACGTACAATGAAAGGGCGTTTTAAAATCGATATTCCTTTCTGAAATAAATTAGTTAGTCAGTGATAAACAGGTAATATAGCGATCAACAAAAAGGTCTTTGAATAGCCACATTATCGAGAAAATAAACAATTTCAATATGTATATGATAATTATAAGGCAGCATTGGCATCTATGTATATATTGGGTCATTAAAATAGCATTTCTTATAACCTAGTTCTTTTTTTTGAAATGCGTACTAATGGAGTTGTTTTAAAAGAAAACAAAATTTAAACAAATAAATCATATCTATTGTACAGTAAATGCGCTAAGTTTTCACTCTTCATAAATCATCATTTACTTTTGCCTAACATTTTATTGATGTTTTGTTGTTTACCAGTAGCTAAACTGTATTGATATTTCGTAAACTGGATTTATTAATTTTATGTGAAAATAAAGCGACTAAATTCGCTTTGAAAATAAACTACAATAAACTGTGATGCATAGCTGTTTGTTTTTAGAAACTATAAATCAAAGTTTATATAGGTCAAATAACAGTATACAAATTAAACACTGAATAACAATTCATGTCGTCCTTATTCTCAGTTCGCATGAAATGTATGCTAGAAATGGATGTGTGGGATGTCTATTTACACCACATAAGCATGCTAGTATGAGGTAATGAAACGAAATTGTTTAGAGTGTGTGCAATATGGAAATATTGTGGATGTTAGCATACTGATGCATTTGAAGATCTTCTGATAAAGATCGAAGCGGCAGCTGCTATGAGAGTTACAGTTGTTGTACACTGTGTTCATTAGATATATAAATTCTCAATACGTTTCTACACACAAAATATTAGAATAATGATCATTGTATAGAGAAACAAAGGACGAAATAAAAGCCAAATCCTTCCCCATGAACGTTTGAAGTAAATCGGAACAAATCTATTAAAATTCTAACATTGGTTTATGTGAATTAAAACAAAAAGCCTAACAGTATGTTATCACTTTTAACTAGTGAATAAGTTTTTAATTTATGCCACACAAAATAATACAAGCTAAAAGTACAGACTTACTGTAAAAAGTTATATTTCGGACCTTGAAATATTTCCAACTTGTTTTTATACCAACGAAATTTCGATGTCGATTTGCAAAAAGTACACTTGAGCAATGCTTTTAAACTACCCTCTTTAATTTTTACATCTTGTAATTCTTCAACAAAATATTCTTTTTCCTATTCACAAAAAAAACAGAATGGTAATTAAAATATGAAAGTCTGAAAATATTGAGAAAAAAATTGGCCAGTTTTTTTAAAATTGCACAATGAACATTAATTATTTGTTTGCAGCGGCCAGGAATACACAGCAGTGATTTTCTGTTAAATTGTAACGAAAAGGATTTCACTGTATGAAAATTCTTTACTAAAGTTATAACCGCAGTAAGGAAGTATGCAAATGTTAGTTTTAAATACTTTGAATGTTTGCATACAAGTAGTTTGGTTTGTGATATTCTGAAACAGATCAGCTGGTTGATTGCGCGTTTATTATCTTGGATTTGTTTGTCAATTATATTCTCTGTTTACAACCAACAGTCTGACTGGTGATAAGCGATTTATTAGTGTAGTAAAACCCAAGTGCAACAGAAGTGCAATCATGACCCAAATAGCTTACTAGTAATTTATTTGACTATGACACCAAGTGAAATAAATTTGAATTATTCGGGGAGCATTCTCGCAACTAAACTGAAAAACCACTTTGCTTTCCAGTGCCAAGCAGTTTCCTTTCGACCTCCTTAATTAGAGATAACTAGATATCTCATATCAACAGTCGGAAACTAAATGTACCGAAATATTTAGTTCAACTAATAAATTTATTTCTTTAGTCAATCCAATCAGTCAAAAAAAGATGTGTATCAAAATTACACCTTATCGTATGACAAATACAAATAATGATTCACTCACAACTTTCGGTGTCTCCCGATGTTTTAATCCAGCAAATCCAGGAATCGCGTCAGCTAGTGAAGTTCTTCGATTGGTCATTGAATCACGTCTAGCCTGAAGCGATTGTTCTAGAGCTTTGGGATCTAGAAGACCTGGTTTCTCCTGGGAGGAGCGACGATTAAGCTGTTGAATGGATAGGCAATACAGCGGTCATTTAAAAACATTTTGTTTTTTGGTGTTTAACAGGCAAAATTTAGTTAAAATCTTCGGAACATCAAAAAAGTTATCAAGTCAATCATTTGAGATGATTTACTCGTTCAATGATTATAACCTTAATAGTGTTATTTATACATGGCCTCCTTTCAAATGGTTTTTTTCCTTTAACGACGTCTTTTTTGTAGTAAAAAGTTACTTTGATAAATGGTGCAAACTTTAATCGGGAAGTATTTAAACAGTTACTCTCTCATATACTCCAAAGCCGACTGGTTTTTACTTGCATGCTATTTATTTATGAAAGAATAAACACTTGCAGATGTCAGAGTCCTACTATAGTTATCAATTATGATTAAGTGACCAACATACCCGATGTGATTAACAACACATACATGGTCTTTTCAATTTAGATTCATAAGTAACAGATAACTTAAGAAGATGATTACGCTTAGCTATTCATCAAATTTTATCGGACAAATTATCTCAGACATTATTATTTGTAGTGGCTTTGCAGAACAAACTAAAGTAAACGATAATTATACTTTCTCTATCAGTTCAGACTCTATTTTCCAACTCTCTGATACGACATCTTAACTGTTAAACAATCTACAAAATAGTATGAATGTGTAACTACCAACGTACATTATTTTTTTGTTGCACCCACCTATCTACCAGCCTAACTGACTGCTTGGTTTACTCTGACTATGGTGTAAATGATGTATTCAAATTCAATGAAAATTAAAATATCCAACCTTGATAATGAATAGGACAGATATGAACCCTATTAAAATTAAACTAAAAACTTAAATTAATCTCTCTTACTGTATTCTTCTCAGGAATTACTGTTTAGATTTTTTAATTTCTATTTCAACAAAAACACTGCATACAACCAATACTAATAAATTTATTTTTCTTGAAATTATTTTGAAAAAAATAACAAGACAACACAAATAAACTGATATCTAGGTTATTTTAAATTTAATTTACTTATTACTAAGAAAACGAAAAACAGCACAAAATTTATTGTAAAGCTTGTGGATAAATTGAGAAAAAACAGATAACTTCATTAGTTTCAAGAATTCCAAAATGTAGTTTATTTAGATGTGCACAGGTCAATTTCTGATGTTCTTACTGTTGTTGTAATTGTGAAAATAAAAACACATTGATTGTTTCTTTTTTTCATAAACTTTCATTAAACTAAATGACAAGCTCTTGTTTTTTAATGTGTGTGTGAATGCTGATTTCATCTATTTCCAATGATTAGTGTAATTTTTAATGGCTAAAAACATGTTCAGCACTTTTTTAGATAAAAGTTAAATATAGGATGTAGAATTTATTTTCTATTTATTGGAAGAGTGTGTATTTATAATTAAATTCACAATGACTCCTTTTTGCAGACATTTATAAGGCTGAATAAACTGAGTATTTTGGGAAACAGTCCATAAATTATTCCCATTGTTACGTTACAATTAGAGCATTGTACAACAAAGACACTTCTGATGAGTTAAATAAGTTGATAGATTGATGAAACTATGGGATGCTATTGTGTATGAAATCAAGGATTTCATACCTCGTAATGCCTTGATATCTTGAAAGTTTAGTTATGTCAACGAGGACTATATGTAAATCAGCTTATTTGTCTAAAACTTGCGTGGGAAACATATCTGGAGATGTTACTTACCCATATTACTTCTGTATCTCAAAAGCGTTCGTGACCTATTGATTTCAGATAGTTGATCCTTATTTAAACCAGGGAATTTTAGTTTGAACATTTTTAGTTACAGCAAACCTAACTTGCCTAACCTAACTGGTTTATAGGTTAACTTAATAAACATACCCGATTTTAATTTAGACGAAAATAGTATATTTGTATATTGAGTCTACTGAGTTTATTTATATGTAATAGTCACAATATGTAATAAAGCTGTTTTTGGCTCAGATCTTATTTGGGTCCTCTGAATAATTCATTTATCTTATTTATTGATTTTTTGAGATTGCAGAAAATCAGGACATACTAAATCGCAATTTTATTATAATCTTTTTGCTACTTTAGCAGCCCTATGGAAATTTGCTTGCTTTGAAACAAATGAATACTGTTCAAAAAAACCTTGATTAAAAGTAGGTTAAATGTGTTGGTATCTCTTGATTAAAGAGATAAACTGATGAGCAGTTTTCCAGTAAATAACCACAGGTGGTTCCCTATATCTAAGTTTTTGAATTTCTGAAGTCGATAAATTTTAGCTGGAGAAACTTTGCAAGACGTTTTAAGTTGAAGGCCAAAATTTCAAGACGTCATTAGACTAAATTGTCTATTAGGTTTGCTTACAATATTTAAATCAATTACTGAAATATACCATTTTTTTCATGTTATAAGGGGATAGAATAAACTGCATCATGAATAGATTGACTTTTGGAACTAACATGCACTCTGTTTTGGCCTACAAAACTGTAACTTACTATTATGTAAACATCATGAAAAAGTTTTATCTTACCATCAAGTCAGTTATGGTTAATTAGTTGTAAATGTTACTTTTTATCTCTTCCCACTCTGTTTTAGTAAAATGTCTCATTAAAATATTAATTAAACAGCTAACTAAAATTTTAATGAAATCTACAAACTAATCTGATGCATCATCTCAAGGCTAATTTACTTACATATTCTTCTTCCTTTTTAACAGTTGACGAGCGTCGACTTCCCTTGTTTGAAGGTACATGCAATTCACCAACTTCATCAACCTCTTCATTCGCCTCATCATTTCTTATAATTAAAAATAACCGGAAAAGATTGTGAGACATGAGTTCATAAATTAATAACATATCAAATAAGCTATTCATTTCAAGAATTAATCAAGTACACTGTTACTTAAGCAGAAAGAGAGGATTTGAACTATAGTCAATTTATTGTAATATAATAAATATGATAAATAGCTTATGTTTCTTTTGGCATACTTCAACCATGAGAACGAAAATTATTATTTTTCTATTACTATTGACGTAAATAACAAATTTCAAATTTAAAAGTAATCTTAAAGAAGCTTTTTCATTAAAATAGAATATATAGTTCGCGTATAACTAGTGTATCCACTGCTGACTACCTTCGGAATCGATCACTAATTGGAATGCATCATTAGTAAAACCGAATAAACTAGGAACGAGAGATAGTAATTCAACGATAATGTTAAATAAAGGTTACACCTCAAAATGTATGTGAATATACATCGAACACATGGAACAGTGTGAAAATCAATAATTTCTCCTAAACACACCGTACGAAACTAGCGTTTTCAGTTAAAAAAAATCCTGTGAAAAGTGACGGATAAAATTAATGATATAATCTATTACATTTATTGCAGCCTAGCGTATAATGTAAATGGCTTATTAGGATAATATCATAGGATCCCTTCTCGATTAACCCAAGCTACCATCTTTATTCATGTGAAACAGTCTTATGAACTGTATTATCATTGTTAGCATCTAAATCTTCATATTATTGTTTCTTGACACTTTTATTTAAGCTTGACGGTTATTATTATCAGGGTTAATTATTAAATCGTTGAATGTTATCAATAATATTAAGTTTGGAGAGCTATATACTCAGTGACAGAGATTTTAGGTATAACTCATTAACGGAGTCCATTTTATGTCTTTTTCTCGTATGTTAATAGATGAATACTAGTTGACAAACTTCTAGACTATGTAATTAAGTTAAAAGATTTCAAATCATGGACGGATGAAAAGTATAGAGTTGAGGTGTTTACTGAAATCGATACAGTACTATCACAATCAAGGATACATAAAATTGTCACACAAGTCTAAGAAATATGATATGTGTGCAATCTTTCGAGACGAATAAATATTCGTTGTTGCTTTACAATATAATTTTCCACAATGAAATCTACTTGAGTTTAGTTTGAAAAATTTGTATATATTTTGATCGGATAAAATTGGTTAAATATTTTATCAAATAAATTTCACTTACACTTGAATAACTGTTAAATCGAAATTTCCTTTATCACAAACATTACCATTTGCTAGCAGTTGAAGAGTATATGTACTTTTATCATCATTTTGTACATTTTTTATTGTGATTATCACTGAATTTTTAGTAGAATCTACTCGAACAGTACATCGTTTGTCAAGTGTTAAATCATTTCCATTTTTAAGTACTTTAGCTTGTGGAGTAACAGAACCAACTGAATAATCCACTGTCATTATAAATGTTCGTCCTGTAATTTACGAAAGGAAAATACTGCCTGAGTAGTGGTAAGAATAGTTACAGCACTATAAAACGTAAGATTGTTGATTATTTCATATCGAGTACGATGCGAAATACTAACAGATACATACATACGTAAATACGAATTAACTTGGTTGCACTTAAGTTCTCATTTAGTACTTTTACGTGAAGTCTTTCACACTTGTGCTATTCTTTCTTTCAGCGAAAATGCGTCAGAAACCGTCATAAGGTAGACGCATATGTGTTTGGCTTTAATTGCATTATTACCAACGATCACAAGATATCAGTAAATTACATTATCTTACAATAAAATCCCTTTAAAGTACTCAATAATCTGTGGATCTGAACTTAAGGTTTGAAAACTGTTAAGTGTATGTTGTCAAACTACATTCTTGTGAACCAGGCCAACTGTAGGAGTTAATTCACAGTTGGTTAAACTAGGCAAATTTAGTTCTTCTCAATACTCAGAAAGAAAATTCCTCTCTGCAAATCTTCATTCTGCGTTGTAAATCTTCACCACCACGTCTCAATTTTAAACCAACTGCTTCAAATGTACATTGTATATCGTCTATTATTAATTATAATTGATATACCAATAAATAAAATGTTGTGAACACTTTATAAATCATCAACAACGCTTGAACAGTTAAAAATATAACAATGTGTGATGACCTACCTAATTCAGCAGTCTGGCTGTTCAGGTATCCTACAATTTGTGGAAGTTTGACTTTAGGATCCTTGGCTGAAAAGAAAGATATTTATTTCATCAAACACCTCTTAATGTAGTATAAAGTTTAAAGATATCACAACCAGTCCTAAAGTATGGTGCAAACATTCGTTGAAAATGAATTATAAACTGAAATTATCGGAAGTACTCACAATCAATCATTGGCAACCTTTTGAACCTAGAAACGATTACTGAAAGATTAATTTCTATAAAAATTTCAGTGCACGAGAGATTTGGCTGACATGATATTACTGGAATGTAATGTGACAAAATGGCATCACACATACTGTATGTTGGATGTCTTCGTAAGTTTAGAGTGAAAGTGTGAATAAAATCCGTTACAACGGACGACAGTGCTTCTTTCACTTTACAGAAGACTTTTTGTCGGAACACCGTGTTCTCGAGATTTTCAAATTGATCATATAATAGTAAAGCGTACAGTATCCTTTTTGGTATAACGTTAACCGTATGATTTGTTGTCTGTTTGACGCCAGTATTGGTACATTTGATGGGATTTATAAAGACTTAAATATTTCTAATGGTTTTGAGTTTGTATGTAATTCATTTGACCTTTCTAAGTTGTATTTCATCATATTTAGCAAATGAAATATTTCACGATTTACTCCGGTTGTTTTTTTTCAATTTGAATTATGATTATGAAAATGGATTGCAGAAAAACAAATAGTTCAGTCATTCATATATATATAGCAATGTTATATTTTAGTTTCATTTTAGTCAAATAAATCATGTTAAACTTTATTCATTTCATTTGAAGATTTTCTTTCTAGCTTATGCTTAGATGATTGTTTTGAATGTTGTTATATAATGTTGAATGTTTGTGTTTTTACTTCTTAAAATGTTCACTTTCAATTGAATAATTTAACATCTTCCGTATCTATTTCCACCCTGACTATGCAGACTTCTATCAGGCAGTTTCGTACACATCCCTATATGACGTATCTGTGTTTAATACTAAAATGTAAGGATAAATCAGTCAATTCATACTAATGAGGAATTTTAAAGGGAATATGTTTCCGTAGCTGTCGATTTGGTTTGTTCTCACCTTGTATTGTCATAAAACCGGCTGAAATTATTTATACCATTTAAAAATACAAAGAATTTCAATAAAACTCAGATTTTCCTTTGACATACGTGGTACTTTGACTGTAATTGACTGTTGTACTTTACCAATACCATTGAAAATTTCACATTCATAGAGTCCGGAGTCCTTTTCGGTTAGCTAGTATAAAAAGTTTAATAACATTTCCGTCATTACAAAATCATACATCTCATGTTCTACTTTAAAATTATCTTATAGTAATAGAATCATTGACTGTTTTAGCACATTCACTAATTGCACAATACATTAGTTTTTGAAACTTGAGGTTCCATTTCATCGTTCTGTATTTAGATTCGTGATTTATTTGAATTCTTCGAGCATATTTAGTTCCAATTTCTAATATAAACTTGGTTTAAATCAAACAATCGAACAACTAGAAGTATAGATAAGCACTGCTGGTTACCTATAGCTGTACTGCTAGAATTCAAACACTTTGTGATATGCAATATTTCTGAACTGAACAATATCAACAGGTTGCAACTGGATTCCATCTCTTACAAAAAGTTACTCTGAAAATTTCCACACAATTATGAATAAATTCACCATATGATTGAAAATATGATATCATCAATAAACAGTCCTGTACCTCTTATTCATTATTAATTTTTTAACAACCGAGTTGATGAAAGATAAAAACTAAAATTATATCGACTTCTTACAAGCAACCAAACCAAACTTCCTATTAAAAAGTTAACACATACTCACTAAGTTAATGCATCATACAAATGAAGCTAAAACCTTTGCCAAATAATTTGTAATTTTTAATATTGGCAAGTTTAATCTAGTTAATTTATTTATTACAAACTATTGAAAATAAAGTATTCATCATCTAAAAACTAACTTTGTATCTGGTTTTAAAATTTCATATATTTGATAAAAAAAGTATAGATATTGGCCATTTGAATGTACTGATAACTGAGTATGTCAATGACATGTAATGCCTTTGTAAATAATCTCTTGTTTGTCATCGAGATATTTTTTGAGGACAATCGGCTGAATCAACTGAAACTACAGGTATTGCAATTTTAATATCAATCAGCTGTTCTTATAACGTTGTGTAAACAATCAGAGGTCATTAAAAAACTCATACAGACCAACATTCTTTAAATATCTTCTCCAATATATGTCCAATATCAAAGCACCTTCAAAGCATTTTGGAATTATATTAAAATACTAAAATTCACATTTTTATACTACATGAAAACCTACATCATTAATTGTGAGAGTGATTACGTAATTTCTGCCTTCCATTGTACATTCCGAGTTATAGAGTCCCTCCATTTTAATACTTTTTCCTGATTGTGACCATTTTGCTTCTGGAGAGTTTCCAGAGTCGACACGGACTTCAAGAATAGCACGTTGATTGTTATCTTCGAAACGAATATTCGGCATTCCAACAATCTTGGGCCTTAGATTAAATTCGACAGACAGAAGAAAAATGAAATTTCCATTTATAAACAAGGGAACCGATAAAAATGAGATATTTATTGATGCAAGAAGTATTTATTGCCGACTCAGTATGCTTGTTAAAGTATCTCTGAATACAAAGAAGCATTAGTTCAACTTGTATAACTCATAAGAAATTGAAAGTATATTACGTCAGTATGCATATTCAAATTCAGTAATTGTGGTTCTGCACTGATCGATTGTCTCTGTTTTGAATTCTCTAAAATTACAAATAATCATGATTATTATATACTAAATAATCTTTCTGATGTTACTAGTAAGGTGAACTTTTCCTGATTCAACATGATTAGTAGTTCTTGTAATACACAACTGTTAGTAAAATAACTGCTTAAAATTATGACTGTTGAAGTTGATTTTGTATGATTGGGACTTTAGTAATAATGAGTTTATTAACACGAATTTCTCTTTACATTAACTATCTATTCAACATGTTTAATGAAAACGTTTTTCAATTCAAAATATCCAATAATTGACCGATTCTGTTTTGTATACTTCCTTCTCTTTCACTTTTTTTTAAGTAGTATAAGTTCTAAGTTAGATTGTCTAAAATCGATTATTATTCTAATATTTTATATGACTTCAGTTCTTCAGCGATTGAAGTGTTCAAAAAACATTTGATATACTTTTTGGTCTTTTTCTTCTACCGTGTAAATTTTTATCATTTCTGTGAAATCTGTCCTGCTGTTTAATCATCATATAAGGATTATACCTTTTGTCAAGGCGAAAAACGTCCTAGTTTTCTGTTAGTGTTTTATCTTTTTAAAACTATTTCTCAGTTGCTGAACATTGACACCGAAAAGTAGAATTTTCCGTTAGAGTTTCCGATGCTAAAAAAACAATCAGTTTTAGAATTTCAAAATTTTTAAATGTTTATAATAAAAAAACTGAATATTTACTTACATTTTCACCTCCATAACTGCAGTTGCATCGCCTGAACTATTTTTGGCGGTTAATTTATATGTGCCGGCATCTGCATTCATAAAATTCTAAATAAACAAGTATAGTTAATAATATATTTGACTGTGCCTTGTGACTGTTTTTAAAGTTATTTGAATTCGATATTATGAGCAATTTAAACAATAACAAACTTTATTTATTTATAAACTTTAGTGAAAATTAAAATGTTTAACACATATTTATATTTATTGCATAATTAATGGGAAGTTTCTGACCTAATAGTGGATATAGTTTAGGAAATACAAAATATTGTCAATTTCGTAAAGTGTAGATAAATGCTAGTTAGTGCTCTGGAGAGTATCATACCCTCGAATTTCAGTCTGTGTTCATATTTGAATAATTCTTGGATTTTCTTCGACTGAAAACATGCATATATATGGTGTAAATCAATCACTTAGTTTGCATTCATCAATCACAAATAAACAGGAGTATATTAAAACTCAATTCAGTCTTGAAAACCGAATCGAAGCAATACAATTTCTTAAAATGTATGTGACATATTATTCAAAAAGGTGGATCACATAACTAATTTGTGGGATAAAAAACACCTTAGAAATTACGTATCAGTAAAATCATCAACATACTCATCCAGATAGATAAATTCATATCTGTTTGACCTCCAATGAGGTAGAATGCATTGTATCCTTCATTATAAATTCGGTCCCGTCGATCAAAGCACTCGAAATGATTAACTTATCGAATGAAAATACTAAATAGCTGAGGTTTTCTATTCTTCATATTTAACAAACTTGAAATAATCATAAATACTATGAGTGAATGAACCTTCATCTCAGTACATTCTGAGATCTGTATCTAAAGTACACTAAATGCTGGTTGATTCTTAGAAATCTCATAATATTGCGCTGATAATTTCAAGTCATTTGGTGATTATGCAGTGGACTTTAATTGTCGATGAGATATGCTTTACGTCTTGTGAGCTAATTTTTAGTCAAATCATTTACACTGAATATCGGTCACTGGAAATAAAATCAATTTCCAGTAAACTGTCACTGAACAACCAATCGAATCCAAAAGAAATTAACCAAATCCTTGTTTTAGCAATATGATTCTTTGTGCTTCAGGCCAGCAGTTGTAATTCAACTTCTCAAACTATACCAATCATGGTGGTTTTCGTTTGTACTAATTGTATATTCAATAAGTGAAGTTAAACTTTATTTGATCGATATATTGCTAATGTTGAGGTAAAAGTAATTGTTTCATCTGTCGCTTGAAAACGGATTTTTATTTTGTATTCATGACTTCGATACATTTTTGGTTCACTTTACTGATGAAAAAGTAGCACTACATGTTTATAAATGTTTTTACTTACAACAATAACTCATCAATTATAAACTTTATTTCAGTATTTGAAATACTTACGACTATCTTTAATGTTTTTACAAATACTGCACCGTCTTTACTCTCTTCCATTTCATATCTACCTTGTCTTGCTTTAAGTTCTTTTGTATTTTGATACCAGGTAAAGGTAGGAGCAGGATCTGCATTACAACGACATTCTAAAACCACATCACGTCCTTGATTAATCTGATATATTTTTGGTTTTTCAAATACTGGTCCTTTTCCTGCTTGTTTCTGATTAGCTGTAAGATTAAATAAAATGAACGTTAATCATAGTCTCATCAAAGACACAGTCAAGATATTAAATAACTGAGCTTAACACACATCATACAAATGTATTTAGCAGACATTTTGTGAGATGAATGAAATGGGTTGTCTTATGACTTTGATTATTGTAAACTGCACTCATGACAAGTCGAGAAAATTAAGTTTACTCGATATCACTGACTTTTAGAAATAGATTCTTCAGAATGTAATGTTTCCTAGTCATTTGAAAGGGAAATCAAGTCCAAAGTAAGTAAATATAATTGTGAAATTCTGGTAAAATAAAGAGTTGATTGTGACTTCTGACTAGAAAACTTAGTTTGAACCACCTTTAAAAGTAGATACTTGAGATATTATAGTATTTAAAAAAAATTATTCAAAAGTAACATAGAAATAAGAAGGAGTCGGCATCATATTTTAATTTTCTTTCCAATGATTTAATTGATTCAGTTGTCATTCTATTTTAATGAATGAAATAAAATCACTATAAAGTGTACCAAGTTAAAATTGTCTGAAAAACAACTCGCATAGTTAGGCGTGCAATGTTTCTGCAAACGTGACCAGTGTTAGGTCGAACATATTCGTAGTCATTCTTGATAAAGCTTGTGTTTAGTATGACCCAAATCTAACTGTTATTCGTTGTCAAAATTCAAGCTTTTGAAGTTTTCTACATTTATTTACAGATATTTCAGCATTAAGACTATCACTGAATATTAGGTTGTTGTTTAACGATTTTGTGTGGTTTTAAGTCGGTTTCCACTACAAACTGTGATTTGAATGGCAGTTATTGAAAACCAGGGAATGTTGTTAAGCTCTTTTATGCATGTTTAGAATTTCTTAGCCATGTGTATACATGATTTAAAACAGGACTGTATTCAGCATAGTTAGGTTTTTCATAACTAGTCCCAAAGTATTAGGAAACATTCATTTCGATCCACCAAGTCTTCAGTGGTATCCCACAAAATGTCACTTTGTAACTAGAACTTCTTTTTCGTTAGTTTGTTTACAAAGTCAAACTCTTAACTACAGAACTTGGTAAGAACTATTCAAGTAAGTTATTTTTAGTTCGATTATATATGTACTTTATTATAGCATACATTTCAACTTTGATTACACTGTTTTCTATGTTCATCTAGCATCTTCGAATAAACACTAATAACTATTGATGACCTTATCAATGTAACTTTTCAATCATTTCAGTCAATGATTTTCATACATTTTATACTGACATTCTTGGGTCAACATATGTTTTCATCTGATCGAAGTGTTCATAACATACACATATTTGATAATTTAATAGAATGTTACATTTCTTCTAGATTTAACAAGCTGAAAATAAAAGAAAAAAACTGAATTGCAACACAGTGCATTAGCTACTTCATTTCTACTTTTCCTAAAATGAATCGATGAATGAATATTGATTTCACTTCTGCTACATTAAGGATTATTGCTCGCTGAAAATTACTGAAGATTACATATCGAAGGTATATTCGTTAATATAGTGGTTATGGTTCTCATTTACAGAGACTGTTCAGTTCAGCTAAGTTTATTGAACTGCAATGCAAACTTTATAGCCAACACATTAATTTTAGATTAGATTTTTAACTTGATTAAGAATTCATGAGATGTTTTGTTGCAAATTTGAATGGTAGAATAGTCAACTCTCATGTTTAAGCATAGAGTTGATAGAGTTTAATCAAGAAATTAGCTTACTTCAATGTTTCTGTAACAATGATTTTAGTTTCAATGTATCAGTTCACTTACTGCTAGTGGATTTTTTCAATGATATAGTCAGCTATACTCAACCGAAGCGTGTAGATCATCTGATGTATCGGTGATTATCAGATAAATATCATAATTTTGACTTAGCATTCCTTCTGTATGATCAATGGGAAATAACTTATGTTTTAACGTCTTGTTAGAATCATATTTGAAAAGAAATGATTCTCAGGTAGCATTATTATTATTATTACTCCGATATTAACAAACTTGAGGTTGTTGACAAAGTTAAACACTCATGAAGTGTTTTTAACTGAATTTCTTCAAGGGTATCAAAGATAGAATATAATGTATATTTTAAAAAATCGTAGTTTCATGTGTAAACTTAAAATGGAAAAGTGAATAATTCATCGGAATAAATTTATCATATTAGATAATTTATTATCACAACACCTATCATGTCTTCACATTAAAACACTAATATACAGACAGATATAACATAGAACTTTGTACGTACGTACATCATTTCAGGTTGCCATACCGCATTAACACAGAGACGCAACTGTCAGTTCAAATCACATAGTGGCAACGACAGTAGAATTATTAGCAGTAATGGAGAAGATTAGGACAAACACTAATATAGATGGCTAAGAATATTAAATCATTATTTTCTATTTATTCTACAGACACATACATCGCTTTTATTTAATTTACAAAAAAATTCGTTACAGGGAGAGTTATCTGATATTTTACTTGTCAACCTATTGCTATGAACTAACTCTTTTTAAACTGAAAACTCTGCATGTTAAAAATGATTCATTTTTTTCGTGATCAATCGAGTAAAACAACAACGACCAAAACAAAAATCCAGCTTTACTTTAGTTTACTCTTATTTATTGTAAATTTTCACTGTGCTCAAATATATTGACAATATCTATCCTTTAACCATTATACGATGTAATTTTTTTAATACCCATACATAAATGAAGACAGTGGAATGACTGGCTATTCACATCTGAAATAGTACCAGGTAGTCGAGATCATTTATCCTAGTTTGTGGTTTGTAAATATATAAGTGTAAAGAATTGTGCACTCAGTCAAATACTATTATATATATATATATATATATATATATATATATATATATATATATATATATATATATATATGTCATTACGCACATTTCAAATCAGATAGACGTCCGTGAAAAAAATCCAGCTAGTTTTGTTTGTACCCATATTGTTAAAGTTTACACATTATCAATGAACTTGGGATCGGAAGTAATTTTAGATAAAGATTATGCGCATATATATATATAAATATATTTATTTATTGATTTCGACCTCGCACCAATGTGCGGAAAACTGATAAAACACAATGAATATGGGTTATGCATAACACACAGGTAATCAGTAGAAGTGTTGAATTTATTATTTCATTCCGCCTAACCATAGATAAATGTACATACAGTATCGTTCCACCCACTTACGCATTGATTATTATATCAATCCAGTACAACTACAACCACAAAATATGGTAACATCATCGGGAATAATATTTAACTTTTTCAACAGAACAAGTTAGTATTATCATTATTATTATTAGTAGTAGTAGAAAATATTATTTTGCACTTTGAATGTATACAAAGGTGGTGAAGATGATGAAAAAGTGAAGAATGTATTATATTCTTTAACTGATGAAATAATTTAGTTATTTAACAACTAAGAAATGACATATAGAAATATTATATTCAAGTGTTTAATATGAATGTTAGTTAAGTAAAAATGAAAAAAAAGGCAAATTTTACATAAAATTATCGAATTCATGTCAAAAAAATTAAATGAATTCCGCTTATCAGTATTTTGTAAGCAAATAATATCCTAACCGATAACAATCATCAACGTGTTTGGTGATTGGAATATAAAGAAACTCTGTATCCGTTCATGAAGTTGTAGAAGTAATGAAACTGAAACAGGCAAAACTGTTTGTTCAGTTTTCAGCATCACTATTTGTGGCTGATACATTTTTTTATCAAGTTATTAGACAATAGTTTACGAACCACCTCTGAGTAACGCCCAAGTGATTTTGAGAAACCTCAACAACTTACTACGGTCAACATTGGGCTATAAAATAGTGTTAGGAATTAGGAGTGGTTTTTAGAGATTAGAGTTAAGGGTAGGAATACAGTTGAGGCTTTTGACACAAGCTGACATCAGCTGTAGTGCGATGTATTTTGAGCTGAAATTCAAGAGTCGTGATCTCATATTTTACTGGTTTGTCTATAAATTGTAATCTCGCCTATCAGCTTGTTCATGATCGTATGCCTTAATCACGAGCCGATATAATAAGTTAGATCTATTTTTGATTTCAAATGTTGAAATGACTTACATACACCTCTAGAGGCACCCAGAAAGCTGAAGCGCTCCCATCTAATCATAGCTCGATAGAATTCCTAGAATATCGATGTAGCATAAGATGTTGGATGACGATATAACACTGATCATTAAGGATTAGAGGATTTTATATTCCGTTTCCAATCTTTACAAAATACTATGAACACACATATTTTCTCTGTACATTTCGGACATGTACTAGATTAGAGATTGCTTCTGTCTTTTCCTGCTTTCGATTTTCGACTTGAAGGCCACATATCTTGTCATTTTCATCATCCAAATAATATAACCGGTTTAACCACAAGTGAAGTTTATCAATCGTGTTTTCTTTTCAGTATTGTACTTCGTTTTAATCTTGCAAATGTTTAGAATAGATAAGTATAACATTCACACTACACTAGTTACATCCGAGTTGCATAAAATATGTTTTCCCTTTTATTATTATTATTATTTTATAGTATAATTATTTGATGGTTTTTTTTCAACGGTAAACAAAATCAGAACAGATTATCACTTACCAAAAGAAATTGTCATATGATCAAAAGAAAAACTATCCCCTTTTATTATCATAGTTAACTAATATTTTATTAAGTGTTAAATAAATTTGATTTTTCATTGAAGTGGTTAAAGGGAATACGTGATAGATCATAAAGTAAATAATAGTGTGGATGTTAATAAAAACTTTTTTTTCATTCCTACTTTTACACCATCCTTATTTCTCCAGTTTTTTTTCTTTTTCATGTTTAAGGTCATGTATTCTTTATTACTGTAATGATAGAATATTTTTTCAAAAGTACTATAAGTATAAGCAGGTCGTAAAAAAAGTATCTTGATCTATTTAGGAAAGCACTGATAAAGATATGAGTATGTGTGTATGAATGTATCTTTGTATATATTATTAATTAGAATCCTTTGTTATTTATTAAACTGACAAAAATGTCCCAATTATACTAAGTATAGTATATTGATATGTATGTTCTTAAAGCTTCCAATAAATACACTTCACTTACTATGAAATCAACAAAGTTGGCATCAGTAGTGTATTATTTGGCAAACACCTTCAAGATGAACTAAGTTAAGTTTTGACTGAAGGTAGTCAATTATGGAATCAACCGAGTATTAAGACAGTTAATCGTCAGTCATATTGCAAGATGATCAGAGTATGCAGCAAAAGGAATGCGGTCACTCCATCTGGACTGAATGAATGATACTTAGCTTGTAATGTGACATGAAATTCAGTGTTTCAGTCGTGATTGAATATTCATGACTAGATTGTTCTTAGCAGTACTGTACTATCTTATTTTAACCGCTAATGAAAGTCCCAAGAAACCAAGTATTTGAAATTAAATTGACTCATTTTTGGAATAAATTTTAAGAAACAAAGAGATGAGTTCTTTTTGAATAGATCATTAATGGTTTAATAGCGGTTGCCATCCCTAAAACTGAAAATTATGGTTGATGTAAGTTATATTAAAGCGGACTTCATGATACTTTATTGTTGTCATCTGACTCGAACGTTCAGTGGACAAAGTGTTGAACTATACGTGTCCCCTGTCTATTGCTGAACATACCAGGCAATAAATATGGTCAGGTTGTAGTATGTTTTGTCATTACTTAGCCTTCATGGCTTGTCCTTGCTTTCCGAAAAACTGATTAGCCCATTCTTTTCGAGTAACTATTAGCGTCTTTTGACCTTGTCAGTTATTCGACTTTACCCCAAGCTGTTTCTATTTATTGCGTTGCTTGCTACATTTATCACATGTCTAGCTTATTTTTCTCACATCTCATCAAATGGTGTTGGCTATTTCGCCTTTCCGGTTTCGCTTCACCTTTACGCTTCTCATTATTTTATCGTCTGCTTACGCCAACGTATGAAATAAACTCATCCAAATAAAACCACATTGGGTTACGCATTACCGAAGTCGCACAAACGGGGTTCGCCTAAAAATAATGTACAGAAATTTAAAGGAAGGTTTATTCCATTAACATGTCGTTTGTCCAAAATGGAGTCAGATCCCGGATCACTAAAATGTATATTAGAATTATCATTGAACTCGATTTTCACCAACAACAGGCAAAATGATTACGAGTACAATAATTATTCCATTTTATGTCACGGAGTCGCGAGCAACAACAACAAGCATATTTTTTAACTTGAAGTATAATTATTTAGCAAAAAACACATATATAACTCTCTACATTCACTTTAAACCAGCAGCGACCAAGACCAGTGATTTCTAATTTATCCATTTCAATCGATAACAATCATAATTACATTACTTTCCCTATATTCATCATTGACTAATCGTTTAAACGAATAGTTACTCATGCTGATTGCTACATCGCCACAGTTTGACCATGGTTTAATTATCATTCAGCATTGTTTTCAACTAAAATCATGCCTAGAATAGAATTGTAATTGTTTTCTTCAAACTACAAGGCAGTTGGTTCAATTTCGATGTTTATTTTTTGATGATTTTTTATCATAATTAATAGAGTCATTATTGGCAGTGATAAATGTCTTCATGTGTTTTAAAAATTCTCAACATCATTTAATTGTGGGCCCAATTGAAAAACATGGTTTAGTAAAGTTGGTTTGAATCTCATAACGTTTCAAGTGATTTTATTCAATGTGTAATGAATAATTATGATGGTATACTGAAATTCAAATTAGTAATCACCTGTGGTGATGACCTAATATAAACTAGTTTCAGATAATCACATTAAAAAATGGGTAAATATTATCAAATTGACAAATATACGCAATTAACATAAAGGAGATATTTAGAATGTATATATCTGTGTATGCTGATGAGTTAACTGAAGGTTAGTAAAGAAATAATGCTTTATACAGTATTTAAAGCTTGTTTTAGTGATACTGAATACAGTTTCCAGCATATTTCAGACTTATCGATTAGTTAGACGATGTGATTTGGAATGACGTACTGAATACGTTTATTTAAAGCAAATATGTTTTTTCTTTCGTAAATTATCAATAGACTAACAATGACTGTACTTTCATGAATGTTCATTACATTCATACTGTATTAAATTATAAAATACTTGTACTTATTTCCCTAATAAATTATCTCGCAATGAAAAACAAGACATAATAATCTATATCCACTATATTTTTTATTCTATAGTTTCTCTTTTAAAATGAAAGGATATGAAATAGCCTAGTTTAATACTAAAATGTTCATGAAAAAATATTTGTCAGTTAAGTACATTCAATACTCTAAGTTTAATCAATCAACTTGTCTTCCTTGTTTCAAAATGTGCGTAAAGTTCAGAGAGTTCAACGTTAACTATTTATTTTCAGATGTTTGCACAACACGTACAGAAAAATGTGACATTGTGTTTAATGATATTTAGTGAAGATTTAACTTTGAAATGTATCCTTTAATCATATAAGTGAATGAGTTTATGGTCTTTGTGCTACGAATGAAACAAACAACTTGAATTGTGTAATAATATCTGACTGTTATTGTATTCAATGTATTAAGTTCATGTTTTAATGAAAGACATGGTCGGTAATTTCAACGGCTTCAATATTCTATTATATGAATATCATATTAGTTGAGGAGACATTTTGGTGAATATTTTACCTGTGATGATACGTCAGTGCAGTAAACATAAGATTCAAAAGTGGAGTTAAGGTGAACAAATTATCAATTACAGTTAAAGTAAGAGAATTAATCAGAAACACCTAAAGTTTTCAAAGTTGTAAATGACATGATAACGTGAAAGTATTAGTACATTTCTTTTCACAAATGTTGTTCAAGGTAGAAAGTTATTGTAGATTACTAGAGTAGAATTTTATAACAAAATAAATAATCAGATATGCTGTTTGCTATCTACAATTCTTTAGTTTTACTTGCAAGTGACAAACAAATAATTTGTTCTGAGCGTAGTAATACAGTTTGCATTTTTTTCTGGTTAGCGTTCTTTATTGAGGGGGCAGAAACTTGGAAAACTACTAAAGCCGTCAAACAGAAGATACAAGTATTTGTTAACATTTGTCTAAGCAAAATACTTCGGATTCGTTGGCCAGACACCATCAACAGCAACCTACTGTGGGAAAGATCAAACCGAATTCCGATGGAGGAAGAAGAGCTGGAAGTGAATAGGATACACATTGCGGAAAGCACCCAACTGTGTCACAAGACAAGCCCTCACTTGGAACCGTCAAGGTCAAAGGAAAAGAGGAAGGCCTAGGAACCTATCATGCCAAGAAATGGAGACAGACATGACAATGAACAAAACTGGACAGAACTGAAAAGGAAAACCCAGAACAGAGTGGGTTGGAGAATACTGTTCGGTGGACTATGCTCTACTGAGGGTAACGGGCGTAAGTAGTAAATGAGTAGTAGTGCCGTTATCAATTCCTACTTTATTTCTATTCTATGCAACAGAAAGTTAATTAATTGAATTTTCGGATCGGAAGTATAATTTTCAGGCTATTCAAATACTTTTACATAATATGACTTCAACTGGCTATCACTATGCTATTATAATAAACGCTTATTACATTCATAAAGAAAAAACAACAATCAACTTTGTTTACACTACATATATCAACATCAATTACCTTGTAGATTTAAATTGATATTGGCATTACTTTCTCCGGCTGAATTTTTTGCATGAATTTTATACATACCACCATCATCTGGTTTCGGTGATACGATGTGTATTTCAATGATATAAACATCATCAGGTTGTTCTGATACTTCCCATGTACGTTTCCCTGGTATTTCATTTATTTCTTGATCATTCAAATACCATGTCAATGTGGCCGCTGGTTTCGCTTCTAATCTGCATGAAAGAATTACTTCACCTTTAGATTTATCCATACGAATTACTGGTTTCTCAAGAAATTTTGGCGCTTTAGTTGGTGTACTAAGGAAGCAAAATAAAATGAAAGTAATCAAATAGCATAGAAAGTAAAATTATCTTCTAATGTTTACAAAAAGTCTACTAACCTACTGAATGCATACGTTTAGTCAGCTTTAGAATACAAGTATCTAAGGACTAATAGATTTTATGTCAAAAGGTTAATTTGTCGATAAAATATTTGCTTTTAGAAATCTAGAATTTATAAGTGAATTTAAATTATATACATGAATGATTTCGAACATTTTTCAAAATTAGTTTATTATCTGTATCATTTTTAAATCTATCCCAATTGATGAACAAATGATCACTGTGGTTTGTAGTAATATAACTGGGGTCATTATGATGTTGTAGTTTATTTTGTTTTGGTCTGGTACCATCATTTACAATTGTCCAAAAAATGATCAAAACAAAAACTGTATTTCATGTACTTGTAAAAGCTTGAAATGTATACATATTATAATCTTTGAAGTTTTGAATACGGCATCTTTTGAAACTATTCAATACATAAATTATCACTCTTTTCTCGGGCGACAGCCACAATAATCATCTTTTATGAGAAATTAAAAATTTCACAGATTACAATGAGTTTCTCAATGTAAATATCTTAATTTTTACTAAGGCTAATGAAGTAACTGGTCTCAGCATGTGTTTTTCAAAAAGGAATGTATATTTAATAAATGAAGCAGAATTCACTGTTGGTATAAGGTTCAATTCGTTTAACACTAGAAACATTTCATCTTCTTGCTTTGTATAAGCTATTCATAAATGTACAGTGAATGTGAGAAAAACAGACAAAATCATTTTGCTCAACCAGTAAATTCATACAAGCATGGTAATTTATACCATCGTACTGATTTTTGGGTGAGAAACATATTCAACCATTAGGTGGATTTCTCAGTTCAAATCAAACAGGTTAACTATTCCTTGCATAACGTAATCAACGGGCAAAATGGTTGGAAATTCAATATACACTATCTTTTAGAAGATGAACACATACCAACTACCTGAAAACTGAATATTCGTTCATTTATCCCTTACATCCAAGTAATACAGTTTGATTTAATATGGTCAATAAGTTGAAATAAACTCAAATCAACAGAACTTGAACTAACTGTTCTCTTTTTAATAAATTTTATTATTCTTTTAAAGATCACCTTATCTATGCTTTATTGTATGTGATATTCTTAATAATTCACATTACTTTGTTTGACCACTAACTAACTTTTGAATAAGTGTGTATAATAAGTATGAACTAAAAAAACACCATAAACCAAAGATTCTCCGCGAACTGATCTTCCTGAGTACCAAAATCTACGTCATTAAAAGCTTGTTTGGTTTATGGGTTTCGTACCATCATGTCAACTGATATGTTTCAAGATTTTCGGGTACGCCCTTTTGTATGATATTCGTTTTTTTACAAAGTTTTGGAAATTACGATACCTAAATAAAATTAACTCATGTTGATATTTCATCGATATACTAATTATTGTTAATAGCAAAAATAGTAAGCTGTTCGAATTGAAGTATATTATTGACCCAAAGAGACTTACGATTTCGCTGATCCAATGTTCAAATTTATTGTTGCTGTCGAATCACCAAATCTATTTTTGGCTGTTACCAAGTATTCCCCACCATCGTCAGCTGTCACTTGGTTAATTTCCAATGTTAATGTATGTTGTTTACCAAGTGTACGGCAATTTGTTTTGTAACGTGAAGAATTTTTAATTTCATTTCCAGCCTTTGTCCACTGTATTTCTGGTGCTGGATCTGCTTCAGCTACTACTTCAAATATAACATTTTTGCCAGATTGTTTAATCTTCGGTTTATCTATAAATTTTGGTTGAATTCCTAAGTGAATGAAAAAAACACATTTAAGACGTACCTTTTATTTTTTTGACAAGTTAACATAAAAGGTACAAAATTTAAACAATGATTTCAAGTAACCATTAGTTCCCTTAAATTAAATTAGATTTAAAAGCTTACTATCAAACTTGTATGTCAGATATTCTTAATACTTTTGATAAAATGAACTCTCAGTGGAAACGTTCGAATTGTAAAACTGTCACCGATAAACCATAGTGTAGGGGATTGTAATTGTAATTATTTTTCAAAAGTAAACGGTGATTTCTTAATAGAGTAAATATCTGGTTTAAAACCAGATTGTATGTTTCCAAAATACAGTTTTTAAAAATTGTTATGAAATGAATTTGGATCTTTCTGCTTGTTCCAAAGTAGTATGAAGAAAAGCTTTCGATTGGAAAGTTATTAAAATTATCTATTAGTATGGGTAGAGATTGGGGATATGACTGATTTTGAAGGAGATAAGTAATGTGACTTCCACTATCCCTCTGACTCAAGACAGGATAATAGTCACTTCGTCGTAATATCTTGGATTACTACTATTGGATATCAGCTCAGCAGTCTGAGTTAAGCGTTTACTTAAAAGACAGAAGTTCCTAGGTTCGGTTCGCTGATGATGGATTATGGATGTGTACCGCTGAAGATTCCCATACTAGAATGAAACAACCGTTCATTGCTTCTATGTACTGAATGACTGTCAAACTTAGACTGGTCCATTATTTTAATGAAATACTATTTTGTAGTACTAAAGCGTTGAAGAGATATGAATTCATCAGATATGGTAATACCAATGTCAGATTGGCATATAAGTGGCAAATAGTTCAGCTAACTAAAGTCCTGCTCATATTATTATGGTGTTAACTGTCCTTAAGTAGTTTACTCAAAAATTCAAACGAAATAAAAGGGCGCTGAAGTTTTATCCATAAATATCAACACGTTAATCACTGACGTTAAGACAGATCACCTAACATTCAATATTATGTCATTTCAAACAATTGTAATTTTCAATATCTTAGCGGTTTTCAGACTCGTTTGAGCTTTTGCACTTAATTGTTCATTTTGTAAATTCTTTATGCCTTAATTTTTACGTTGATATGTAAATTTGATTTCATGCAAGCTAACATTTATTACTCATATTATCTTATAGAATTTTCTTGAGACCTCTTGTCGAAATGTACAAATCTCAGAATTCTATTTACCAAAAGATGTGGGCTTTTTCCTGTTTGATACATTATGTTTACAGATTTTGCTATTTATAATAATACACAAAATTTAAGGTTTAACTTAATGGGTCCTAGATTATAGCAAGTAATCAATCTCAATGTTCAGGATAACCAATCACTCAGTTTACTTATTTCTGTTTATCCATTACGATTCATGAACTCCGTCTTTAGACCCTTCGGGGCCACTGCCAGTCTCAAGCCCGAATAAAGGAGGAGGGTTGAGATGTGGGTTGGCGACCCCATCCTGCAAAATACTAACCTGCCAAAAAAACACTAACAAGAAAAAATAATTCAAACCATATAGACTCTGCTCTGGGAGTTAGAAGGTCTGCATTTAGAGGAATTATGACGTCTCATTATGAAAGCCGAGTTCCTGCGGAAGTTATGAAGCCAATAGCCCTTCTGTCAACCAGGGCCCTTCCACGATATGGGCAGCCGGGATGTTACATCCGTCCTCATACCCATAAAAGCACATGAGACCAAATTGATCACAATCAAATCCTTTCTAAACGTCCTCATAACTATTATCTCCTCAGCCAACTCTTCCTTCGATCGTTTATGTGCTTATGTGGTATGGCAACATGAACTGATGTAAGGACATACGTACGAAGTTCTACATTGCTTTTGATTGACTGATTGATTACAAATCATGAATACAAAGAAAAAGCCTAAATGCTTAACAACAAAACCATATACAGTATATACTTATCTGTTATTTACTTTCGTAAATTATATTTTTAATCTATATGTATATACACACCACTATGTGCTTAAGGTATAAAATGAAATCATTGAAATTATTTTTTATGAGAAATTCTATACTATGTACAAATTCATTATTGATATTATTCTTATTGATATCAACGAAATGATGAGTTATTTGCTATTTGATATGATAGTCTTGAAGATTCATTTATTTTGCGGCCTAATCTTATCCTTTCAAAAATTCAATCTCATTTCATGAGATAACAATAGCTAGCAGAATTCCATAAATTTGTTTATTGGTTAAAGTAATGTAAAGCAAATACGCATTTATGCAGGTTTTTTTAATTTTTACCAGTTTGTCCGGTAAACAGTTTTCAACTAAGCGAATCACGAGTAGATTTTGCAAATGGACTAAGCAGGTGTAATACAAAACGATCTCAACTTTTAAGATCCAGTAAAAATAATATGAATAGGCAGTGGATAAACTTAATTGAATTTTTAGATTCTAAAGCTTTCTTTAATTTGTTCAGTTGACTGAACTTACTGGTAATTCATAGAATCATCAAAAAGTGTCTAGTTAAAAGAAATACTGTAGAAAGTTCTTTGTCGAAAGACAAACACAAAACTTTTAATGTAAAAGAACAGATTATTTGATGTTTTTTCACTATATTCTTAATTTATTTACTTTGTGACAAATTATATTGATAAACTTTAATTCAGCATACAGTAAGTAATATTATTTTCAAATAACATTTATCATCGATAAAATGTTGACTTCTCTTGAGATTCACATGTATATACTAATATTAGGGTGAGTTAGTGTTCAATGAAATTCAGTCACGGATTTAGAAAGCCCATTAGGCCTTTTTCTAAGTTTCATCACTTGTGATGTGTGTAAAATATCTGTCTGCCAACTAAATAATGTGTACACTATATAACAGTATACTTTCTGACCATGAAGCATAATGATTGAAAGTAGAAGGTCGAAGGTTTTTTACTCTAAATTTGGTTACAGTAAGTTTTGAAAAGTAATATTGTCGTCTCAATTTTTAGACGAAATCAGTGTAGCTATGATTTTACTGAATCAACTGAAAAAAACACAACAGTGAAAGCAATATATGCAAGAAAATATATAGCCCGATCAAAGTAAATTTCACTCTTGAGTAGTAATAACTCCATGACATACACCTCCATCATTAAGGGCAAAATTAACTGAATAATGGTCATACAATGAACAGTATAGTTGTGTATTTTCTCTCGAAAATTATACAAAAATCTGTGCAATATTTGATGATCAGTGTGAATTTTACGGATATAAGCTAACTTCATAGCTAAGAAACACTGTTTCAGTGTAACTACCATATCGTAAAAAAATAACAGGACCTAAACACCCCTAGTTAATTGGTTCAAAAATTCTTGTTAAAACATTTTTTATATTCATACTTATTACAATAAATATTATATTATTTTACATATTGATCTCCAGACCTAAAGCATGAGAAGTGGAGTAGTTTGAACGTTATCATAATTATCATCGGAAACATTTACATCTATTAGAACACCAATAAAAGTCAATGTTGTACCATGAATTGCCTTATTGCTACTGCGTAATGTATACTACAGTCAGAAAATAAACCAATATACGGAATTTGAGTGGCAGTTTTATTTGTAAACTTGGAAGCAACACAATAAGTAAATCAGTATATAGTAATTTAAGTTCATCTTTCGACAAATGATTGAGTCGAGATTATGATTGCTCCGATTCAGTAAGGCTGGACTGCATTCACAACCGAATAAGAGTAAAGTTAGGGTATTTCGTCAAAAAGTGTTGTTTGATTTTGATACATTTGTCACATAAATAATTATTTAAACACTTATTTCTTCAGCTTCAATATATTCCTTAGTCAAATCATCTTGTAAGTAGTATCATTTTGTAAGTAGAAGAGAATTGCAAGCATTTCAATATTTCACGTTTAATTATATTCTTGTCATCTGGAGACAACATGATCTCTGATCAGACTTTCGGTTGCAATATCTGTTGTATTTGTAATGCCGATAAGGTTGCTAAATGAGCTTCTGTAAACTGAATTCAATAACCAGTATCCTACAAATTTAAAAATACAGTTTCTAAGTAATTGGGGAAGTGAATTTATGTTTAATATATCTATGACTGATGTTTTAGAAAGCAACATATTGATGAGGGTTTTGGGATCCAAATTGAGCTTAAAAATAATGAGATGGCCCTAGGCTAATTAACCCATGTGCTTAGTATTATTTAACAAGATTATCTGAATAATGCCACTATAATTTTTAGATAGAATTTTTTAACGGAAGTTTTCGTATCAAGTTACTGTACAAATACTTTGAATTTCAGTCTTCCGAATTATTTTTTAAATAAATCTATTTCTATATGCCTTGGTAATAATTGGTGTCGAATATCATAAAGCTTACTAACGCACTGTTTAATATTTCTGCTAAAAACCAATATAAATTGTAAACTAAGTGAAAAATATATACAAGTTGAAGTAATATTGAAATTATATACAATTGTGTAAATCTATCTAGTTTTCCTGTCTGATTGTGTACAACACGAACTGTTCAATGTGAATATTTATTGTATAATATTTTATTAAATACTAATCATTTGTCCAAAAATACAATTATCAAATTACATTGCCTGACTACAATACAAATGAGTAATCAATAAAATTCTGTAGATATAGTTAAATGATTAGTCACTGAATAGTCCAATTAGTAGATTAATTTTGATAGATTTACACACCTAATGCTTTATCAGTTAGTGCTTCATTAGAAAAAGTTCTTAGAAGAAATACTATATTGATATAAACCTGACATTCAATTTTAAGCATTTTCACCCTGTCTTAACAAAGCTAAAATTAAAATGGTATATTGTATAAATCTTTTGTTAAGAAAAGTAGTATTCTGTGACTATTGGAGTTCAAAAATATCTGGTAATGCTTGTATTACGGAGAAATGACTTCATAGTTCTATAAAATGGGTGAATGTGATGACCTCTTTTGCTACCCGTCCACCTAATTAAATATATCGCTGATATTATTAGAAAAAGTGATATTTCAGAATCCATCTGCCAACCTTCTTTCAAGGATAAGTTAATAAAAGAATGGTTTACTATTTCATTAGAAATTGAGCATCATAAAATGATCAGTAGTTTTATCTTTAACAACCAACAGTGATCAACTAGTAGGAACAAGCTTTAATTATATTGATTTAAAATTATCATTCGCGTTTATTTGATTTTCATTCTGGTAGCACTATTTTTAAGAAAATAATTTGATTCACACGATGATAAGCAGAAAATATTCCCTCATATAATTAGCACTTGTAGACTAGCATACACTCGATTTTGGACCTAGACTGGACATATCTAGATTAATATTTGGTCTTCTTATCGTAATGTTTGTAATTAAATAATTTGCAAGAACATCGGTCTACAGATCCGATTGGCTATTCTCATTATGAAAAACTGTTGATTCACCATATATTTAGATCGAATCATTCTATATACAATTCCTACCTTATAGAAGATGGTGTTATATTCCGTACGTTTTACAGTTGATAACTGTATCTAGATTTTTTGGATTACTTTCGAAGTAAAAAGACATAATAGAACATAGAATCTTATGGAGTGCAATACAATACCAAAATTCTAATTTAAAAGCGATCAAGTGGTCGGTTCTTGTAATACATATAGTATAGTACTGTGATCATAGCTGAGAGACCTTAACTCAAATTTTGTCAAGATTCTACTCACATATCAACTTCAATCATCATCTTGTTAACAGCTGAGTTATGTTTATGTTTCTCGGATAAACATCTAATACACTGGAACTCTGTGATTTTGTGTCTTCTAATCAAAAATAACAATCGATTGTTGTTGATTCAAAACAATGACTATATTCACCTGTTTTTATTCTGCATATGAGAACATATTTGTATTGATTGTATCGTACTGTCACGAATTAGCAATTCACTTATTGCTAAGAAAAAAGTGAAAACAACTTATTCAAAATCGAATGAAAATGACTTAAACTCTCTGCATTTACAAACACTTTGTTTTCTCTGCTTCTATGCACTTCTGTCACCAATTCTAATAACTCAATAATGATCTTAGTTCTAAGATTACTTAAGAAACTTACTGAGGACATCCTCTTTCACTGTGGATATTTCAGGAACACTCATGTTGTCTAACTACGTATTTTCCTACAAAAGTGAATACATTAGTTATATTTTATTTATATACTTAATTCAGATGATTGATTCAATTGTGTATAGCTTCATTTAATTATAGATATGGTTACTGCTAGATTACTTTGTCTCACTCTGCACTAATTTTATTTATGCCCATTACTAAACTCACAACTTCATTCAGCTTACAACCTTGTCTAAATGAGAGTATTTTCAAAATTTTGTAAATATCACAATCTTGAAATGATAGCCTGTATTGTTTTCATCAAAATTTTAACCCTGATTTCGGTTATTACAGTTATTCATCATTCACTAGGACTGAAATATAAAGTCTGGTTAGAATTTACTGTAAAGAATAAATAAAGAATATTCTTGCGTGTAAAAATGTTAAATGTTTTCTCACTTATGCATAAGTCTTTCTTTAAATTCAGTAATTGTTTGCATTATCATGTCATTTCAACTAACATTAATAAATAATCTTGACGACTAACGTAAAAAAATTGAATGTTGATGATTTAACTAATAGATGTATAAGTCACACAAAACCTAACGTTTCCTGTGTTTTAAGATGGTATACTACTGAATTTTAAGTAAGTAGTTTACAAGTCAAACGCTTTACTGTGGAAAATCGATTTGTGATTCGTATTCCAAAAACAATAACCCATCTGCAAAATATGGGAGTCCCTTCAAATTAGCTGTGCTCTAACTGTCTTCCTGAATAGGTTATACGTGTTATTGAACATTTCGCAAGGTGTGGTTAAAATTAGGTACCAGTTATGAATCACAACTCCTAATTAGCTGTTCTTGGCGATAAACTGATGAGCTAGACCTTAAGTGATTGGAGTGCAAAATGAATCGATTTCTTCTAGTTGCCCATAAAATATAATCATATTGGAAAAGAGAAAAATGATATAACTCAGTATTTCTCATGGCTATATCTGTTTGGTTTTACGGTACTGTAAATGTTTGTTCATTTTAGTAAATTAAGGATTAAGTGATGTTAAATATTGCTCGATTAAATTTAAACAAGTGTGAATAATAATCTCTCAGTACTCCAGTAATATAATTAATTATCAGCACATTCGTACATTATTTCGGTTTATTCTGAGGTTCAATCCATTCCTTATCTTTGGTCTTAGGATTTTTACTGGCATTGTTCGTTTCAGGGGCAAGTACCAGTATTCAGAAGTAACAGTAAGATAAATTAGACGCAATCCTCACATCTAAGTGCTTTTTGATTACTATTCATTATAAAGACATACCCATGACTAAGATACACCGAAATAAAAAGATTTTCTAGATGATTTCTTTAAACATTTTGTTCGATTTATAGAAAACGAAGAAACGACATTGTGTACAATGATAAAACTTTCTTTCGATACATAATCATTAACATTAGCGGTATAATCAACCAAATAAACAGACTTCTATAAAACAAAAGAGATCAAACAGTTTCTAACCGTCACAATTATTCAATTTTTGTAGCGGGTAAACTCGTTTACCTCGCAGCAGAAATTACGCACGTATTTACTGAAATGAATTTAAAAATTATACTGCCAACTTTGTTCGCTAGAGATGAAACAAAATAATTGGAGCCCAATCTTAACAGAGATCCTCCGGATGACAGTTTTATTTTTTCAACACAATATCCTATTTTTCAGTCAATAATTGATTGAAATATCTTTTTTTATTGAAAGGGTAATTATTACTAATTTTTCTGACATTCTAAGTTTGCTTAAACGCATCTGAATCCAAACAGCAGGTATTTTGTTTAACAGGTTGGATATATTCAAATTGCTAATACGCACACAGAACAGATTGGTTTTACTCACTCGTCGTTCAGGTGAAATGAGGTGCTAGTTGCAGAAGTCTCATGAAAGTGAGATAATTTTGTGCTAAAGGCAATTCGTAAACTAATAGACAAAATGAACAATATCCTTCGGTTAATTGTTGTTTTAGACACAATAATTTACATCCATCAAAGTTAATTTAAGCCAAAGCTCAAAACTAAATAAAGAATGGGTTTAAAAAGAGCAAACTAATAACACTAAGTGATGTGAAGGAAATCATGAAAAATATGGGTGATTTCTGTAAGTAGTACTAAAAGCAATATGTTACTTATCTGAGTGACGGGAACGAAGTAATTGAACTTAACTCACATTAAATCACTCTGAAATATGTTTTATAAACGTGCTAAAAGCAAGGCTGATTATTAGACTAAATGATTATCTCCTAAATAATAATTATTGATTAAATTTGATAACATAAATCGTTTGATTCTAGTTTACTTGACAAAAAATAATCCTGTTTTAGTTTGCAATTGAAGTCAAGAGCAGATTCCGCTGAAAGACCGCAAACTGAATGTGAACAGGTCATGTTAAAAACTACCGTCCTATCAATTTTATTGAAGATTTTCCTATAGAATTATTTAAAGGCATTTTTTTTAGTTCATGATTAAATATCATCCCTTCAGTGTTATTATCACACGGAGCATTCATGAAATAGATTGATAAAAAAAATTGTACACAAGTTTTGTTTAGACGGTAATTTCAGTATAAAATAAATAGTTTTATGCTAACCGAAGTGCGGTGTCTTATTTACAAAGTTGCAGTTAAACAAACATTAGGATTACCATAAAATAAACAGTTTTTAGCTGCAACTAAAGTTTAGAAATGTAAACTACCGTACCTAGGAAAACAAGTGCGAACAACTACTTAAAAGAATTCATCTCACAAGATACATGGATTAATCCGATTAAATAATTTAACATAGTAGAATTATTCCTTGCATCTAATTCGAATAACAAACAACATATATTGTGATTTGTTATTCAAGCGGAGATTCATATACTTGGCTTGTAGCCTTACTTTTTATGCTCAGTTTATAACGTCACCCCATTTGATACAAGTGAATTTAGCGGAATGGAGTTTAAATTTGTAACTCCCTATTTAAGAGTTCAATATTGTTTTCCAATCACCAGGCTATTTTACATATACAATTTAATTGATATACTGTGTAAACTACTTATTCAATATACTACTTATCAGTTGAATGCAAATAACTCCGTAGTGTTTTTATATCAAAGACTACGATCCTTTAAGATATTATAATTTAAAAACTAATTAAATTGTTTAGAAAATTAAACCAGAAAACTTGATACACAAAATCATGAAGCGTTCCTTATTTTTCACAACCAAAATATCCAGCTGAGAGAATGAAACACCATCACAATCATCCATCTGAGCTAAAAATTTTCTCCACCATCTCAAAAGTTAATCTCACTTTAAATTCATGAATAAATAAACGTCAATCTTAAGTCGATTTGTATCAATAACTTATTTAAAATCGTAATATTTCTTTCGTAACAAGTAGTTTTATTCAAAAAAGTTGGACAATTAGTTGATCAATACAATCCCAAACATTTACTTTGTGATTCTTTATTCAATCATTAGATCCAGCAAATGAATTAGACAATTATTTTTCATTATTAAACTGATTCCATTTCACAAAATAAAAAAAAATACTTTCATAATCAAGTTATATGCATATGTAAATGCTCACTTACCCGGAGGCATATTTAATATTTTTTATTGGTTCACTTGAATAGTTAGTTGACAATGAATTCAGACAATTAATTTCTCACTGTACAAATGATGGTGTTTTCTTGTGTTCAACTTTTTTTTGTGTTAAGATCGAATAGTCAACAGAATAAATCCACAATAAAAAAGAGAAGTAATTTGCGCCTTATTTCTCTGTATACTAAAATACACGAGAAAGCTTTGCTGAATTATTTCAGATTAAAGGCATAAGTGAATGTGCACCAAAGTTAGTTAATTGCTTCTTTCGAAATTGTAGAATTAAGAAATTTCTTGCATAAAAACAAAATTAATCTGGGTAAAACTTAATTAGTTATATATTTATATATATGTGTAAACGAAATTATCTAATATAATACTGAACAAATATATGTGAATTTGTGATATTGTGGTCAATTTTCTGATAACAAACACTTGAGATTGTTTTCATGTGACATGGTAGAATGCATTCTGTTAAAAGTCCAATTTTAGTAAAAAGTCTCTTTTCTTAAACATATATAGTATTTGATAGTAAGTTGTTTGGATCTAAGGGGATAATTATTGTGGAAATATGAAACATTTCATATCGTTACAATAATTATCAGCTGTTTAAATCACTGAAACTTTCTCCCACTAATAAAATAAAATAGCAAGCACCTTAATGACTATGAGCTGCTATAAGGAAAACAAATCAAATGTATTTATCATGCAAGTGTGTATGTTTGATATTGTAGGTGTATACACTTTATGTGCCTAAAATACTGCCTGTCCAAGTTGTACCTGTCTAGTCTAATTGAAGCAGAAGTGTGGGTTTAGGGATAAGTGTGCTTCATTAACACGTGGTTTTACAAACAGATTACATTAGATAGGCAGGCCGAAGTGCTGCAGTATAATAGTTAAAAATATGATTACATCGTTGGTTAATGTTTGATATTAGCTTATATAAAATTTAGATGGCGTACAACAAAATAATAAAGTTACCTTTCACTTTTAGGATTTTAAAATTCCTACTTGACCTTATCCCTCTCCTACCTTCAATCTTTACTTTTTTTGTAACGTACACTGATACACATACATAATTAAGAAAGAACCAGTCCAACTGTTGTACGCAACTAAATTTTGAACTTGGAATTTCACAGTACTGATTTTCAGTTTTTTTCAAAAAAATGGAGAAAAAAAATCATTACTTGATGTGATGATCAATAAATTGGTTTATTCATGGTTTATTCATATTTACATAGTTACAAGTCAATCTTGAACTTTTAAAAGAACTATGACGCTAAAATAAAAGAACTGAAAATTGTTTGTAAGCAGACTTCATTGATTAGATTAGTCAACTGAATAGAAATCACTGTCTTTTCGAATTAAATGGTGTAAATGTTCCAAGAGAGAGAATATTTCTACAATCATATAAACAGTAGGATGCTGATAATAAAAATGATTGTAAACAAACTTGTAGAACCATAAGCAGTCAGTTCAGTACACTTATGAAACGTTAAAAATAATAGTCGCTTATTATTTCTTTGTGAAATAATAAATTCTGAAAATTGAACTATCATTTGAGGAGAGATTAGATAACAGTTACATGGGAAATAAAGAGAGGTAACCATAAAAGATTTTAGGGAATGCTTCAATACATATTTTTTAGGTGTTTGAAGAGAAATGATAGGAAGCACTAAAATTAGCTATCGTACATGGTGATATCCACCGAGAACGAAAATCTACAAGTAACTGTTAATGAGGTCCGACATAATTCTCGGAAAAGTTAGTAGCGGCCAAGAAAACGCTTGGAAACATTTCAACAAATCAGGATAAAACAGAATGATAATAGATTTTACATAACCTTTTTGACTGAATAATTGACTGTTATATTTAGTGTAGTTATAGAATTTTCTAAATGACTAAAGTTACGATAAATAGTTAAATAGGTAAGTTATTTTTTGCTTCACTAAACCCTGCAGTAAAGCTCCTTCTTGCACTTCGAACACATTCACTTGTGCTCAGGTTTCTGCATAGATTAAAGGCAGCTACGAAATCAGATCAAACAGACTTATGAATATCCATTTAGAGTATAAAGATCACAGTTCTTCTAACGTCGGGTTTCAGTGACGTCTTCGACTGTGACATTAAGAGTTATACATATAAATCCAGAAAGAAACGTCAACACACATAGTAATAAAGATGTGACTTTTGGAAAAACGCCAACTAGCACAAACAGTGGGCAGAGAATTCTCTTTTTTATTGATTCTGATAACTGAACATCAGAAAGAATGCAGCATGTTGAGTCATTTACACTAGTCAGTATCCCGGGACGTCTTTAACAGAATTCTGTATGCACTTAGGTCTAACAACATGGGGATCGGTTAACACTGAGTGATAAATTTGTATTGAATGTCGCCACCATTAAAGATATGTCAGCAGATAATTATTTGTGCTTAGCAGTAGTTACTGACAAATTAGGCAACTGTAACCTCTCTTAAGGAAAATCACTAGTCTGCATGTACAGGAACACATTTTGTCATGAGCAGTTTAATAATCTAGGAAAACTACATTATAATGAATGGTTCTTTTTTATTTAAGTATAAAAGATAAAAGGAAATGAAGTCGATACTGAAATTTACATAATTTTTTAAAGCATAAATGTAAAGATTGATGAGTCTGATACCAATCGCAAAGTAAGCTGCAATAAGTCTTATTATCACAGCTATTAAAATAAATCAATCACTATGGTGGATTTCATGAGAGATTTGAAAAGGAATAAACATTTTCTTTAAAAAAAATTAGGTCCCTAAACTCTTCTTTCAATTAGAGTTATGGAGCTTAGTGTTTTTTGCACATTGAAATCATAAATCAATCATTGTTAGAGCACCAATAAAAACCTGGAAGCACTGGACGGCCCTTTTCGTCCTGGTTTGGAACTCATCAGCAGTGCGCATCCACGACTTCTGCACCTCGCAGGATTCGAACCCAGGACCTACGGTCTTACGCGCGAACGCCTAACCTCTGATTCACTGGGCCGGCATTCAACGGTATTAATGTCTAACTCTGATCAATCTACGGATTTCGCGCGACATCACCCATTTGTTTTCAGTGGTTAATGTAAACACCCGACAGGGCTGAACTCCACTGGTCACGTCTTCTCACTAGAACTCCGAGAATTCCCTCACGAAGCCAGTAACTAGTGAGCACATTTTACGATATTTTCAATTAGAGTTATGGAGATTAGTTTTTTTCACTAATTGTTCATACAATAATCAAATTCACTGCCAGTAAATTATTTCTACAACTCAAGGAAACCTATTCTATGATTAAGTTTTAGAATTATGCAGTGATTGCCAGTCTATCTGTATAAGAGAAATCCCTTTTTTTATTCATACACTAATAGAAGATGAGGAAATACTGAATAGGCGAATCGTAATTATTTTAATGATACCTTATCTATTTATTATGAAGATAGTTTCAATTAAAAATAAATGCACCTAAAATGTTGATAATGTGAAAACACGATACAAAATGACATTCAGGCGAACGTGTTACTTGTTGGTCAAATGTCAGTGTAATGCAAAAGATGAAATATTTAACCAATCCGTATCTTTGGTATGTGACCGTCTATAGTAAATTTGAAGAAATAGAGGAGTGTAATCCAAACAGAAAACGATTGTGAGACAAACAGTCTTACTTAAAGTAGAAATTCTAAATAATACAAATAGATTTTAATTGGTCTGAAATGAATATCTTTATTAAATACTAAATACACTATTTATTGATTATTAAACTTTATATTTTATTGTACATGCCGATGGTATTGATATAGGATACTATATAATAATTGTTCATATCAAAACACATAGGTCGTAAATGATATCTAGTGTTGGTAGTACAATGTAAAAACTCGGATCAAACCTCACCCTCACTGATCCTACTGATGTGACGGATATCATACAATTGACGTGCCTATTGATACTGGTTGAACAATGAACAGTGATGGTTATCATATAAACAAGCTAGAAGACCAAGATCAATGAAGTAAAGATCTAACACCGGTCACTGTCGGGCTGAACTGTGTCCTGGAGAGAAGATATCAAGATAAAGTTCTTGATATATTCATATTATAGGATCAGAAACGCAGTGATATAAATGTATTTATTTTTCGGTTGCCGATAGATCGTCTTAACCATAAAATGGTTGTACATAAAGATACTCATCGTATTATTTGACCATGATCCTATCAAGCTTCATTTAATCTTAATTTCAATCATTGTTTGCTTACTCTCTATCGTCCTCTTAAGATTTTAGAGAATTTAGCAATAATATGATATTACGCATTTAAAGAATTTGATAAACTTTATATACCCTTGAAACAATTCTATTCTAGATTGTCATTTTAAAAAATATAATCTTATTTACAGTTATATTAGAAATCTGTCAGCTACGACACTTACTTACTTACTTACTTACGCCTGTTAACCCCAATGGAGCATAGGCCGCCTACCAGTTTTCTCCAACCAACTCTGTCCTGGGCTTCCCTTTCCAATTCTGTCCAATTTTTGTTCATTCTTCTCATGTCTTTCTCTATTTCTCGGCGTAATGTGTTCCTTGGCCTTCCTCTTTTCCTTTTGCCTTGAGGGTTCCATGTGAGGACTTGTCTCGTGACGCAGTCAGGTGCTTTTCGTAATGTGTGTCCTATCCACTTCCATCGCTTCTTCCTGATTTCCTCCTCCACTGGAATCTGGTTTGTTCTCTCCCACAGTAGTTTGTTGCTGATCGTTTCTGGCCAACGAATACGAAGTATTTTGCGTAGACAATTGTTCATAAACGCTTGTATCTTCTGGATGATGGCTTTGGTAGTTCCCCAAGTTTCCGCTCCATACAGGACAGCTATCTTGACATCTGTATTGAAAATCCTGATTTCGGTGTTGATTGATAGTTGTTTGGAGTTTCAGATATTTTTCAGTTGTAGAAATGCAGCCCTTGCTTTGCCGATCCGCGCCCTTACATATGCATCGGATCCACCTTGATTGTCGATGATGCTGCCAAGATATGTAAAGATGTTAACGTCCTCCAAAGAATCTCCATGAAGAATGATTTGGTTGATGCATGTTGTGTTGCAATGGAGAATTTCGCTTTTTCCTTTATGTATGTTGAGACCTACTGCTGCAGAGTCTGCTGCTACACTGGTTGTTTTCTCTTGCATTTGTTGTTGCGTGTCAGATAGAAGAGCCAGGCCATCTGCGTCCTAGCTGTCCACTGATTACCGTGCTTCCCTCCAGATGCTGACGTCTTCATAAACCAGGCGATCACCAGGCGAAAGACAAAGGGTGAGAATAAGCTACGAC